AGCACATTAATCCTATTTGCTGGAGGTCAATGAGATAATTAAGTATACTAAAGCATACACGACACGAAACTATTTGTAACCTGAAACCAATTTAAACAGAGTACGACCACTCTAAAAAATAATAAACGCTCTATACATAAGCCTACGTAGAGATAACTTTTAAAACACTTCTAACATCATCATAATAATATCATCATTGCTAGATCGTTAAATTTCAAATCCTACTTTCATTTTGTACAAGCAACGAACACATTAAATAAAACTACATTGCCTTGCATTTACGGTGATGGATGCGGTGAGGCGTACATGGGAACTGGGTCACGTGCCCCCCCCCCCCCCAAGCGCAGGAGGACAGTTCCGCCGGGGAGCTGACATAATTATATTTACAGCATTAATATAAAATTTCAGATACTATTGTTATTATATTTTGACAATTGAGTTAATAAAACTTGTACAGACTTGCGAGAAATCAAAAAGTAATTCAATAGCCTTGTCCTTCACCTTTCCGACAATTGCAACTACTGCAATGAGGTATCTCGTAATCTGAACATGAAATATATTGGATATATATATATATATACAATGATGGGTATTGGTTTTTGCCTTCGTTTTGAATTCTCGAAAGTATTTGCTATCGAGTTAAAAGCAATTCTATCTTCAAAATATGATAAGATATCAAAGTTGTTAAAAGTCACCTCGCTGCCCGGATAATTTCAAAGTTTTCAGGAGCTACACCCCTCCCCACTATAGCCCCATCGCCTCGAACGGTGACCTGTACTTATAGCGAAGAAGGAGAAAAGGAGAAGATGGAGGATAAGAAGAAGAAGAAGAAGAAGAAGAAGAAGAAGAAGAAGAAGAAGAAGAAGAAGACGAAGAAGAAGATGAAGACGAAGAAGAAGAAGAAGAAGAAGAAGAAGAAGAAGAAGAAGAAGATGAACTGAAGAAGAATTATAAGTACGGCTATTTATGTACCAATATAATTATGATAATCACTTGATTCCGTACTATTTATCAATGCAATATCTCATTTTTCCTCTTCTATTTATTCTGAATTTTGTTCACATTTCATCAATATTCTCTTGTGTATTTATATTGCGTATTAATTCGAGTTTCTTGTTATAATATAACACGACGTTCTATATAACGATTTAGACAACCAATCACGCTTAAAGGATCATAGATTCATTAAAATTATATCTAAAGGCCTTCTTCTTTTTTAAAGTCCTTGTTGGTGTTAATATTTCATCGTTTTTACACAAAGCCCATTACGTCATGCCATCAAAAATACATAAACTGCATTGGATTATTAATGGAATACGTATGTACCTTCAAAACCAAATGCCCAAAATTAATAAAAATTAACATTTTTCGATGCGGGAACTGAACTCGGCTTGATCACTTAGCATTACAAAGCGGTGTTTGGGTTTTGATATAAGTTTGCTGCAATCTCCCTCTCTCTCTCTCTCTCTCTCTCTCTCTCCCCTCCTCTCTCTCTCTGATCAATTAATTATACCTGATCCATTAAAGGCATGTTCATTTATTACCACGCTAGTTGATTTAACCAGTTATTTTTAAACAAGGATAGGCGGCGGCATATTATAATTAAATCTATAAAATATTTCGTGAGGAAGATGAGGACGTAGTAAATACAGAACTTTATCTAATAAACCTCTTTAGTATAATGTTATCAGATTTAATGTACCAATCCTTGTTAAGTGCCTCGTTACGAATATTTGTATTTTGATAGTCAAAATGCGATGATTGCATAATTAGGTATGGCAATTCATCGCCTAATGTCTGTCCTACCTAGCAACAATTATTCTTAACAGGTAAATGAAATGATTTTTAACGAGGCACTTAACCAGGATTGTACATTAAATTTGATTACATCATGTTACGAATGATTACAATGATGTAGCTGGAGATTGTTTAAGGCATATTAAAAAAAAATAGTTAAGGATATTTATGGTTACAAAGCACTCTCCCATTCATGTACATGCACATCCCAACGCACATCATCATACGACAGGCGTAATATTCTGAGCGATACATATCCGAATTACAAATCCTATTTATTGATCACAAAAAGCCCATAATGTATTACATATTGAGCCATATTTCTGCTCTGTGTGTACAACTTTCAGCTTTTATAACAAAACTATTCAGTTTTCAATTGAGGCCCTACTTGTTTCGATGTGCTTTCAAAGTGAAATTACAAATATAAAATCAACTCTTGCGCCATCGTCCTATCTAGTGATCTTGGATATCGAAGTTTATATACCTCTCTAGTATGTTGAATAAATCTTGTCATCTGATTGGCCGAAATTGGAGCCCAAGCCCGCAAAGATACGAACTATGCCCGTTACCCGAGGTAATGGGCCGCATAGTTAAATTTTGCTGAGATCCCCATTGGTTTACGTATAAAAAGTTTCTTTGAGCGAGCGCGGATACCATAGTGTGTTTTCTAGCTAAGTTTAACAGACAGTGTTTCAGATTCAATGTGATATTTTTAACCAATCTTTACTCAAGAATTCTTTGTAGATTTTTTTTTGTAAATTCGGTACATATAAGATGTATGAACTGCTTTAATATTCGAGACGTAGCTGTTTCTATACTGGCTCTCGGGGACGTTACATCCTCTCGCGGAGGTTACATCGGCGCGCCGGCCGTCGCGGCGAGCCTCGGGGTCATATCTGGATGTAACGTCCCCATGAGCCTATATAAACAGCTATGCCTCTCATAGCAGTCAATATATCTATAATATAACAGTCATATAATGTAAAATTGAAATATCATGATGGCACACCTAAAAAACAAGTGTTTTGAATCAGACTTCTAACTTCTATCATTCAAATCAATGTTTAATTGTTTTTATCAAAACATATATTATAAATTTTATATGCAACTTAAATCATTTACAATACATTTACAACTGCTTTTGAATCACAATTCTGTTATATTCAAAACTAATTCCATTAAAATCTGGATTTAAATCGTCGATCACATTAAACATGAATCAAACCATTACATGGGGCCATTGCAACCCCGTAAACCGTATATCGCGTATTTCCAAAGCGAATTTAGTATTCCACAATTAACAAAAACACTTAACAAAAAATATCAGGAGTCAACGAATTTGAGCATTTGCATTGATTCAGCTAACACACAAAAAAAATGTATTTTCCTCAGTAAACGTTTTAAACCCAAACACGTTATGAGCTAGCATGATAAACTTATACTCTGTTTAAAAGTTTGTGTAAATACATGTACGTTTTCAATGAAGACAGGGACAATGTAACGTCTTTTCTACTTTTTATCTAATTTGTTCATCAATATGTAGCTGTATTAAACTCATTATACATTAACGTACGAACTAAATTCTTGAGAGCAAGATTCCTTTGACATCATTAATTTTCAAACAAATCATTTTAAAGATAATCATAAATAAATGTACGTAAAATTGTTGTGTCATTCAAAAATAACTAAACAAATTGAATATACAAGGTTAATTCAATTATTACGGTCATCTACTGAACAAACAAGGCGACATCACGTCAGGCAACATGGAATAATATAAACAAAGCTATATCCCCAAAATAACATTTATAAAATATACTATAAAATTACAATAATATACACATGCAGACATCACTTGATATAAATCACATTGGCCCGAAATCACAAAGGAGGTTTGTCGACAAACCTCCTTTTGTTTTTTACAAACCAAGGTTTGTAAAAACGCGTAAAAACGCGTCATATGACGCACATAAACCTGTGTTTGTCGACAAACCTCCTTTGTGAATTCGGGCCATTGGGTTTAAATGGTAATGGGTGGTTGCGTCTCTCATACGCCATTTGAATGGTTGTGTGTTGAAGCAAAACAAACTTAATCATGGCAATAGCCCATCTTCTATTATAAAGATCCGATGCAGTCGGTTTTAAATCACAGGAACTCAGCCTAAATAAAATTGTCATAAAATGACGGAGTAACCATCTTCCAACGAAAGAAATATTGACAGCTTTCTATTCCGTTTTCCTTTCAATTCTTAAAATATAGGTGTGCATAAAATGCAGATCTATCGGGCATAATTTTCTTGATTCTTTATAAAGTCCTTAGACGATTTTGATGGTCTGCATGAGGTATCTCAGATCGGTACAAGCGCTCAGATACATCGTCGATGTGTGAACCCGGAATATTCTTATTTAATACCAGCTAGCATCATAAACCTGTACACCTTTAAGGAATAATTAAATGTTTTGACTTTCCCCAAACGTCTGTGTTTGTGCGTGTGCGTGTGTGTTATTAAACCATTTTTTTTTGGTTAGAGTTGCATGTTTCAAGTTGCCATAAAACAAAACAAAATAGGTTGTTTTCAAATTCTAGCACAAAACACTAACGGAATGGCTCAAACTCTAGCCAATCTTGTGGATAATGGGGAAAGAGCCCCATCGTATAAGCACTGACCTTACTTTTGTTCCTTTATTTACAATGCAGATGATCTTAATATGTGATCTCTTTTATTTCACGAGTGCTTCTCGAAGATTTGATTTCAATTGGATTAGGCGCCTTACAAATCTCATTATTATTATTTTTCTTATTATTCTTATTATGTTATTTTCTTAATCAAATTAATAACGAATCTCTCTATCTCTCTCTCTCTCTCTCTCTTGTCAGGCATGTCAGAAGCACAAATATATTCCCCCGACTATACCAGGGCATCTACCCGTATGACCATGGCACCACCCCCCCCCCCTCTCCCCGCCCAGTACACAACATTATACAAATAATGAATGGTTATGAGTTCAATAGTGCGAATATTTTCATGAGTTGAAAGATTAACATTCTATTCAACGAGGCGTCAGCCGACTTGAATAGAACTAACGTTAATCTTTCAACGAATGAAAATATTCGCACTATTGAACGAATGAAGAACATTCATTATTTACAAATCGAAGAAGATATAATAGAACGTTAATCAATAAATTATGCTTTACTCCTTATATTAAAGATAAATTAAAGTTGGAGTCAACTTCAAGCCTTCTCGATTACATTCAGATTGCCTTTGCGTCAGATACACACAGTGATACGCGCACGGCAGTACGCAGTCTGCATATAACCAAAATTGCACGGCGAATATAACCAAAAATGCACGCTCGTGCAATAGAACATCTATTAAATATCATGTGACCAACAATCCTCCAATCAAATGATAAGGGTCCACGTAGGTGTTGTATAAAATGCTTTATCCATATGCGATCGGGGGTATCATGACATATGCAATTATCATGGCGATAGTTATCCTAGGATCACCATGTGCGTCTATATTATATACCTTTGTGTTTTGAGGTATTTCAGTTAAAGTTATGCGTCATTGGATGCAGACCGGATGACTATGATGACTGAAGTTCCACGAGCTCGGAGTTTCCCCATAGACCAAGAATTATCATCCTTGCGAACTGTATCCTGTATACATGTACATGCTTTTAATAATCGGTCTTGTAATCGTTCGAAACACGTTGACTATATAAACATGGAGCTGTACCCGGGACATCCCGCGGACCGACAGTCGGTCTCGTAAACCGTCTGGAAGTTTCCAGAAGACACGTCAGAAACTGACATGTCAATATCTTGCGCTGTCGGTCTTGCGAACCTTCTGATTTACTTTCCTGACGGTCTGCGAGATCGACAATGTCGGCCTTGTTGCTCATGTTGCCAGAAACCTTTGGTCTAATGGACCTATCTTCCACGAAATGTGGTTTAGGTGGCTCTTCGAAATCACGAGTCTTCTTCGTTCGGTGTCAATTAATGTTGGTCTCTTGATAGTTTGGTCTTGTCAACCTTCCATCAATAACATCGCAGTAGGTTCCTAATTCATTCCTCGTCATTGGTTGATTACTTTCGTCGCGCTAATCTGGTGTAGTAGAAATGGGTCGAGTTGCTCAGGAGATCGAAGAATTCAAAGATGGTGAGAATACTCCCTCCTAGCCACAGTCCCATCGCGCCTCCGATATCACCTAGAGTAGGAGACAAACAAACAAAACAAGTTAGACTAAGGTTTAGGCAGTGGCCTTTGGAAAGGTTAGGGTTAGGGTTATGGTTAGGTTTTTGTTTGGTCCAGGGATGAAGATAGAATTCGGAAACTGCAGAGATATTGCCACCGGGGTATGCTTAATTGACATGAATACATTTCCATAATACGCAATCATATTTGTTTACTCTCTTTAAGCCCATAACATGTCCCGAACCAAAGGCCAATACCCAAACTCCTGACCAGTAGTGACAAAGTTATGATTTATTTCAAGTACAAATTGAAAAGGGAAAGACGCAAAATCACAATATTGGGAAGGAAATGTATTAAGATGTGCAAGACTGGGTATCAAGTGTGCCCCTCTACACATGTAAATAATGCTCTATAAAAATCAGTAAAATACTTACAAAGAAGACTGAAGAATGTATAAGCTGTTTGTTGTGTGATCTTCTCAATGCTGAGCTCTTTGAAGAAGATGTTTATGAACACCATGTTTTCACTGTCAAATATAACATGAGAAGTCAACTCGCCATAAACGTGATAAAGGCAGTATTATTATTTTGAGTTCCTTTATTAATTATCAACATAATCATTTTCACAAAAGATTGATACATGCTCTATTACATGACTTGTCATATAAATATTCAAACAATAAAATATTACAAAATAGCCTCGGCCGCACAACTACATATAAGAAACAACACAATTTGTACACCAATTCTATAACATTAAAAAAAAGCAAACAGAACATAGACACTCAGAAACATTTTGAAAAATGAAACCATTCATTTCACGAGATTATATTTTTAAAGATTTGTTTTGCTATATATCTGTCAATATCATGATAAGTTTTAACAGCTGACATAACTTTTTCATACAGTAGTATCTGATTTTTGCATTTGGCTGAATACATTTCTTATCTTACAATAATTAAGATACAATTCACAGCGCTGCTGTGACTTCCTTTCAAGTCAAACAATTTTATATTTGCTTTGTGCGTTTGGCAGTATTATGGTCTTATTATTAAATAAGTCTCGTCAGTCCTAATACTGGTCTTCCTGACGATCCCTGCAATACCCATTTGACTGGGTCAATAGGGATACATTTAGGGAAAAACGCCTTGTCCAAGGAATATGATGTAAGCACCAAGTGAAGATCGAACCTAGGACCTCTCGTATGAGAGTCAAGATCCTTCACCAGCAGTTTACCACGCCACCTCTCATTAATAAATACCACGTCTCTACTATTATCAAACAAATAATTTTAACTGTCTTAATTATAGTGGGCTGGGTTTACTCCTCAAGGACAACACTTGTATCGGATGAAATGGAATCATTCTAAATCGACTACCTATAACATTACGATAAATATTTGTTTTTACCTGAAGTATTCAGGAGAAAGTGTAATGTTGTAAACGCGTTGGTAGATATCGGACAGTGAAGCGGACCAGAAGTGTGACGGAAATCCCGCTGTAGTGACTACAGGCTCATACGTTACGCTGTGACACGGAACTGGGCATTCGCAATCATGGGCAGCGGTCTTGATGAAATCAACTGAAATAAGATGAACAACAAAAAAAAAGAAGCTCTTTTAATTATGCATCTTGCGTTAACAAGATAAAACCCATACTGATAATGTTGTTGGACTCAGCCCGCTTCAGTGTTCACGCTATCGCCGTTGCACACAAGGCGTTTATTTGGCTGACGTAAGACTGCGTCGATCAGCGAATGGCGCAGTTCTTGGGGCGTCACATGAGTGTGATTTCGTACAAAAATGGATTAGAAATTAATGCTGCTTTGAATTACTGGTTGATGAACAGATTTTCTTCTTATGCTTTATTAACGCATGCGATAATTGACGCAATCGAAATGACATGGCGTGTGCAACCGGCATTATTAGGCTCCGGTTATAGGGCTCAACTGCTAATGCTACGTTTACACTATGTTCCCGGCGGTCACGGCAGCCCCGTTTGCCCGAAACGTAGTGCGCTGTGGGATTTAGGCCATTTCCCCCCTCTGTTTTCAAGCTTCGTTAGGTCTTGCCAAGTTTTCTCACGGTTTATCACGGTTTCCGTGATGGGCCGTGGGAGGGAAAGGGAATGCTGTCCCGGGGCCTCCAAGGCACACTACGGTTCGGCCTGCGGTCGACCAAGGATGCCAGTACGTTCCCTGTCGGTCCGTCACGTTCTGATGGGGTCCCTCACCTTGCTTACGTTTTGATCAAGGTCTGACACGTTTTTCACGGCCTGTCAAGGCTTTCTACGGATGAAACGTGGACACCAGGCAGCATTGGAGCATGTTTGTGCCCACGGTATAAAAAGAAGGCCTCCCAAGCAATAGCAATCATTGTACCCTGAGACCAGCGCGTCCAGCCAGACCGTAGTAGAACGCAACGCGCCGTAGCGCCCCGGGCCGGTAAACCGTCCCACTACGGACCGCCTCCAGGTTTTGTTACGGCCTGTTACGTACTGTCACGTTTTGTTGCGTTCACCCCGTTTTACTACGGCCTACCAGGTTTCTCATCCGCACCGTGACTGCCGCGGCAATTCTGTTGACAGTTTAATGCTACGTTTACACTATGTTCCCGGCGGCCACGGCAGCCCCGTTTGCCCGAAACGTAGTGCGCCGTGGGATTTAGACCAATTTTATCTCTGGATTCAAGTTTTGTTAAGTCTTGCCAATTTTTCTCACGGTCTACCACGGTATCCGTGACGGGCCGTGGGGGAGGGGATGCTGAGTCCCGGAGGCTCCAAGGCGCACTACGGTTCGGCCCGCGTTCTACCACGGATGACAAAACGTTCCCTCCCGGCCCGTCACGTTCTGAAGCTAAGCTGGAAGGCGTGGTAATCCTTTATAAAACTTAATAATGATAATAATAATACAACAATAATAGTTATGATAATAATATTAATAATATTGATAATAATAATAATAATATGTCTTGTTTACCCAGGGTAGCCTCATCAGTGTTCATACTGTTCTCCCTGAGGGCCTTGCAATCATATCATGAATAACATTGTTCTGAACTATTTTCTCTCTCTCTCTCTCTCTCTCTCTCTCTTCATTCGTTCGCTTTTCTTCAAATTTTATATTCGAGCAATGAGTTCTGAGCCCCATCATGTTCACAAGCAGAATTTCGTACCCACGCCAATGTTCGGGAAAAATGCTAACGAAATGACAAAACAGAACAAAATCATAACGCCCACATAATTTTTGTAATTTTCTTACTTGTTGCTGTTGCTGCACAGTCATAGAGCTCCACAGGGTTACAAACAGAGGTGTTACCTTGATATGAAAAGAGAACATGTTTTAATGTTAGTACATGATAATGAAATCAAGAGCCAAAAACTCCTATTCTAGCGCGGTTAGTGGGGATCACGCAATCACTAAGGTTCGCGCCATCACTCGGCTTAACGTTTATAGTCGGCGAATAACAAAAATCATTATAGGGTCCAGAAGTAGACTACACGAACAGGTGCGTTGTATCATGGTCAGTATCATTTTGATAATTATTTCAAACCCCCAACCACTAATATAACGGCCAACCACCATAACCCCCGCTGTTTGAAATCAAAGTGAACTTGATCCTTTGAATTGCATTTCAAACATAAGTATTCTCCATTTTCATTTTTTTTCGGCCAATACTTGTTTCTCCATCTTCAGCATCACATACGAGTATCTATCGATTTATTCTTATGATTAACGACTCTATCAAACAAGTTCACAAGCTAATCAATCAATCTTCCTCTCATCGTCCATATGAAATTCATTTAAAAAATCAAACAATTAATTTGAATTTCCTTTCATATAATAATAATAATAATAATAGTGGGTTCTTGTATAGCGCTCATGTCAGTCAGATTTGACCCTCCTGGCGCTCCCGATTATTACCCTGGCTTTAGCACGGCTGCCGTACGGCGCTCTAGCATTTCAAGGAATACAAAACCAAATAAGATATAACTTTCATTTGTATATTGTTTTATATATTCTTTAAATCTAATCGATTTAGTTTATTTCTTATTTTCACTGATAGATTGATGATTGGTTGGTTGATTGATTCCTTGATTCAGCTATTAAGATATATATTGTCTTCATTGGCTTTTGTTTACTTAATTGTTAGTTATTTATTCATATATTTATATATTAATCAGCTGATTATTCATTAGTTGATCAATTAATTATCAACTAATTACTATGTCAATTAATCAATTAACCAAATAATTAATTTAATCATTGATTGATTCATTCATCCATACATTCATTCGTTCGTACTGTTCATTTAAATCCACTTACTCACGTACATGTATAGTTAAGATGTTAATTACCTAGTGAAATAGTTAATAATTAGGTAGGAACGAAAAAAAAGTAAGTAACAAGGTAAGAAAGTACGTTACTTAGTTATTTATCTAGTTAGATAGTTATCTAGTTGGTTAGTTGTTAGTTAATTTAGTTAGATAGTTAATAAGTTAGTTAGTAAGTTAGTTATTTACTTAGTTAGTCAGTTAAAGTTAGTTAGTAAGTTAGTGAGTGAGTTGGTTAGTGTTTAATTAGTTAGTTACTTAATTAGCTAGTTAGTTAGTTGGTTAGTGTTTAATTAGTTAGTTACTTAATTAGCTAGTTAGTTAGTTGGTTGTACCTGGCATGTAAGGTTCTTTGCAGCCGCATCTTTGAATCACGTAGTCGGTATGACACTCATCGCGGCATCCTGATGTGGAGTAGTGGTCGTAATATTTCAGATTTTTGTGGCCGCACACACCGTGGGGCGGCGGGAGATTATTCACCTGGGGTTGTGCGTAGATAAAAAAAAAATGATTGAGATAGTGCGAGGAAACTTATTAAGAACAAAAGGAAGAATGGATGGGGAGAGATAATTGGGGGGGGGGGAGACGAAGGAGAAAGAGTGGATCTTTCAAAGTATCGGAGAAACGAGGGCTAAGTGGGAGAAAAGAGTGGGGAAAGATGGAAGAAGAGGTGAGAGAAAGAGCAAGCGAGAGGGAGAGGGGGTTGAGGGGGAGGAAAGACAGAAAGATAGATAGAGAAAGAGAGGGAGATCGAGACAGAGCCGGGGGAGGGGAGCGGGAGGGGTGTAGAGGATGAGACAGGGAAACGATGATTTAGCATTATAACAGTATACATTTTGATTAACAAAAACAATACACATTTAAGTAGGCCGAAGGGCTTATCGACGCCGACATAAAAAGAAAAAAATCCACCCCATGGTTATTGCTATATTGTCATATTTTAATATTATCCCGGAACGTTTTACAACCCAGTGGAAAATGTGATCATATTTATCTAATCAATTGTCGTTACATTAGCCGGTCAGCCGCCCCCATAATCATGCAGGCGCTTAATGTTTTTTATTATTAATTATAATAGGCATAACTATGGCGCCGTCTATCTAAAAATTCTGTTCCGAGGCGCACTAATTATTACCCCGGCAGTAGCCTAGCTGCCATTACAGCGCTCTAGCATTTCACGGAATTAATTCCTGCCAGGTACCCATTTACCTCAACTGGGTCGAGTGTGGCAAATGAGATTAATGCCTTGCCAAAGGACATTGGTGCCGTGTCGGGGATCGAACCACGACCTTTGAATTTCAAGTCAAGTGCTTTAACCACTCGATTACGCCACTTCTACGATATCAGTTTCAATGTAAAAGAATGGATGGGTCTAACAAAGTGGAATAAAACAAATATTTAAGATGAACCTTGGAGTTCATAATGTTTAATTCCATTTCAGTCCATACTAAATAAATATCTTACATTGAATATTCTTTATGGAAGATACTTTGTTGAGATTTGGGTAGTAGCTGTCAAGAAGTGCACTTTATGTTATAGCGATGAAGAAACTATCATTCATGTGGTTTTGGAGGCCTTTTTTCACTATCATATTGAATTAAAGTCGAAGTTTGAGTTCTGGATATTTCGAAATGCGGGGGGGGGGGGGGGATATCATACATACACAGTGGCGTGGCGTATGTTTAGTCACTGGGAGGGGGGGGGGGAATCAGTGTTTAGTCTACTAGATTAGCGTTTTTAAATCCCCCTTTTTATAGTTACTGCACCCTTTTAGTAAAGGGGGTGGGGGTATAATTAAGAAATTACACAATTGAGGGGCACTTTTTTGTTGTATAATTAAAATATGTCCTTTTGGTTTCGTAAGGGAGTGGGCGGGGGCTAGCTGTGCCCCTAATTCCTCCACTGATTTATTAGATACGCCTGTGTAAGAGAGAGGGGAGGGAGGGCACAATCCCCCAAACAGCACTCGTCGTCAATGTATATTTGTTGTGTTATTTATTAAGGAAAGCCAGACGCTTTTTAAAGAGGATGGGGCCACGAGCCGGTTGCCCCCTCCACCTTCCTCTGGCTTACAAGGCATTTGGAATATAAATTTGACAGGTTTACGTACCTCTGTTATCTCGAGACCGACTAGGTTCTCGGTCCCAGGCCCGACGGCAAAGCCCAACTCGGATACTAATGGGACTTCATTCCGGTCGTAAACCATCACTTGAAAAACCGCTGGAAACACGATGGAAATCACTCGAATAGAAGTAGTCCCATTGCTGTGTATCCAGTATCATACCCAGTCCGTGGAGTTTACCTATGTACGGGAATGAAGGAAAGAGTCATAAGAAAGAAGGAAAAAGAAACAGATGGTAGGATTTTAAAGGATAGTCATTTGTTTGTTTGTTTGTTTGTTTGTTTGTTTTACCACATTTAGCCCGAGTCACTAAAACTCTTTATTCAAAGCTGTACATGAGCAATATCATCACCCTTCACAATAGATATTTAGACATTTAAAGGCATTTTGCTTACTTTCAATAGTTTTGAAAGTTTTTAACCTGCACTGTTTGGTTTGTTTGATTTGTTTGTTTGTTTTACCCTAGTCGGCCTGGCTGTTAGGAAAGCATGTATTTGCTTGTAATTAAGCAACCAGGGAACCGACGGCTTTAAGTCCTCCCCGAGGAACTTGGTTGTGAGGATTAATGCCTTACCAAACGTCACTAGCGCATCGAACCAGGGACCTCCCGGTTACGAGACCACTGTTCTACCACCGAGCCATCGCGCCTTCCATCACAAAATCGGCAACAGATTTAGAAACGGAAAACAAATATTTGTTTGGGTTCCCTGATATTATTTGAACACCGCTGGTCACTCTGGTAAATGGGTACCAGTACGCTGCCCAGTGGTCGATGCGTTCATCATAAGTAACTCGTGACGACAAAGAGTGATTGCGGGCTATAACTCCCTTTATTTTAATCCAGAATACAAACATCCCAATTTGCAGAAAGTCACGAAGTTTGCTCTATGGACTGTTCTGTTTATAGCATCGCTAGAAATCGTGTAAATCAAATTGCAATTTGGACCTATTTAATTTTAAACAAAATACATGTTCGTATCATCATGGGACATCACACTAATTATGCATACGATCGCAATGGTAGGAGAAAAAGAAAGAGAGAGAGAGAGAGAGAGAGAGAGAGAGAGAGAAGGCAGGATTTATACCAAAAAAAGAAAATAAAGCAAAAGAGTGAAAGAAAGATGGATATTGTAGGTATAAATAGCTAAATAGATAACATATAAGAAGAGAGGGAGAAAAGAGAGAGAGAGAGAGAGAGAGAGAGAGAGAAGGAGAGAGAGAGACAAAAAGAAAGAAAGAGAGAGAAAGAAGGAGAAGAGAGAGAAATAGAGAGAGAGAGAGAGAGGGAGAGAGAGAGAGAGAGAGAGAGAGAGAGAGAGAGAGAGAGAGAGAGAGAGAGAGAGAGTGGGGATAGAAAGAGAGATAGATGGGCGGAAGTAAACGAGTGTTGGTATAGCGTTAACGTTATCACGCGATGGGTTGCCATCGTTACAAATGCACTGGCGCTGTTTACCCTCGGTTGTAATTAGGCGGAGAGGCACTCATTAGCTCGGTCCCGTATACCTTTCACCTTGCCTTTCTCTATGAATTATGACCACAAAAGCTCTCATATTCCACTGAAAACGACTAGATTACGATTGTTTAATTAGACTGGCGATAGAAAGCACATTTGATATCAATTTAATTACTTGTAAAAGCCCTAGGATGAAGGAAATATCAATTAATATAGCAAAAGCGTAATGCGAAACGGAAAAATCGGGAGGACAAACAAAAATATGATATATTTTTTAGTAAAAGGGTATTAAATCCCTTTCTTTATCACCTTCCATTTGTCACATGAATCTAAAGCTATGAACCAAACTCTCTTTCATACAGCCAGGCAAGATTTTTAATCCAATCGGATTTGTATACATTATAATGAGGACAAGAGTGACTAGGTCAATACAATAAGCTCTCCCAATCATCATATGGGTCAAGATTAATTACATCAAGGTTTTAAGTCTTCCATACAAAGACAGAATCACAAAGAGATAGTTAAACTAATAGTAGCTGCTAATTATTCATTAGAGAAATTGAAAAGACAACTGATTTATAGTGCCCAAATTGAAGGGAAAATGAAAATAAACTAGCAGTCATAGACCCAGTTTTTAATAAAATATTTATTTTACGAGTCCGATTAACCCATTTGATACCTGATTCAACTCGATTTCACTTTTAAAAAAAATCAATTCCATCAAACGAAACAGGTCAGTAAAAGTGAAAGTAAATACTGATTAAAAATAACAAATTTGTCAATTTCTAAGGGTTGGATCAATCAACACAAACTGGCAACTCTGTGACTTATCTTTTGTTTGTTTGTTTTTAATTATGCGGTTTCAAAATGGAACATATTCATTTACATAAATTAACAATTATTTCTTCATTATACATAATTATAAAGTTTTCAGTACATTAAATAAGATGCATACAGACACAAATATTTGTCAATGTACAAAATACATAAAACGGAGGAGATTGCCATCATGAGTGGTAAGCTTTAAATCGATCTCGGCCTCGGGAGAATTATTGGCATAACTCTTTAAATCTCTTGAATCTTGCGAGCTCCCTCCCGTTTGCCTTGTACTGATTAAATCAAATTAAAGATATGTTTCTTTACATAACCCTGTACTCTTGCAAAAATGAGAGAATGTAACATTGATATTCGGGCAAGAGATAGCAGCCCTCGTGTGGGATGGTGCCTCCACGGCTATGTGGACAGAGCAAAGGTAATTACAGGCAGTTTCTAGGGTACTTAGCTCACTGAACATGCTGAATTTCCCTATTCAATGATTAGATTGATAAACAAACGATTTATACTACATACCTGACGTTTCAACCATGAGTAAATCAGTGCCATCTGTGCCTGTGTTGAAGGTGAAGCAGACCCCAAAGTCAAAGATATCGAAGGAAAAATTGGCTGCAGTCAGCTCCTCAGTTCCCCAGAAACCACTGAAGGAAGAATACAAAGACAAATCGATGAAGGCATATCAGAACACTGTTTTATGATAACTTATCCTTTATCACAATCACAATGCTCAGTCAATTACAGAATATTAATAACACAAACAAACTAAACTATACTCTTGGATGTACGGGTCCTACAAAACGTGATGTAGCTGCTCTCGTGTTTTTAAGAGAATAGAGTCAAGCAAACGAAGCCTTTTCGTCCTCCAAGGCTTTTTAATTTTTTGCTTAATCAAATCTTTATAAAAAGTTTTTTTTTAATTATTAAAACAACAGAAACACACAAAAAAAAACTAGAAAGACTCATATTTTAAGATGACAACATGGATGTCAAATTGGTGCTGTAGAATATTTTTCACGATTAACAACTGATAACTATCAGATTTTCGGGAACAATCTAAACAAATATATATTTTCAAAATGTGTATTATAATTAAAAAAACACCTAAACAGCATTTTATGATGAAATATGAAAATTAATGAAATGAAATGAAATGAAAATCCTGGGTCATTTACACTTCGGTAAATATCAATATTTGCATTTTGAAAAGGATAATGCAGAGGTAACAGTAAAATCACGTTTTGATAATAATGAACTAGATTTTGAATTGAGACAAATTCTCGCTCTTGTCGGATTCGCAAAAATTAAAGCATGCAGTAAACGGGACTTACTATACAAATGAATCTTCGATTTTATGCGACACATTGAAGTAAAATTCTGTGGTGTTAACGTTCGGAAGTCCACTCTCATAGTACTTTGAAAAGTTCATGCCAAATCCATAGCTCTCATACATTTCTGTAAGCAGAGCTGCATATTCGGGAAAAGCCTGAATGGACGTCTTCCTAAAACACCAAAAAACAAAGGGCATGAGAAAGATGACGTAAAACAAAGATGAAAGACTTACTACACAAAAGAGTTGTTTATTGTGTGCGCAGCCTTGATAAAGAATTCCGTGGAGTTTATGTTTCCTAGCGAAGCGTGGTACTTTGAAAAGTCGACAGGTCGGTAGCGAGAATAGTAGGTATCCTGCAGAAAAGCTGACATGTTTGGGACGGTTTCAACGACAGAATTCCTAAATAGAGAGAAGCGGGATAGAGAGAGTCAAAGAAAGAGAGAGTGAGAGCGGCAAGGGAAGAGGGGGGGGGGGGGAGTGTGGTGGAGGGGAAAAACGGAGAGAAATGAAAAGAGCGAGAGCGAGAGGGAGAGCGAGAGTGTGAGAGAGAAATAAATAAAAGGATATGGAGAGAAAGAAAGAAAGAGATAAGGAAAGAGGAGATGGAGAAAAAATGAGTAATAAAGAAGATGTAGAAAAAGAAGAAGTAGAAGACAAATTAGAAGAAGAAAAAGAAAAAAAAAGAAGAAATAGAGAGAGAGAGAAAATGGGAAGGGGGGGGGGGGTCAAAGCAAATTACAAACACAGATAAACACAATCAATAATGAGCAGAAAATGGAGGCATATTACGACGACAGATTGCAATATGCAAAGTAAATGAAGTATAAAGATCCATTAAGAAATCAAAAGAAAAAATGGGTTGATATTATATCTGTCTATAAGGCAACCAGTACGTCGTAGACAGGAGAAAATATACATAATATAACCAATTATTCAACAATGATCTATACTTCTATTTGTGGCTCGTGTTTTCCAAAGCTATCCACTCCCAAACAAAAGAGGTCACTCTCGACAGCGATGATTTATAATATTTAAATATATATATACTACATGTATAAAGCTATATTTCACACATTTACACACACCAAAAAACTTGATTTTTTTTCTTGATTCCTGCAAATGCCTCGTATGAGGGCTCTTTTGACAAAAGGATACAACAGGACTTCCACTAACGCTACCGCGAGGAAAAACCTTTCAATTGAAAATACTAAGTCATCATGGAAACCTACGGAGAGCATCTACCATTTGCACATCGATATGATTGTTTTAATAATTTAGTTGATGGTATAACGCAAATATTGAGTTTTTCTTTTGCTTTCATCCCCTGATCTATAATACATCAATGATCGCAATCATCTAGCTAGCAAATGCAAAATTCTAGCACAATAACGCACTTCGCGGTCCTCCCAATAATTTAGTTGATGGTATAGCGCAAATATGCGACTTTTGATATTGCTCTAATCCCCTGATCTATAATACATCAATGATCGCGATCATCTACTAGCAAATGCGAAATTCTAACACAATAACGCACTTCGCGATACTCCCAATAATTTAGCTGATGGTATAACGCAAATATGCGACTTTTGATATTGCTCTTATCCCCTGATCTATGATACATCAATGATCGCGATCATCTACTAGCAAATGCGAAATTCTATCACAATAACGCATTTCGCGTTACTCCAAATACCTACTCAATAAAGTTACCCTTAATGCGTTGACATAGCGGCCCTCATTGAAAGGTCATGGGTATGGCTCCATTTTCTCTATTCAAATATGCTTTCCACTATACTCTCACTGACTAAGCACGTTTAATCGTCCAATCAAATCAGGTCATTAGAATGAAAGCCAAACTCCCATCGCTTCATGCATCAAACAACAAGTGGCTAATTGAAGATAAAGGATACAGGCGTAGCCAGTTTTCATCATGATGTAGGATAGGGACGGCCGGGGAGGGGGGGGGGGGGGGTGAGGGGGTGGCCGCCCAAACAAAATGCCGATATCTTGATTAGGAATTAAAGAATCAATTTTGCCGACAGAAAATGAAGTGCGGTGACGACCCTCGTCTCTCTCTCTCTCTCTCTCTCTCTCTCTCTCTTATCCCTCCCTCCCTCCCTCATCCCCTCTTCCCCCTCTCTCTCTCTCCTTCTCCCCCTTTGGGGGGGGGGGGGATATAAGGACGGATTTTATATTTTTTTTAAACCCCGCCCGTCTACGGCACGGGTGGAGGTTAGGCGCTTATCGATTGCAATTGTAGTATGCTGAGATTAATCATGTTTGCATGTTAGCTATACAGGATGGTTTCCATTGCCAAGATAATAATCATCAATCATTTTTGCTTCATGAATGCAGAATGACTGACTGGTTGTTGTTGTTGAGATTAATTGCGCTTCCATCGTAGATGATTTTCGTAATACGTCGTTTTATATTTGGTCCACATTTTCGTGGATGACCAATTTTTTTAAAAACATTCATCAAGAGGTGTCCGTCCTTAGTTTTAATGAAAGTCGCATATAATGAAAGAAAGAGAGAGGGAGAGAGAGAGAGAGAGAGAGAGAGAGAGAGAGGGGGGGGGGGAATAATAATAAACACGGTGGCGAAAAACAATTTGGTGATTTCAATTATAATCTGTACTCTACATTTTGCTTCGTACAAACATGCCCGTTTTTTGTCATTGAAGGAATAAATATGTTTTATAAAGGGATAAAATTGAGAGCATGATTAATCCATAACCCTATTACTTTAGAGACAAAAACATATATATATATATAGTCACGTATATATATATTATATACACTGTTGGTCATAAAGGTGGAATAATTATTTTTAACCCAATTTATGGAATGATTTAGACAATGATTTATTCCTAATAGATCTAGAAAATAGTATACATTTTAAAATTTTATTGGATAATAATTCACGAGTGTTTGTTTTGCGTGACTGCTAAAGCATTTATGTGCTACTATGCTAATCAACTAGGGGACCTACGTCTATGAGTCATAACTGACAGTAATAAAGGTTAATGCCTCACAAAAGGGCACTAATATAGCTGATCGACACGGTTTTGATCATGGGGCCTCACAGTAACGAGGTCATTGCTTAGCCGCTGAATCATGACTGTACATAGCGGGGCTAGGTTACGGGGCCGCCCCCACAAATACAAAAATAAAATGCAATAAATTATCAATAATTCATTGCATTTTCCCCGATCCCGAACAGAAAAAAAAAAATCATCTGTAGAGCCATGCATTATGGTTCAACGAATCGCCACACAGAGGATATTTTTCTGAGATCTTACGTCTATGGCTGATCGTCAACGAAATGGAGTTTAGTATTTTGTCAATTCTGTTTGTTGCTACGGCAGGCAGCCAGTGCAAACGAATTCGTTTATTGAAATTAAGGAAATGCAATCATTACTTTAAACAAACAGAACTTTGTTATTCCTAGCCCATTTTCTCCTGATTGAGGTGTCATATGAAAGGGCAGAAACTAACCTTTCTAGAAATGTGATTTTTCTCTTTGAAATTCAGATACCGTCCGCCAATTGACTTTTTGGTTCCCTCTCTTCAAATTGATTTAATCACTCATCATCGTATGAGTTTCATCAAATGAAAGAAGATGATATAAGCTTTACAAATATGTGCCATTTATTAATTGTAATTGTGATTAAGGTATGATAAAACATCGATAATTCTCGGTTTCGTTTTTTCTGGGACGCACATAATATTGTATTATGTACATTCTATAATCTCTGGTAAGAATTGTAACCTTATGTTTAATTGTACAGACTCTGCATTTTTTTAAAATTTAGTTGGAATAGAAAAACTCCTTTTTTTGTTTAAGTTGCCACCCTCGATAAGCTTTATTTGCTGTGAGAGATTAAACTCTGAAATTGACAAATTCATGAGCAACGTATCAGAAGCTTAGTTTTACTGTACAAATTTGTATCATCATCAGACTGCTTGTATATATAATAATATTGTTTGAAGGAAATTTGGTGCAGGCTTTATAAAAGGTGTGTGGCATATTTTGTTAATCCTTGCCACTGGATTCACTATCATTCATAAATCATATGGTTCTTTATTTAGAGCTACCCACCCCCCCCCCGTAAGAAAAAAAAAGAAGACATGGAACACTTTTAAAAAGCTAATTTTTCACTGAACTGCAAACCTGCAAAAATTAAATCATTATTTATCAGTATTGGTAACAAATAGAAACGAGATAAGAAAGAATGAAGGCCATGACGACCAGAAGTGCAATGAATCGTGCGCGACAAACACCATTAGTATAATTGTTCAAAACCGAATGAATGCAGTGTTGAGAAAGAGCAAATAGATGCTAATGTAGAAATAGCGATGTGTATCAATTATTCAAAAACAATTTCCGCCGATCGAGGCCAATATGTAATGCTAAAATTCAACCCCCCAAAACAGAGGGGGAAAATAGAAAGATAATGACCTACATTAAGTACGAGGTCACTATATCATTAACAATACAATTAAACACGACAATGAAGAAGCACGATTCATCTACAGGCTAATACTAATATCAAATAGCAAACTTTTTCATTAATGAATAGACATGCAATTGAACTGAGAGAAAAAAGAATGAAAGATGAAAATGGCCACCAATAAGTGTTACACTATATTATGCTTAACTCAACAAATACAACAATTTGTGCCTTTCGAAACGTACTGCATAAAAGTCGAAAGCACATGACAAAATACCTGGCTAGATATGTCTCAACGTTTACTATAGACATGTAGGCCTACTATCTGACATTCTTCAAGCGAAGCTTTGATATTGTTTGTTAAACTTTTGTAATAAAGTATTGATGAAGAAAAAAAGTATCCTTGTCGTTTTCTTGTCATAACAGTCTTCGCTGGGATGAACATGAATATGGGTCTGTTAACTGAATTTGTGGAATTTCTGTGCGATCTTTATATATGATTCTCATTCAATATTGATATTCTATGTACTTACTTCCTCAAAACCAATTAAACATTGAAACATCAACCAATTTAAGATATCGAAAATGTGAGAAATTAATATGTGCAAACCTGATCACAAAATATAAGTGCCAATTCTTTTTCCACGTTGTATTAGTACAATACAAAGTCATTTATATAATATACATTATGACGTGGAAGGTGGGAATATAATAAAACTAGCCCAGTAGCTTACGTCTCGACATGTTGTGTGATAAAGTGCTGAGATATTATGACGGCGCCAAATTTATCCCGACATTCTTGTTGTACCTCTGACATTAATTTTTTTTACCTCTGACATTTTTACCTCTGACATTATTACCCCTGACATTTTTACCTCTGACATTTTTACCTCTGTCATTTTATCCTCTGACATTTTTACCTCTTTTATTTTTACCTGGCATCACTTTAAGATCGTGGTTAACAAAACGTCAAGAGTAGCAACAATTGATTTCAGATAATATGACCTTTCCTCAATACCAAATTCAGGGTTTTTTTTCCTCAAAAGGACCAAAATCGCAAAGACTTGTAAGAATCGACTTACTTGCAACTGGAATACTATTGCCTGTAGAAATCATATCCCATTTTATGGAACACGTTATTTTTATATTCGCACACTTCAAAAGCTGATGGTATAGTGAACTCAAACAACACAATTTGAGAGTGATTGAACTCTCAAATTCCTCTTGTATTTGTTTTTTGTTTTGTTCGTAGACTCCAATTACTTGTCAATATTTTGCCAATACTTCCAGACACTCTCTCTTGCAGGACTTAACTGTCATTATGTTGTTTGAGTTCACTTCATGTCCAAATGAATTTCCACATGGACCAATAAAGTAAATCTGAATCTGAATCTGAATCCGAATCTGAATCTGCATGTCAAACCTCCAAACTGTATAAAATCAGTGATGGTCAATGTCTTTTGTGTTGATTTTTCGAAAGCCTTTATTCCATCGTGTTTCTGAAACTTACCTGAAAGAATTATAGTTACAAATGGCCACTGTCGGGAAAGTGAGGTTATTGACGTAGTTGATCTCGACGTCGACGCTCTTGGGGTACTGGGAGTAGTAAAGACATCGGTCAAATACTTGGTAGGTCATGACACCAAGGGCTACAGCAATGACCCAAGACCATACCATCCTGTAGGGACAGAGATCAAGGACAGCATTTGTTACCATGGCTACTCAACATCCGACTGCATTTCACTTTTTTAAACGCAAACGTTGGTATGCTCGTGTTTTGTTTTAATTAGGACCAAGATGTAAATTCGTGAATTACAACTGATCGTGTTACCCAGTAAGAATATGTTTGCGACATGATAAATAATGATTAAATATATGATTAAATAAATAAACTAATAAATACATAAATAAATAAAATAATAAATAAATAAAATAAAAAGTAAATAAATAAATAGATAGATAAATGGATAAATAAATAAATAAATATATAAATAGATAAATAAATAAATAAATATATAAATGAATAAATAAATGAATAAATTTTTTTTTTTATAATAATGCTTTATCATTTTCTACTTTGCAACCTTTCATTTCTGAATAGCAGTCCATTTATTATAGCGGTGCAATTATGAAGCCAAGAAGGTGCATTTCGAATACGTCGAAATCTGCATCGTTAGCCATTCGGAAGTGTCACCCTTTTCAAACGTATTGCAGCTTGCTATTGACGTCATGAAGGCGTTGAAGAAACGCCCAATATCGGGTTTGATGGTTTCATTTAAGCTTTGCTTGAAATGAAGCTCACTTTAACGGCATGCAAAAGAAATAAATTTCTGATCCGTTAAACTACCAATTATAGAGAAACTGATTTCACATTGTTGAGTAGAATAGAAGGCCTATTTGTTAAACCGATCTTTTCCCCCTTGTTATTTTCAAATTAACAAACCGCAACAGTAAAGTTGTTACCCAATCGAACGACGTATACCTTGCATTTCAAATAAATTCGACATGATATATATATACAAATTCTTATTTATTTATTTGTTTATTTCTGGTATGACTTGAAAGTAATACTAAATAACCGCATTGCGCCATCATTTCGTTTCTCATTTAACTTCTTCGAGAAAGCAGTCTGTTCATCTATAAACATAGAGAACCAATGTTCGTCCTTGAGGGACGGGAGTTCAATAATACGTAAATCTTATCTTTTTAAAAATTAGAAATGAAATTTATGTCTACAAATGAAATTGCAATCGACAGATGAAACGAAGAAATCTGTACATGATATTTCAATGATACAAGAAAACATACCTCCTAGTTCGATTTTCGCGTCCATTGAACAAGTATTTCAAGCCTGAAACACTGACAGTATCGGGCAACCCCTTCGCCACTACTGCAATCCATGTTACCTTATCCTTGTAGGGGGGTAAACCTTTGAAAGGGTAGGGGCCCGCCGTCTCCACTTCGGTAGTAAATATCCCCTTCTCGGGGTCGGTGTACGCCATTTTCGGGTACGTGTCCGCCTCTGATGATGCAACATGAATTACCCGCGAAGGCATCTTATTCTCTCTGCATGGTCTACAGTTTCGACTCAAGTGCGGTGTTTGGTTAAACGAAATTAATAATCAGCCTAATGTGAGTTTTATGATGATTGATCTCTCATTCGCCACTTACGACGCGTCAGACTCTTCATTTTGGGTGTAAAACATAGACCCAGTCGATTCTGTCGTTGCGCGACTAATGTTGCTTGTCTCTAAGAAAAGGGCGATCAGGTAATTAAGCAACTAGATGAAATTGAAAGTCAACGAGTTTACATGTCGCTATCTTTTCCAAATGATATGCAATAATGATAACTGTGATAAACCTCACGTTGTTATTATCCGGATCGAATTCGAGAGGCGTACACAGAAATCCTTTCTCTCTCTTCACCGTTACTAAATTTAATCGCGTCATCCATATGATGTTCTAATCCGAATGAAGTTTACCCAGCAAACCTTATCCGCAAACCTCTCGGTCCGTCACGCTTTGTTCTGATTGGTCAGTGTGTGTGATCATGTGATGCATTCTGCGCTTCATCACGTGATCACAGAATGGCGGTGCGCATCCTGTTATACACTCCGATAGTAAGTGACTTTGGTCTATTTACACAAGCTCAGAACCCAATCACTGTACTGCTCCAAATTAGATACATACTAAGGCCACTTTCCTAAACATTCTACGTTTTTTTCAGAAGCAATGAACATTTTGAGTAGACCTTGGTGGATTGGAAATATCTTTGAATATATGCAAGATTAACGAATTTCGTAGTATTTTTTGCGGTATTATGAGGTGTTTTTGTAGCGAGGATCAGAACGCAACCAGACAATTAATTTGAGCATGGACCCTGTGCTTTAAGCTACGTTCGAATGGTAAGTCAAATTTCATTCTAATGGATTGATTGGAATTCTCGGATTTTGTCCGTTTGATTTCTGACATGTTTATTGTCATGTTCAAACTAGCAACAAGTGGAGGCAACGAGGTTCATATGCGCATCGCTATTAAAAGGGGGTGGGTCTTCATCATGAATCAAATACAACTATGCCGGCAAATCCCTAATTAATGTGATCAAATTTCGTCTGCATGTTGCCCGCAAGAAAGCCGTTACTCCCATAGACAATTCATAGCTCTTACGGTCTTTATGTGGGCAGCCGACAATTTCTATATTTAAAAAATATTTTTGAAACTAAAAAAAAACAAAAAAAAAACAACAACATAGTTACAACCAATTTACGGTTTTTCTTTCTTCGTGGACATATTTTGCAAGTCTATATGTCACTTGATGTGAAAGCCCTCTTCCCTTTAACCTCTTATTTCTGCATGGCTGTGTAAAAGCATAACGACTGACAAATTTTCCTGTGAAGTCGAATATAGAACTTATTTGCATTAATCATTTTAATTAGAGTCCTTATATCAAAGCCAGCAAAATCAAGTTATAAAGTCTTTTCTTATTTTGGTATCGTTTGTGTTTTGTTATGCTTCGTAAATATTGTTGGCTTTTTATTTAGCCGACAAACAATGTGAACCACCTTGGCAACGGGGAAGGGTGTAGGTTGAAAAATGCAGTGCAGTTTTGACAGTTTATAATGTTATTTTCATTCTCTCTGTCTCTGTCTCTGTCTCTCTCTCTCTCTCTCTCTGTCTCTCTCTATCTGTCTCTCGCTCTGTCTGTCTCTCTCTTTCTCCCTTCCTCCCCCCTCTCTCTCTCTCTCTCTCTCCCCTATACATTTCTCTCTTCATCATGCTCATCTCTCTTCCCTCAGTCTCCCTTTCGTCTCTCTCTCTCTCTCTCTCCTCTCTCTCTCTCTCTCTCTCTCTCTCTCTCTCACATACACACACACACGCACGCACAACACACATATATACACGCACACACGGTCATTTTCATTTCATACGTGTCATACATTTATCATGTCTATCGGCTATACAAATTATTATCTATACCTATTTCTGCTCTATCTATACCTTTGAAATATACATACTCGTACGTTATCCCCCCTCTCTCTCTCTCTCTCTCTCTCTCTCTCTCTCTTTCTCTCTCTCTCTCTATCTTTCTCTCTCTCTCTCTTTCTCTCTCTCTCTTAAAGAACTTTAATCTTTATATTCATCTTTTTTTATCGACAGCTACCTCAGACACCTCTCAAGAAGCTGGTTTCAAAAACGGGAAGAGGTAAAGTGATCTTTTAAGCAAATTTTCCCTGTATGAAAGATTTATCCTTGAATCATAGTAATGCTCTGCAGATGCATTGTCTCCTTCATCTGCCAGCTCAAGAATGCATACGAGCATACATTTTCTTTTATTAAAGTGTGCTTTTAAATCTCTTAGATCTTACTCCAATTACACTCTATCAATAAGATTTATATTCATCTCTCCCCCATATCTCTTTACCCCCCTCCTTTCCTCTCTCTCTCTCTCTCTCTCTCTCTCTCTCTCTCTCTCTCATACACATACACCCGTTCACACGCACACACACACACACACACACACACACACTCTCTCTCTCTCTCTATCACACATATACACACACACACCCACACACACACACTCTCTCTCTCTCTTTGTTTCTATCTCTGTCTTCGTATCTCTCTATATGTATCCCATCTCTCTACCTCAGTCCCCACCCGCTTTCTCCTCGCCCCCCTCTCTCTCTCTCTCTCTCTCCCTCTCCCTCTCCCCTCACCCTCCACCCCTCCCCTGTCTCCCCTCTCTTTTTCTTTCAACCGCAACATGTCTCCACATCTACGCCCTTCTCGTTTGATTTCACGTGGGCCTACAGTCGTCAGCATCATAATAATTTCTCAAGTTTGTACATTTTATACTGGGAGACGGGAAACGTTAGAGTAAACATTACTATTTCGGGTACCCCCTCCTTTTTTTGGGGGGGGGGGGGGGGGGGGGGTAGGGGTGTTTAATTCGACATGCATAGAAACAAGTGAAAGAATTTCCAATATAATAGTGAACATTATGTTGATCAGATAAAGGCTAAAACTTGGTAATCAATCTAAAAAAAACTTAAGGGATTTGGCTCTTGTAGAAATTTCAAATGCCATGATTTGCATGGAAAGAAGTGAAAGGCTTTCCAATATAGTGAACTTTATGTTCATCAGACAAAGGCTAAAACTCTATAATCAATCAAAGATTTTTAGGGGATTCGGCTCTTGTAAAAAAAACGTTAAACGCCATGACTTGCAGAATCTAGGGGCATCATCGGCTACAAAGGGAAATGAATGATAATGGGGTCGTGCATAATTAATTTGATAACAATTACGTAGCACGATGTGTTCCATTAAAATGAGATTCACTGGCTCAAAATCATGGGGCATCCATACGTTTTATAATTAAATTAGAATTTCGTTCGGACGCACATATAAGTCAGTAAGCTGCGGAAACAGGTAGAAGCATACGTGATATGATTGTTCCCGAATTTGATAAAGAGGAAATCCACCCAGATATTACATTGGTTTATTATATAGAAGTAAAAAAGTGACAGAAACAGGTCAGCCTGAGTGAAAGTATGAGAGAAGTTCCGATTAAACATAGGAAAGTTATGAATTTTGAAGTAGCGTTCAATCAAACACAAATTGGCAACCCTATGATGCATTTTACGAGGTCCCTTCCTATTTGCTCTGTACTAAAAAAACACCCTTTTCCCCTTTAATTTATACAGATAATTTTCAATCATACATGCGCCCTACATGAAAATGTGTTTCTTTACAACCTCTGTATGTAACAAATTTATCCCGTTATTAATAATAAAGCAAATAATCGTTTATAAAATGTTGGTGCGGAGCAAATTGGAGAAGATCTCACAAAATACGTCATAGTGTTGCCAATTTGTGTATCACTTGAACTGATGATATCTTTAACAGATCATAACTTTCCCATTTTAATCGGAGATTGCTCATGTACACCTTCACTTATTTGTTGGTCTCATTTGTCTGCTTTCCTTAAAACCATCGAACTATCAGGCATGACTTCCCCTTTAAGAAGTTTATAGATTAAAATGCCAACTGAGTATGTGACACATACCGGGCATGGTGGCTCAGTCGTTAGAGCGCCCGCCTCATGAACGGGAGGTCGTGGGTTCGAACCCCGGCCGAGTCATACCAAAGACTTATAACAATGGGACCTTCTGCCTTCTAGCTAGGCGCTCAGCATATTAGATTGGAGAAGGGTAGTAATAACATATTATGTTATGCAGGGCCCGCTGGAAGAACAGTTTCATAACTGAAGTGGCTACCCTGGGTAAATAAAAGTTATTACACACCATAATGTCCGGTTGACATTTAAAAGTGAATAGATGGACGAAGGAACAAAGGAATAAGGTAATTATATTACAAACCTGTTATTTAATTATTAATTAATTTATTTCATTTCCAGGCAAAGATGATAACAATACATAGAAACATCACAGGGTAACGAAATGATATAACATGAACAGTTTGATATTTAGTACCAGCCAATGCCTGGAGATCACCTTAAAAAAAAAAATCAACAATTCTGTCGAGAGGCTCTCCACATTGGCTGGTGCATACATAAAACAAATATAAAGATAAGTTAAACATACACATAAATGTGTAACTAAAATTAACACTCATATTAGGTGCATGTGAGGAAAATCAGAAGCAATTTTCAAAATTTCATACATTAAAAAAATCTGTTCAGACTAAATTTTGTATATGATACACAAATACAGGAAAATGTCTGTTACTATACGGTAATATGGATCAATTACTGTTAGGATTATTATCAGAAAGGTTTGAAAAAAGAGCTGTTCAAACTATGCATATATGATAAATGCATGCTAAATGCAAAAAAGTGTCTGTTTATACAATCATATGGATACGTTAATATTGGATCTTAGCAAAATTGTGGGACATTATTATTGATATGATTGGAAGTTACCAAAAGTTGTGGAACATTATTATCGATTCCTAGAAAAATCAGAAAAACATAGGAATCAAAATAAGAAGGGGATGTGAAAAAACACATTGATAAAGACCGAGAACCTATATTAAATACGAACTCAATTATAACATCATACAATTATAATCAATAATACACATCAAAGTGTGAGTTATTCTATGATAGAAAAAAGATAATGTCACAAAACTAGTATGCTTCTACAAGGGGGAGGGGGGGGGGGGCAATACAAAGAGAACATTTCGGAGCACATTTAGAACAGGAAGACATTGGTAGCAAGACACATGTCTCTGTCTTTCTCTGAGAGAGGTGCTCCCAAAATCTAGGGAAAACACAAAAACAACATAATTTCAAACTAATTGCATCTTGCTAATTCATGCTTGAAAACAAGTGTATGGGTTCTTCTATAACTTGGGAATGATATTCAGGCATGGCATAAACTCTGTGTAAGTACTTAATTACAAATGACATAGATAATTTTAAAAAGTCTGTTTTACAGAGGGGGCATGTTTAGGCGAGACAAGCGTTCCGTATATATATAGGAATTAGCAACACTTTCGATAGCCCTGATACGGTTCTTTTGATGAGGGGGACATGTTGATATGCCCTACTCAATCACAGATCGACATAATGAATAAGAGACTTTTGTGAGAATAGCTGAGTTTCTAGATTTTACAGTACGTCGGATAAACCCACACTATGAACATGTTAAGTAGAAACAGGTAGAACAGTAGAACAGGTGAATATGCATGTGACACCTGTTCTACATATTTTTACATAATAACAGTGAAGGGATGTTCCTTTGTCTACCACAGCAATTGTTGAGGGTAGAATGAGGGACTGTATATTTTGTCCTCTTTCTTTGTCCGCCATGTTCATAGTACCGCATACATGGGCGTAAATCCTCACTTAATACCTATTGTTCAGGGGGGGGGGTGATCTATTCATTCATCCCCCTGAACAATAGGTATTACGTAAGGATTTACGCCCATGGCCACATAGCATATAGAACATCACATCGAATATGGTTCTTCCAACTTAGATCACGCGAAAAAGTGAGTCCCAGATATTTATACGACTTAACTACATCTAAAGGAATTCCTTCAGCGGAGTAAACAGTAGTAACTAATTTACGGGATCTAGTTATGTGCATTACTTTACACTTAGATGAGCTCAGGACCATGTCATTGTCAAAACACAACAGAAATATATTATTCAAGTCAGTTTGCAACAAATGAGAGCCGTTGTTGGTATAAACTTCACGATACAAAACTGTGTCATCAACATATTGTGGGAGGGGTGACGAGACAGTGTCAGGTAAGCCGGCTGTAAAATAATTAAACAGGACCGGTCCAATAACGGAACCCTGCGGCACACCGGAAGGAACTTGTATCCAATCCGATTTTACGCCTTCAAACAAGACAAACTGTTGTCGATCTGAGAGGAAAGAACGTATCCAACAAAGCAATTTGTCGCAAACACCGTTTGAAATGGTTTACTTTGTCGAAAACCTTGGACACGGGCCTTAGACCAGTCAAAGAAAATTGCATCAACTCTTAGTGGCATGGACAGGTCCAAAGCTTTTGCCCAGTTGGAAAAGAGGGAGGGGCGGATTGTGTTGTACATGACCGCTTCGGGAGGAAACCGTGTTGGGAATCAGGAATGATCTTGTAACTTTGTGAATGACTTAGAACCTTAATCACACTTAGGCGTTCAAGCATTTTACAAGGTATGCATATTGCTCAACCTTGGTAAGGGAAACAAGAGATTTTACGGTTGTACAGAAAGTATAATGGCGTAGCTGCAGATCGAGGGCAAGCCCCCCTCCCATCCCTGTTATATCGAGCGGTTAAAAAAGTAGAGAGAGAAAGGGAAAGGGAAAAGAGAATAGTACGAGAAAAGAGGTCGACTGGACCACCCCGCACCCCGCACCCCGCACTCAACCTCCCATCAGCAGCCTCATTTAAATTTCATTTTTCCTATATAAAGAACATTGTCCCCCCACCACCAACATCATCGTTTAAATGCCCCTGAAAAAGAAAGACTACCAATATGCCACTGAGTACGTCTATATGACTACTCTCTCTCTCTCTCTCTCTCTCTCTCTCTCTCTCTCTCTCTTTCTCTCTCTCTCTCTCTCTCTCTTTCTCTCTCTCTCTTTCTCTCTTTCTCCCTCGCCATAGATAAAGACCGATGCGGTGGGTAATCTCAAATACCTACGAAGTTCTGGGCGCGCGGGCGTTACGATGGATATCCGTTAAACAGGTTTTTACCTGGCTCGAGCAAGTTGAATATTAATAATTTAGACATGTAGCTAATAAGGGGAGAAGAACAATTACGCGTGTGTCAAACCGATCGATATTTGATGCAATCTCAGCACTTAGTTTTCCATTAATTACGAGACCAAGGAGACTTTTCAAAGTAGCAGCATGTCGGAGAACCGACGGGTGAGTACATTTTCTCAGTCAAAATTACTGCCCATTGACATTGCGCGCATGGAAAGTGTTTTAGATGTATCAATAACGAACGAGTCAAGGTGATTAGTTTCCCATTAAAACCATAATGTTAATGTTAATTATGTTGACTAAAGAATACGTTCGCTAATCATATTCGTTGCATAACGCTAATTCTTGGAACCAATGACAATGACTGTGTCATGAAGTCCTGTCGGCTGTTTTCCGGCCACCGCAAATAGAGAGGGTCCATTTGCGCTCAGCTCCAGACATCGCGATATTATAAATGTTTTCGCTGTTTGTTCACTTTTACTTTTCTACTTCAATACTGTGTAAGTAGTATAGTCTAGAGTGAAATCATCATTATTATAGTCTATAATTATTTCCTTTGATACACCACTTCGAAAAAGCACCGTATCTGAACTTAAAAGAAAGACTTATAAAATCCACAGTATAATAACTGTATTAATTATTAGATTTGTATTGGGTTCAGACTCGGTGTGGAATAAAATTGATTAAAAAATTGTATCAATTACAATTTCAAAGCACTGATAAATATATATGTATATATGGTGATAGCGGAAATGTGAATTTCAAATGTTCATTCCTATTGTTAAATTGTGAATAATGATATTTGATATGTAACAAATACAAGCTGTTAGGTCGTAACAAGCAAACGTCCTGACAAATTGCGTCGCGAGTAAAATGATCATCGTTTAAACTGCTGGAAAAAATGCATTTCTTGTCATAAATGTTTTCAGTAATTAAATTAGCGTTGGTTGTTAAATTCCAAGTATTATAAAGTAGTCGTCATGTTTGGGAATTTATTTTTGAAGAGACCACGATATGAAACTTTAACCATTTACACCTTTTACTTCGTAGGAAATATTTCTTTCCCAGTCTGCTGTCTGCAGCCCAGAACATAATGTGATGATTGATCAGTTATAGTGTTATAAACTACTGATCATGCAAAGAGAACATGGAGACTGTGTTTATAAAATGAAATAGAACTAAAGTCAACGTCTTGCATGGAACAGGCTTCTCACAGTGCAAGCCATATTAGGGCGTCCCAAACAATAGCCTAAAATCTGAGAAGTAAATAATGGTCGTTGTAAGCTAACGTCAATGCTTACAAATGGAATGAAGAGGGGCCACAATGAAAAGGGAATTGTATTTACATAAGTTTTCGTCTCTGTATTGCATCAAGTCTATATCCAGATCCCCCATTTCCCTTGCGTGGTGTTCGAGTCCGATGATTTGGTTTTTGCAAATACAGAGTTACATCTTCCATTAAAGGACAAGTCCACTAGAAAAATAACTTACTTTCAATAGAAGCAGAAAAATCAGACAGACCAATCAAAAAAAGTTTGAGCAAAATCGGATAACTAATAAGAAAGTTATGAATTTTTGAAAAAGTATGTAAAACTATGGAACAATTAGAATCACAACACAAATTGCCAAGATGGTTATCAATTTGTGACGTCATGTCCTCACTATTTATCAATTGCTCTATATGGTTTAATCCCATTAATTTCCCTTTTTATTCCCAAAACTTGATTTCCCCATGCCTTTGCCCAGGTTATATGATTTGTATCATATTGCGTGCATGACATTTCACAAAATCTTTTATGAACTTTGAAGAATTTATACTATTTTCTGAATATTGTACATTCATAATTATTGATTTTTATATAAATAGTTTATCAAAATTCACATTTTTCATGATTTAACTGGAAAACATTACTCTGTATTAGTGCATCCACACAAAACCATATTACTATTAATCTAACTTGGATGCTGGTGTGAAGAAATAATATTTTTAAGGAGAAAATAGGAAATTTATATCATCAATATAAAGAAAAAAATTAGTGGATAGTGAGGACATGACGTCACAGACTAATGAGTGAGTTGCCAATTTGTCTAGTGATTTTAATGTCATTAAAAATTCATAACTTTCTTATTAGTTATCCGATTTTGCTCAGACTTTTTTTGATTGGTTAGTCTGATTTTTTTTGCTTCTGTTGAAAGTAAGTTATTTTCGGAGTGGACTTGAGCTTTAAAGGGGAATTCCACCCTGATATAGTTGGTTTTAATAGAAGAAGAAAAATGAGAGAAAAGGCAATTGAAAGTTTGAGCAAAAAACGATTAAGATAAGAAAGCTATGAAATTTTGAAGGTGCAATAAATCAAATATAAATTTGACGAAAACTTTGAAATCTAAAATTTCCCTTAATAAAACTACCAATCATACATTCATCCTAAATTTAATAATTGCAAATATGTTTTATAAAACCCCCGTATGAAAAAAAATCTATTCCGTCATAAATAATTAAGGAAATGAAAGTTTATGAAATTTAGTGTACAGAGTAAGTTATAGAGTAGCGCATGATACGTCACAGTGTTGCGAATTTGTTTTTACTGACGCCATGACGTCATGATTCTCTGAAGAGACTGCCTAGCTGACCGTGAAAACGATACATATCAAAGAAATGATGAGAGAGAGTGAGAGAAAGAGAGAGAGAGAGAGAGAGAGAGATAGAGAACACCTTTTGCAGCCAACATCAAATTATGTAGAACTTTGCATGAATTGTGAGTCACGTATGTCCCATCTAATTTAGACATTAATAGCAGTGTCCTAATATTCAATTATGCAATGGAACCAGTTTACTTTCCAGACTTCACTGTCAGACACTATTGAATGACTTACTGACTTCTTTTTTCTTTGGTAATAACATACATTAAATGAGCTGTAATGGGTACATGACCATTTGACTACATCAATACCCCACTTCTTATGGCCAAAATAAAACTGATTAATTCTTTGTGCAGCATTTAAAGTCCGACCATTCGGTACAAGGGTCTGAAAATCAGACTATTCAATTAAACGACCGCGATTATTAAATTCGATCCGACAACTAATGGTCGTTATTTTCACACAAAAATACATTTTCAAGCCCTTTTGTTTTAAGGGAAGTTCTAAATAAGCATCTTTCCAATGTCGTTGGAATTTAACCTTTTCAATTCGGGGCCTGCATATTTTAGATAAAGTACCTTTAAGTGAAAATGACGTAATAACACTCTAGTCAAAATGCAATTACGTCAGAGGTAGTGTGCAATTTGCGTATTCACTGGCTTTCCACAAGGACAATTTGTTGCGATTCAGTTTTAAGCACTATCCACTTGCTTTTGAAACCCGTGCATCGATATTTGCCCGGAGGGATGTAGATATAAAAGGAATGAATAGCAAGATTAAAGGGGCTTTTATTTAGATACTTGTTTTTCTTCTTTCCGTCCGTCTGAGCAGCCCGCTGTGTTACAGCTAGACAACACCGCACCTGAGTGAGAAAAAATTAAAAAGGCAGAGAAAGAATAATTTAAAGAGAAACGATGGGTGAGGAAGAGAAGAAAGAGAAGTAGAAAGACAACTAAAATCTTAATAAGTAAAAGACAAATGGAAACAAATGTTAACAGAGAAAATCAGGGTGAAAGTGAAAAAGGAAAGTTCGGGGAGAGAGAGAGAGGTGGAAAGAAAGGAAAGTAATAATAAGCATGAAAATGAAAAGAAAGGACTCAGAAGGAAGAGAAGCGAACGAAAGTGAGAAAATGACCCCAAAAAAATGATACAGGAATGAAAAGAACGATAACAGGAGAAAAAGATAAATCGACAGAGGGAGGGAGAGAGAGAAAGCGAGAGAGAGAGAGAGAGAGAGAGAAAGGGCAATTAGTGCCTAGAGAGGAAAACAAGTGTAAAATGAAGAGAACAAATAGAAAAAACCGCGTAAGAGAGAGAGGAGATCGAGAGAGAGAGTAAGAGAGAGTCTAAAAAGTATCTTTAAGTGAAAATGACGTAATAACACTCTAGTCAAAATGCAATTACGTCAGAGGTAGTGTGCAAATTGCGTATTCACTGGCTTTCCACAAGGACAATTTGTTGCGATTCAGTGAGAAAATGACCCCCAAAAAATGATACAGGAATGAAAAGAACGATAAAAGGAGAAAAAGATAAATCGACAGAGGGAGGGAGAGAGAGAAAGCGAGAGAGAGAGAGAGAGAGAGAGAGAGAGAGAAAGGGCAATTAGTGCCTAGAGAGGAAAACAAGTGTAAAATGAAGAGAACAAATAGAAAAACCGCGTAAGAGAGAGAGGAGATCGAGAGAGAGTAAGAGAGAGTCTAAAAAGAGCAGTGACTTCATGGAGAGCGAGTCCTATTGGTTGCATTCTTAGAATGTTTTGCCGAGATAGATATCGAACGCCTAAGTATCTAGCAATTGATTTTTCTACAAACTTGGTTTCAGGTCATTAATATCACCGCCTGTTCTATTATAGGGCTCGTATTACATGTTTATTCTACAATAATGTTGGTTCTTTCATTTCTAAAAATCCTGATTTGAAATGGCCAAATGAGAATTCGGTGATTTGACTTCAGTTGCTGAGCTAATTTTGGTTATATTGGGTACATACCATTCAAGGCGTTTATTGAAAGCAACTTAATATCACACGTGTCTTTTTCTATAGGGTGACGAAAGGAAATCGGGCGGCATCATGCCCAGAAACCTGATCAAGGTGGCTCCAGCATTGGAGACGGACAACGTTCTTCCAGAGAAGAACGGACTGGAGACAGTGAGTGGAGGGCTCCAGGCTCTTCCAGCCAAGACTCCTGCAGTGTTCCATGAAGACATCCCGCTCCATACGAGATACCGGGATAAGGTGTCATGGTGGGCAATCCTCTACCGGTCTGTGCCCGACGCCATCGGCATCGGAGGGATGAAATATGCCTTCAACCCAGCAGAAGTCAAGTGGAGAAGGTAGGATATTTCTTGATGTATTTATGTCGTTCTAGGATTACAAATAATTGGTGTGAAAGATGCCTTCACGATTATCACACTCATTCTCAATTTGACAAACTGACTGTTTTGAGACATTCTAGAGCAAGCGCCCAGCACAGACGGGTACCAGCGCTATACAATACGTCATCATCGTCATCTTCATCATGATCATCACCACCATCATCACCACCATCAACACTATATAATCATCATCATCATCATCATCATCATCATCATCGTCTTAATCTCGATCATCAATTTTACATCCCATATGTTTCAAGATTTGTTCATCTGGTACAGATGGTAGGTGCTGTTTTCTGACTGAGCTTAAGTTTGTCTAGATTCCAATCGATATAAAGGTATCATCTAAAATTGGGGTTATAGGGGTGATCGTCAGCTTGTGTTCTGTCACTCCCTACAAAGCAAAGTTCTGTCCCCTGTTTGTCACTCCCTACAAAGCAAAGTTCTGTCCCCTGCTTGATGACGTTGTCAAACCAGATGGTTCTCGCTTTTCCTCTATCACTCCTTCAAGTAGAGCAAATCGTGTTTTAGTAACCACCTGCGTCGGACCACTTGTCTGTTAACAATACACTTTTTATTCCCCTTGAATCGATTTGGGATTGATGCATACATTAAAGGAACCTGTACACAAGGACCACCTGCTTATTATTTATTGTCTCCCTTAGCGTTCTTTCGAGACAGGTTTAACTGCCATGGCTTCTATAATCCTCCTCCTCTTATCAAAGCATATGGAACTTTCAATCTTCATTTTTTTATTAATAGGGGCTTTTAGATTTTTGCGTTGACATAGTGGACTGCTATACGTGTGACGTCCTTTTAAGGCACTGGCAGTGCCTTAAAAGGACGCCACAGTGCCTTAAAAATACGTCACATGTGGCAGTCCACTTTGTCGACGTGCAAATCTAAAAGTCCCTATTATTATCATTAACTATCTCTTTCCTTTGTTCTAGATTCTCTTGGCTTTTACTTGTGATGGCTGCCTTCGGGGCGTTGACCTACCAAGTCGTTGATAGGGTACAGCATTTTGCCAGTCATCCTAAGAGTGTGGATGTATCTATCGAATATACAGATTCCATCATCTTCCCTACAGTAGCAATATGTAACTACAACACGTTCAGGTAATAATTAAAGACACGTTCCACGACATTTTGACAAATTGCAAAAAGAAAGGTCTATCAAATTATGATGACTAAAGACTGCAACACACGTTTAGGCTCTGAAGTGTTCAGGAATGTAACGTTTAGACTGTACGAAAATAGATCTTCTCGCTCGGTCGGTCGCTGCGCTCTCTCACATGTTATATCATAGCTGTACACGTAAATATTGTAGAAGATATGTCGTCATTACGTTTGTGATGTTTCGCTCCCCCCCCCCCCCTCCCCGGTCAAGAAATGGCCGTCCCTGCCATTGCCAGTGGCATCTTTAGGAGGTACGGTTCGAATGAAATGCAAATTGCCTACCCCATCGAGGAGGAGAAGATGCATGGTCGAGGGGTTCCCTTCATTCGTATATACTTTTTTGTTCTTATCCCCTTTCCCCTCCTTATTCTTTTATTCAATTTTGTTATCCCCCCCCCCTAATTGTTTGTTTCCATTGTTTTAAATTGGTTCGCAGAAGTTCACAACTGACAGGAACTGAACTCGGAGATTTTCTGACGATTGCCTCCACTGATCCTACATCTTTGAACATGACTAAATATTACGATGTGTTAACCTCCACCAACATGAGTTATTTGATGACAGAGTATGGACACGAACTAGATTTATCTGTTGTATTGTGAGTATTCTTACGAATGGAATAGCTGCTGAATGGTAATACTGCTTCTGCTTTCGCTTCTGCCAGTGCTGCTGCTACTGCTACTCCTACCATCACCACTACAAATACTACTACTACTACTACTACCACTACTACTACGACTACGACTACTACTTCTACTACTACTACTACTACTACTACTACTACTACTACTACTACTACTACTACTTCTACTACTACTACTACTACTACTACTACTACTACTACTACTACTGATACTACTACCATCACCACTACAAATATTACTACTACTACTACTACTACTACTACTACTACTACTACTACGACTAATACTACTACTACTACTGATAATACTACTACTACTCCTACTCCTACTACTACTACTACTACTACTACTACTACTACTACTACTACGGTACTTCTTGTACTAGACACTAAATGTAATTAGTTTAGAAGCGGGTACATCTATGTAATATTCGCGATAAAGAAACATAAAACAAAAAATACATTTAATTACCTCAATCATTATCATTATTAAGTGTAGTATCAATATTATTGGTATCATAATTATTGGTATCAATTATCTTCATTTCCATTCATGGCCATAGCATGGTGATAGTTATGAAAGTGACCACTTCGCTAAGGAATTAATTGGGGACAAATAGAAGGGGGAAACAAAAAAACCAAAACAAAATTAGTGTCCTTTCTCAAAACACACTGTCTATAATGATATGCCTATATCATCGTAAGCATTGAATATTAAAGGGACTTGGTAACATTGTTCAGATGAGAGAAAATGGTGCTAAGGTAGTAACTTCAATGCTAGATGTACAATTAAAGATAATCTGAAAGTTTGAGTGAAAACACACCATTATTAATGATAACAATTGGGGAAAACAGATCTGATCGATTCCTTAATTCTCCCAACAATCGTCACACAGCAATGAATTGGCTCTATAAACCATTCCAGACATTTAAGTGTTGAAAGATTTTTAAAAGCCTGTCTTATATCTTATTTTCACGGAAAACGGTTGGGAAACTTCAAAAATGGTTGGGAGAATTTACTGTTAGAGGGTGTCGCACAGTGACGCCTTCAAAGAAAAACATAAATATCTTTGTGGTTTGAGAATTTTTCAGGATTTTTTGCCTTTTAGAGGGTCAGTACAGTAGAAGGAATATAAAAAGTAACATTTTATTTACAAATTATGCATTTTTTTCACCAACCTTCACCAAGTACCGAGTCACTTTAATAAAAAAAAATCTTTAGAGACTACCTATCAAAGGTTCCTAAGCCTCTTTATTTGATCTTATTTTCATTTATATTTTTTATTTTTGTCTCTTTTTCAAAGTGCGACTTACAGTCGCGTAGATCTAGAGAAGAAAGCTAACTTCTCTGTAAAACTGACTGAATGGGGACCTTGTTTTGTATTCAATGATGCTGATAATGGATACCCACCCGTAACCGTACAACGTGCAGGTAGGTACCAGAGGGGAAGAAGTTATCTTTAAAGCCATATCTTTGAACTACACTGTCGCTCATAAAGTTGGAATATTTTTGTTTTACCCCAATTTATTGAATTATTTTAAATAATAATTTAAGAATAATAAATCTAGATAATAGTATACATTCTCAGATTTTATTGAATAATAATTTGCCAATGTGTGTTTTGCGTGACTGCTAAAGCATGTGTATGCTACTATGCTTATTAACTAGGGGACCTACGCCCTTAAGTCATAAATGACAGTAATGAGGAATAATGCCCCACAAAAGGGCACCAATATAGCACATCGACACGGTTTTGATCCTGGGTCCTCACAATTAGGAGGCCATTGCTTTGTCAAAACCGTGTCGATGTGGTATATTAGTGCCCTTTTGTGGGGCATTAATCCTCATTACTTTCATTTATGACTTAAGGGCGTAGGTCCCCTAGTTAATAAGCATAGTAGCATACACATGTTTTAGTAGTCACGTAAAACACACATTGGCAAATTATTAAATAAAATCTGAGAATGTATACTTCTATTTAGATATTATTTAGATATTATTTTTAAATTATTTTTAAAATAATTCCGTAAATTGGGGTAAAACAAAAATATTCGAACTATATGAGCGACAGTGTACATGTAGAAGCACTAAAATCCATAGCGCCATCTCAGGTCAGTTGTAGCACTATAGTCCCGCAACCCGCTGGTTCCCTAGATATATTAAAAATAATAAATGTATAGGTACTGTATCCTTTTTTGAGGCAGTCACACACATCTATGATAAGTACTATCATAGTTCTAGGCCTATTCGTTTTACAAAACTGCTGTACCTTATCTGATGACAAGATAATGTATTATGTGCAGCCGCCTATTCAGTAAACTCAAGCAGTAAACTCGTCGTAAACCTCTACCAAAAAGGAGAATATGAGGATATAAAAAGAAATCAGCGACTGGAAAATGTTGCTTCGTTATTCTTTATTCAAATGAAAACAGAAAATTTAACACATATACTCATTTTATAACAACAACAAATCTAACTTCTGACAGGATAGCATTTACGTAGGCTGCCATTCACTCCACAAAGCCCATGCTCATCGTTCGTGACGTCACGAATAGAGGCCCGACTCTACGTGCAATTCCGTGTTTCAAACTTTGTGAATTCGGGCCACTGGCCCGAATTCACAAAGGAGGTTTGTCGACAATCCTTGGTTTTCGTGCGTCATATGACGCGTTTCGACGCATTTTTACAAACCAGGTTTGTAAAAAAACGCGTAAAAACGCGTCATACGACGTACGAAAACCTCCTTTGTGAATTCGGGGATCGGTGGAGTTGGTGGAGTTAGTTGAAATTTTTTTACTGATGTAATTATCTCAATATTTGGGATTGTCTTAGAATATCAACTTTTAGGTTGTGAAGGGCGTTACAGGACGGGGGGGGGGGGGCTGGTTGACTCCCCCATTACATATATTTTGTCGGCAAATTTCATATATTCTTTTTGCTTTTCGCATAAATCCAAAAGGAGAAATAAACATAATTAAAATTGTCTATACATTCCTGGATTTCCAGATTAGATTAAAAGAAGATGGGGCTTGGGCCATTTGTCAGTTGTGCAACCCCCTCTAGAGCGGCAAGTGCATGTATGTTACCAAATTTCAATTTGAAGTTCTAGTTGTTGCTTTCGAGTGAGTAAGTCTCCGGACTGTCAACCACAATAAACAGGGTTCCATTCCCTGTCGAAGCACTAATGTCCTTTGACAAATCGTTTATATACATTTCCCACACTCAACGAAGGTGAGGTAAATGGGTACCTTGCATCATGGAGTTACTAGTAACTCCATGCTTGCATGAATTACTTCCTTAAAATGCTCGAGCGCTGTAACGGCAGCCGTGGTAAAGCCGGGATAAAAATAATGGAGCGCCAAGAGTGGTAATGTGCCAGACATGAGTGCAATACAAGACTCCACTATTCTTCATTTTTTTCTTCATCTTCTTCTTCTTCATTTCTTTTCTTCTTCTTCTTCTTCTCATAATTTAGTATTAATAATAATATCATAATTATAATCACCATCATAGGTAAATCCTACGGATTGGAACTAATGCTGGATGTGCAGCAATGGGAGTATTTCTTTAGTCCATTTACTCGCCAATCGGCAGGATTTCAAATCCTTCTCTACGACTATGGCTCAGTACCCCTGATTGAAGATCAGGGCTTCGGGATTTCTCCTGGAACGCATACCCATGTAGGAGTTGAAGTGACAGATGTAAGTTAAAGTAACTTCATAACGAGTTCTGTAATCCGAATTCAGTTTAATGTTAGCCTAATATAGAGAGATGCTGTCTAAAAAGACACAATGCATAGCTTTGTCTTGTGGGAATCTGTTTAAAGGGTCCATGGACATGATTGTATAAAAGATGCATGTGCCATCACTACGAAGATATTAGTCCACCCTACAGATAACTTATTTGCCTGATCAAGCTGACGTCATGTACAACTCAATCTTTGATTAAATCTATCTAAACCAGCTCGAGATTGCCAAATAACCCGCTATTTTAATTATCTCGATCGCAACTTATTCAGCTTATTTGCGTCTTCATCAGCCCGCAGTTGCAATTAGCGGGATACTTGGTCTAGATAATCATCCCGAGATATTGTGGGCTAGTTTGCAAAATATTCCGATATTTGTCCGGTGCCTCTCCACCAGCCCGAAGACTCGCACTATGCGCGAACGCTGAGCAAAATATCTCGAGTCAATTTCTTGAGCTCGAGTTTCGAGGTTCGAGGTCGAGTCTCGAGCTGATGATGACATACCTCCCCCCCTAGTAATCTCTGATTTTACGTTACATTTTCATAGGTAAACAATCTGAAGCCTCCCTTTGGATCATGCGAGGATAAGGAATTAAAGTACTCTGATCACTATGGCTATGCAGAGTGCGACCAAGAATGCAAAGCGGACTTTTATATCGACACTTGCGGTTGCCGGCCTTACGCTGCTCCAGGTGAGAGTGCCTCAGGATACCACAATATGGAACATGATGACACAGACTGGAATTTATAAAGCGTACCAAATATAAATACATTACGGCGCTTTAGCATTCAAATGAATTAATTCTTGCCAGGTGCCCATGTACCTCACCTCGGTGTTGTGTGGCAAATGTAGATTAATGTCTTGTCAAAGGACATTAGTACCGCGGCGGGACTCGAATCGCAGACCTTGTGATCCACAGTCCGGTGACATATCCACTCGACCACGACTCCCAATATTACATTCATCATTGTTTTAAAAACACAGAAGGTTGACCTACATTGCAATAATAAAACAATAAGAAATTTATAAAAATATGTATGGAAAGTATGAGAAAAAGTGAAACCTCCATGAGATGATTAGGATATTTCATGTTCATTTCATTGATATTTCATAAAGATCACTGCCGACTGGAGACTAATTGACAACTCGATCACCAGGCTGTGACATAGACATTAGCCCGTTATTGTGCTGTACGATTATTAAGCTATTTCAACTTTCCAATATATCCCGAAGAAGATGATTTTCTCTAGCCTCGGTGACCTGTTGTCAACACCAATTTCAATCTAGCATAGACGGAATACTAGAAACAGGATATATAAAAACTAGTGATATTTATTTACTTTGAATCATTTCATCAACAGATTTAGATTCTATAGCTGAATGCAACAACTGGGAATTTTTCACCTGTGTGCTATCGGGTTTCGGTAAGAATACTTGTGCGAAGTTGAATATCTGAACCGTTTTTTTGTTGTTAAAGATTCGATTAAAAAGTATTTGCAATGTGATTCTGTGATTTGTTGTTTTGCAATGCACATACACAGGAATACAACGTACATTCGACGTGTAAATGATAATGTAGGCCTGATTGTGAATAATTAAAAAACACATTCATTTTTCAAATGCACCTGATATAGTGCAACAAAAGTAACAATTGTACAGTCATTTACAAATACGGTATTGTTATCCAATAAAATATTTTTATTATCATGGTTATCGATGGATTTGTTAAACAAAGTCGAGTCGTCTGCATTTTCTTTAAGGGGGGGGGGGGGTGCATAGACCGGCTGTGCCCCCTATATCGGGCACTTTACTAAAATTATTACGTATATTCGCACTGTATATATAACGTAATAATTAGGCATAATTATGTTGAACCTTTGACGTATTTTCCTGCATCACAGCGCAATTCGTGACCAACCACACGTGTGATTGTCCAGTGCCTTGTAGTTTTCGGACTTATAAACCAACCATCTCGACCACAAAGTTCCCATCAACATTCTGGACAAATGTGTACTCTGCATTATTTTCGTTTCCAGCTGAAGTTTTTCCGTGAGTACTACTACACCGGACTAATGGCAGGCCGGGATGAGCCGATATTTGCTCTGGCGATAATTGCTCCGGGCTTCATTTCCTCAAAAGCAGGGTTTAGGTTAGGGCCGCAATTGTGGTTTAGGTTATGTTTAGGGTTAGGGTTAGGTGAAGTTCTGGGTTGAAGTTCGGCTTTTGGTCGGTGTTAGAAAGTGCTGCGGAGCAATTGTCGCAGGAGTTTGTGTCGTACAACCGCCAGGCGGGTTATTTGTATGGTGCTTTCTTTCTTTTTTTTTAAATGTTTTTTTTTTACAATAAGATCCTTTTTTATATTATCATTATCATTAGCGCTTAGAGACTTCGGTGGTAAGCGCTTTATAAGTAATGTTTTTATCATTATTATTATTATTACTATTATTATTATAATTATTATTATTATTATTATTATTATTATTATTATTATTATTATTATTATTATTATTATTATTATTATCATTATTATTATTATTATTATCTTTATACGAGAATCTGCACTCGTTAAAATCAACAGTTTAAAACAGTTGAAATTGAAATTAAGTTAAAAACTAAAAGACTCTTACTCACTAAATCTTAAACTCGTAGACACACTCGTTCACATTTGTTAACATTTCTCCCTCTCAGCTCAACTCTATAAAAGGGCTAACCAGTAATGCTGGGGTAGCAATAGTGGGAGGGCCAGCAGAACGAGGAATAATGAGAACCGACGAGGCATCCCTGGGTAACAGAGTGCTTACGTCATATTTGCCCGTCGTTCAGGTTATTGGTTCTAAACAACAGAGCCAGTGCATGAGGTTCACCGCGAAATCAATCAAGCAACGGGCTGGAGGAGGGCAAATTCAGTCAGTGTTTGGGGCTTTTGTGATCACCACACCAATTTTTTTTAGCACAAAATTGTTTGGAACTAGTTACGTTGACCATGTTGACAACTTGGCAAATAACACGTCACTCTTCCGTACTCTATACGCGAATAAGATCAAATCTATATCGTTTATCTTTGTCTTTATTTTTACAGAGAAAACATCTGCTTCCTTTCGATATACTTCCAAGAGATGAGTATTCAGCAGATAAATCAGCAGGTTGATTACACTTTCTTCAGCTTACTGTGTAAGTATAACTATAAATACGATTACCAAGTCGTGTGTAAAATCAACCTACCTAAAGCCTCGGTTACAAATACCATTACGAACTGCAACGAACGCCGTACGAACGATTTTCAGACAATGGAAATTCGGGAAGACAATGGAAAAACAGGGAGATTCGTACGAAATTATCGTTCGTACGAACCTTTGTGACCGTAGCATAAGGCATTTTTGATTGCCTTACCATCACCCATTGAAGGAAAAAGTGCGAACATAACAATGACGGGTTATGTACTCCGACCATGATACCTATGGAATCAACAAGAGGGTATTTTTCCTAGAATTTATTTTTCAAAAGTATTTGCGATTGTCTAAATAGTATCCAAGGAATAAACATCAGTAAGGGCGTTAGTTGGAAATTTTACCTTTTTGAACCATGCGACGTCAAAGGAGGGAGGGGTTTGCTTAATTACACAGCAAGATAATCAAAAGGTATTTTCAATATTTTGTCCTCAAATTCTACACCAATGAGTGCTTATTATGGAGCAGCACCTTTGTAGTAATACTATTTTCATGTGTGAAACCATATGCTGACTATAAACTTCTTTCCTTGTATAGCGATATTACCTCAGATTCCTTTCTCACATGTATCACATATTTACCTTTTTGATTAATTTGCTACTATACAGGATTGTAGTCTTAAATATGTCCTGTCCCGATAACTAAGCTGTTTTGTAATCATTCCATAATCAATAAACAGAAAAACGAGTAAAACCTCATTTTAAAGTACAGTGCTTATTTTCAACACTTGAAAACATGTATAGTTTACATTGGGTTACCAAAATATGCACTGCCTCTCCAAAATTTGAAATGTGTCACTGGATATCTATATATATTCCTTTCTTATGCCTTTAATTAGTTCTGTTTCGCTTTTGTTTGATTTTCCATCCTTTGTAGGCGACATCGGAGGTTCTCTCGGACTTTGGCTCGGGGGTAGCGTTCTTACCTTTTTTGAGTTTTTCGATCTGTTTAGTAATTCAATATATGTCTACACTAAACGAGTGCCAAATAGGAGATAAAGCAAACAAACATACCTTGAAAAAACAGGACAATCAACAGAAATGTGCAGGTCCTTTTCTACTTTCTGCACGATACTGAACTATTTTTCTTGAACTATAAACGAATTGTGTTATTTATTATGTTTCGTATGTAGGAAACTTTCGGCTAAGTATTTTATCGTACATTAAAGCCCTGACAAAACTATAGATAAATACAGTTTATGATTTGTTCGAAACATCAACGCAGGCGATGATAATAATAATGAAGAAAAAAACACGAACCTATGGAATATGTTATATTTATAAATGATACAAATTATTATTAAGAATGCGAATTTCATGGTATATATCTAGATGCTATGAACGTTTTAATCATGACAAAAACGTAGAGTTTGTTGCCAAGAACATAATGTTGGAAGGTGTCGTATAAAAGACAATCCTTTATATATCATTGCTGCCTGAGATTATATTTATCTAAATAAAGTGCATGAAATGGATTGTGACTAAAAAGGTAAGAACATCATTGTATGTGTGTGCTAGATTCATACTAAAATCTCTGATCTCTGAAAATGATTACTATATGTAACGTTATGCATGTACCATATGTTTCTATTTGATTATATTGTTTACAATAAACCTAATATTTTTTTTACCATATGGGCACACCCAACATTAATTAATCAACATTCCGACAATAGAAACTCGACAACAATTTAACGAAAAACGAGATATATTAGGTATTCAGTATTTTTGAAAGGATAAGAGTCTTAATGGACTCAGGACTATGTAAATGTATATGCAGTGAAATTTGCATATCACGTACTTTATTTTTTTCGTATTTTTTTTTTAATTACGGAGAAATGAATGGGTACAAAGTATCAGTAAAAGTGTTGTAAAGATGGAGATTGTTAAAAATGTATTCAATGCTTTAAAGTGAATTAAAATAAAATTATCAAAAGCAGTCGAATTCAGGTAATTGTAAAATTAGATAATGAGCTCATTGTGCTCAATATGATAAATATCATATAGACCATAAGCTTTTGAAATCGGGCCAAATGTAAATAATGCGACAGTTACCTTGAAATACCACAAGAACTTTAATATTTCAACAGTTTATAGGGGAAAATGTCTTCTATTTTCGAATTATATATTCTAAACATACTCTAAACACCTTGATTTAATACAGTGTAACATAAATAAAAAAGCGTACTTTGGAAAATAAAGTGCAAAATGATGTATATTTTTTAGAACGTCAATCATGAAACTATTTGTGTGTAAATATATTCAGATTTCCAGAGATTGCTGAACTTTGATTTGAGGAGACAGCAGTTTCAACAAACAATGTGTATATTGTGTACCGAATGTTTGCCATTCATAATGACGACTACAAATATAGTAAGAGTTGCAGAGGTTTATCCATTTTTCATTAGATGTAAATAATAGTTTATCATTTTAATCTAAGCTTGTCATCACCTTCAGTAATTTTTGTTTAAATTATAGATTTTAAGGAAATGTCTCTTTTATTTGTAGTTTCATTAAGAGCGTATTTTGTTTTTCTTTCTGCTATTACTGTTCTTCTTATTTTTATTATCAATATTCGTATTTCAGTTTACGCCAAGAATGATTATAAGTATATGCACCTTATGTACATAATTATGTATCTGATTGTGCAAATATCATGTTAATCGACATTTCCCTTTCGTAGATGTCACATATCCTATTTTCTTGTGGAAGAATCTATGGAAATATGTATTAATACAAATTGTCTGCAATAAATGAATTATCTTTCGAAAAGCTCATTCTGCTGAGTGAATGTATTCGCCTAGTTTAAGCGTGCTCTTCTTTGATGATTATTAATTTTGAAAGAAGAATGATCTACTTTTGTCGTTACCCACTACATGAGGTAATAATGATGATGATACTGGTGATGATGATGATGATGATGATGATGATGATAATGATGATGATGATGCTACTACTACTACTTCTACTACTACTACTACTACTACTACTCTTACTACTAACTATAATAATGATGATAATAACAATAATAATAATCATAATCATAATCATGATAATAATGATACTAATGATAGTAATTATAATAATGATAATTAAGTTTCAGTAACAGTTTATTTATTGTTTCATATTTCACATATATTATTAACATTTACAGTATATGGTATAAATAAACGTGGACTCTATTAACAGAGGCAACAACAGAAAAAAGAGTACCTTATATCAAATTCTCGTTCAAATGCATTAAATTTAAAGACTGAACTTTTTAAAAAGGGTGAAATATGGAGGGACTTATGGTGAAAGCTAATAATAATAATAATAACATTAATAAAAAAATACCAAAAGTAATAATAATAGTAACAAAAAAGACAAACACAAATTATACCCCAATATTCAATCATATGTTATTGTTATATAATCATATATTATATGTTATTATATCTGCACACGGAAACACTTATACTTGCAAAACGATAATGTCGATACAAAGTAATACAAATTATGAAAACGACTAGATTAGAGAAGTTAGTCCAGAGTGTATTTTTCTTGACTTTCTTGTCGTTTGATAGAGAAAATAATCATCCGGTTACAATAATTAATACTTGCTAACTGACTATGATATATTTTAATTTTGACTGTTAGCGTTTGACATAGAACATATCTACCAAAATGTTAATTAATAATAAAAAAAATACACTTTTTGTATCTTCCTATGTTCCCGACCCTAGAGCTGTTTCCTTCGAAATCGGATCGTAAACGGTCGTATAGTCCGATCTGTTGGTCTCATTTGTCATGTTGATATAGCAAACAGCATTTAGTAAAATTGGAAATAATCACCCGGTTACAAGCATTTACACTTGGTAAACTGCCAATGCAGGGGTGGCCTATGATACATTCTACTTTTGACTATTAATGTTTGACATAGAACATATCTACCGATTTTTTAATTAATAATAATATATTTACATTTTCTCTATCTTCGTCTTCTTCTTCTTCTTGATTTGATTTTGTTTGGCAATCAGTCACAGTTGACTATTTTTGCCACACACTATATTATGAATTATTTATATATATACATATGTACAATTTCATGTCATAAATGACTATTTTTAGGATTCTTTCTCTTTCCATCCCCTTTCCTTCCGCTTATTTTTTTTTAGATCCTATATTTTTTTTTTAGAGAAAATTCAATAAATTAATAAATTTGGAAAGAGACGGCCTAGCAAGTTGTACGTACCTGTGTTTACGCGCACGTGCGCGTTCACATATCACCTCTGTATGCACATGTGTACTTCGCACTCGGATGAAGAGCTAGCCTTTAGACAAAGCCTCGTATCTGATAATGATATTTATATCTGACGCCGAGCGACTAAAAAGAGACTAATTGCGAAATCCCGAGTGACCGCCATAGCGAGTGGTTCAGCCATGAGGCCTTTAGTAATCTGCTTTGGATTTCTTATGTTAACCTTTGTTTCCGACTGGAGTTTTCTACCGAAATGGTAGCGTCCAATCAGCGAACGTATCATCGCGTGACGTCACCATTACGCACACAATAAACTCTACGTAGTACGAATACCTATAACATTGAACGAAAACGAGTTGAACTGGTTCATTTTATATACAAGGAAAGTCCAATTATCTCACTTACAAGTGTTAGCTCAAGTCATCAAATGCTTCATATTTTATTGTAATTTTGCATGTAAAATAGATTCGGATGTGATATTTTGTATTAATCATTTATATGTTCATCTTACATGTTTTGATAATAAACGAATCACGAACAAAGCCAATTGGGGGATAGCCAGGATCAAAAAAGCCTCCTGGCTAACGCCACTCGATCACGCGTTCACCCAAGTCTCTAGATCTCTCTTCGTTACCGGCTAGACTCATCTCAGCCGCTGATTGTCGTGGAAAATAGCCCGAGTCACGAGGCCTTGTCAAAAGGCTAGTAAAGAGCCGACCCTAAAGCTTTTTTCATCGAAATCCGATATTCCGATCGTGTTGGTCTCAATGTTTTGGGATGAGCTCTCCAGATCTATTTTCTGACATTAGGTGCACGTTTTGAGTGGATGTATATCGAATTACCAAACAAATCCAAGAGTTCAAAGAAAGTTAGGATGCTTCCTCCGAGCCACAGTCCAAGCGAACCGCCCATGTCACCTGGGGATAAAGTAAACATACACATTATCGAGCAAAAACACAAATCACAACAAACATTTTTTTTGAAGATCTATATAAAAAAAAAAAAAGGAAGTGGGGTTTTTAACACCATCATCCTTCAATTCACCTTGCACACTATACAGCCACATACACAATTGTTTTTCTCTCATTGTTTTTTTTATAATATTTTTTATAACAATGATATTGTCATGATTGTGGACGAACGGCAACACGCTATCCATAATAACCATGGGTTCAGCCCCGAGATGAAATTCACAATCCACAACAGGTATTTCATAATAGTTTAGCGTTCCCTAAATCAGACATTTAGCCTTAGATTCCATCACAGTCGGTAGTCAGACTTATTCGCTAATTTGGGATTCACATAGATTAAGTGATCGCAACTTTCAAACATCCATAAACTGTCTGTCTATTTTTTAATTTCATTGTCAGCTTCAACATAAATTAGCTTATTACATAATAGATTTAGGATAGCCCTTAAAAAAACAGGAGGAAATAGAATTATTGCACATTCTTCTCTACTTTCATACAAATGATCAAACTATGAAATTGCACTGATTTCGTATTCCTTCTTATTAACAATACATATTTTTTTGTTGCAAACGCTTAGGTGCTTCGGATAGTGTATAATCTTCTCCTAGATTGGATATGCATTTCTCCCAATTAAGAGCAGCATTGGTATCAAACCTACTTACACAGAAAGCTGAAGAAATTGTAATCCACGTTCTGGGTGACCTGTTGGATACTAATCTCCTTGAAGAATATCGAAATCAAGCAAAAGTTGTCCCTACAAAATAGAAAAAACAGAGTAAGTGTATTAAAGGGGATCAAATAAGCGTGAAAACAAATTTGGTGCACGTATTGATAAATAAAATAAATCAATTAAATTCCCCCGGAAAAAAATTACCTTTCGAAATATCGATAAAACCAACAATTATTAAATTTAATAACTGACCTATCAGTTGTATTTATATATTTTGTTCTAAATATAATGCTTCCTTTGAGAAATTTTAGTTGTTTGAAGACATTTTGGGCTTACACCAAGAAAACAAAATTGCGTGCTCGATCTGTAATTGAAACAAGTCAGGAAAATAAATATTACTGGGTGTAAGCCAAAAATGTGTTTGAACAATCAGTTGCATATTTGTTTTCATGTCAGCTATTTTGCCGTTTATATTGGAATAGAAGCACTGTGGAATATTGGTGAAGGACTCTTACATCTTCTTCCAGAGTTCCTGGATTCAGACCTTGTTCAGTAATAACTTTGCGCTTTTAAATGGTAGGACAGAAACATGCATGGCGCTGTCTAAATGCTGTGATCATCATCTTACATCTTAGACAAGGTACTAGCGGCGCCCTCGTGACGAGCAGTTTTAATACTGATGAGGCTACCCTGGGTTATAGGACCATATTATTCTCAAAATTATATCCTTACAATTTTAAATACATTTAAATACATACAGGACAAATGTCGACTTTCAGCTATCACATGTAATAGCAGGTTAACGATACTGGTCAGATTATATCTATATATAGGCTACATATATACCCGGTATACTTCATCGCTTTAAACAGAATGCCTGTCAGTGAATGTTCCTGCTGGATTTTAAGATCAGAGAATGTTTTTTTATAAATAAACCTGCAAAAGGTTAGAATTAATTGGATGATCTAACCAAACATTACCCCGCATGCCTAAACAGACGTTGTCTGATAACATGACATGGCCACAGCACGTTGTGAGGTATGCCTGTGAATGCGCCAGCTCTAGGCAAGGCTCGGCCAATCGCGATTACCCGCTATTGTGGATGATAGCAAAAAGTCGATATCGGTCCTGGGTGTTTTATTAAAGGGTACTCACTGCATAAATCCATCAGGAAACGAGAAAAGAGAGGAGTACCTGCTCTCCACGTATGCCGAAGGGTAGGCCGTGTTTGAGATAGATGGTTTGTAGGAGCGAACATGACAAGGCACTGGGCAGTCACAGGTATGGTTCTTAACGAATCCTTCTAACAAGGAGTAAACGAATAATAAACATTGCAATTATAGGTTATGTAAATAATCTGATTTGATAAAAAAAGGCTTGTTTCTGGCTAGTTGCAAACTACAAGGCTAAATGGCAGATCACGTCAACATCAAGCAAACAGACGTTAGCGATGTATTTTTGAGTTTGTGTGCTAGTCACTTGTGTTAGGAAGACACTCTTATAATAGAAACGAAATGATAGGCAGTTTAATACCTCTCTTTTTGCCGGACCACTCCAAAGTAACTGCTACTAAGAGGGCCGCTATGCCATATAAAAAATATCCGGGACACTTATTTAGAAACCCCACGACAAACCCTATTCCCTCGTGAATATTGTTCGGGATGTAATGTAGCTGACTTAAGCTACGTTCATACGGACAAAAGTTACCCTAGTGCAAATTTACCGACAATTTCCTGACGGGTGGGATGGGGGGGGGGGGGGGGTTGACGCACCCCACACTCCCCCTTTAGCGACACCTCTGGTCTTTATCCCATTATTCTTTTAAAAATAAATGCCTTTTAATAGTAATTCCATATGGTCTCGCACCTCTCTTCTATCGTTGTTTAATTCTTTTTCCCTTTTTTCCTTTCTCCTTTAACTCACAAAAATTCTCTCCCCCCCCCCCTTTTTTCATCTCTTTTTTTTCTTCTGTTCTTCTTGTGCTTTTTTTCCTTGGGGAGAGGGGCTAGACGCCTGGCAAGAGGGACCCCATATTATGCACACTGCAAAATTGCGTGCCCCCGCCCCTTTTCCGGTAAAAAACACACACACCTTGTTATAATATCATCCCCCTTTCTTTTTTCCCCTTCTCATTATTCTCCTTTTCTCCCTTTTCTCTTCTCCGTCTTTCCCTTTTCTTCCTTTTCTGCCTTTTCTTCTTCGTTCTCTCTTCCCTTTTCTTTCTTTTCCCCTCCTTTTTCTTTCCCCCTTCTTTTTCTTCTTTTCTCCCTTTTTCTTTTCCCCCTTCCCCCTTTTTTTTACCGGGGGGGGGGGGGGGAGTGCCCCCTGTACCCCCCTGAATCCGCCACTGGTATAGTTGTATAGATGTACAGTTTCCTGCGTTCTGATTGGCCGACTGGATAGACGTATAGTCGTATAGTTGTATAGTTGTATGGATAGTGGCATGCTTGGCCCGCCATATACGCCGCCATATTTACCTCGACTAGCTCTTAGCACGACTTTTGGCTTTACCCTAGGGTAACTTTTGTCCGTCTGAACGTAGCTTTAGACGTTTTCCTTTTTTCGGTTGTAATCGGATAATTAGTAAAAGTAAACATTTATCTTGAAACCTAAAAGAAGCATATTGATTGCCGGAACAAAGGGAGTCAGCATGTACATGTATCGTTATTATATATTAGGGACTTTTAGATTCTGCACGACGAGAACGTGGACTGCCCTTTTAAGGCAATGTGACGTTCTTTTAAGGCACTGGCAGGGACGTCACATTGCCTTAAAAAGGCAGTCCGCGTTCTCGTCGTGCAGAATCTAAAAGTCCCTATTATATGGAGTCAGTCGTCGGAATGCAGCGATGTCGGGAAAGACTATCTGAACACAAGGGACTCAGAATAAACAGTGGAATTGGATCCGGTACATAGCAATCAATCCCCCCAAAAATATACAATGGACACAAATAGCAGTATCAAGAATATACCTGTTGAGTATAATGAATGCATTTTTATAGTTATTTTTTCCTCACGACTAATGACCTCAGCGGGCTTCTTCTTACCCCAATGTTCACCTCCACACAAAAAGTAGTCCAAGACAGTACACTCTTCGTCATTCGTAACCACTATGGAAAAAATTGTCTTAAAATGTTAATATTACATTTCATATTGTTATGTGATATGGTAACTATCAGAATTATCAATCTTTATGTTATTTTTTCTGGATGGGGGAGGGGGGGGGGGGGTGGGAGGACGAACCGCGTGGAAATGTTGTCCAGGAGGACAGGAGGACTGTTACAGGTTACAGGAAAGTGACTCACAGAATACCCTTTTTTCAAATACTAATTCGAACTGCCATTGACATTAGTTGCTCGTTCCCTCTTTTTTCTTAGACTGTCATTACATTAAGTATCCTGTGGTGCCTATAACTCACAAGCATAGCTTTCAGCATTGGCCCCATCCTTATTTCACTCTTTTATTTTTTATTTTTATACCTCAGTCTTTTAGTTTTATGCATTGAAACAAATCGATATGAGGTACTCACTTTATTTTTTTTGGCTCTGTTAATATGCTTCTCGTTCATTTGTACCAGTTATTATGTGAAATCGCTGTAAATATGAAATACATTTGAAATATGGAACAATAAACTGAAACTGAAATTGAAACTTCACTTTTTAAGTCATGTTAATGGTTAAACCACACTTTAGGGGAAAGAAGTTGGGGAACGTCAATTGCACTAGTCCGTAAAATAACCTGTGATTGATAGTGAGATAATAATTGCATACATAGGCATATTTACAAAAATGCCCCTTTTTAGCTGTTAAACTCATTTAAGAAAGCATCACATGTAAAAAAAAAAAGAATTGTCGTTATACAATAAAACTTACTTGGTAAAGCAAAAAACTTGCAGCCACATGCGTTATAAAAATAATCGGATCTGCACTCGATGAAACACTCGGGGTAGCCATAGTTATTGAAATACTTCAGTGCTTTATCTTGGCACAATCCATAAGGGGGCTCCAGGTTGGAAGTCTGAATGTGAAAAGAGTTAGGTTTAAGATTTGTCAGTTTTCTCATATATTATGAAATCAGTTTGGATGGATTAATGTCGCCTGAAAAGAAGTGCTCTTCAAGAGCCATTATATTCGAAATGTGCCAGAAATAGGTGAACAGTTTGGATGAAATCATGGACCTAGTAGGTCCGTGATGAAACTTTCATGCACATGTGTACGTATGTATGTGCGTGTGAGTGAGTATTTGCGTGCGTGTGCGTGCGTGTGTGTGTGTGTGATCCCATATACACGTTTCTGTGCGCAGTGCATGTGACTTTCCATTACGATTTGGCCAATTACTTCATCATTCCAAAACCTTAAATGTACTACATAATCCACCTTTCCTAAATGACTCCTGACTGTTTCTTCATCAACTTCAACATTAACTTCAACTTCAACAAAATGTATTTGTCAAAAGGAAAACATGAAGACCTTCGGAATTGTTGGATCAGTTCTGCATCGAGTCAGATGGACACTCCCCTATCTCTCTTTCGCTCTCCTCTCTTCATTTTTTCACTTACAACATACAATTAATCAGTTGGGTTATATTCCTCTTTACATTTTCAGCTTGATTTATTTATTTTGTCCGACAATTTGTATAGAATTTCGGGCAACCACTTATGTGTGCTCGATTTCGCGGTTTGCTTACAGTAAGGCTATGAATGGCTCTAGGCTTTTTTTTTAAATCAACGATTAAGCTGTGGTCACAACTCTAAAGCGTAGCCTGCTCGGCGGCCGGGCGGCGAGTTTTTATCCAATTTCGCCCGGGCACCCTTTGTTTTTGGGGCATCGCTCGGTCGCCGCTGAAGTTTTAGCGCGGAGTTAAAATTCGGGCGGCGCCTGCTCACTTTCACTCGCCGCCAAAATACGCTCGGTGCCCGGACGGTCGCCTCCCGGGCACCGACCTAATCGAGCGTTCGCCGTCGAGCGATTTAGGTCAAAAATCGAAGCCGACAGGGCCCCGCCCAGGCATCGCTGGGGCTCTACAGCCTGCTTGACTTCTCCAAAAATAGTTGGGCGATGCCTAAATTCCAGCGGCGACCGAGCAGGCTACAAATCGGTCGGTCGCTGCTCTGAGTTGTGACCATAGCTTTACATAAGTGAAATATGTACAGCTGGGACCGATGCTATCTCTACAATGAAATTGTCTATATACCTCAGTTACTTCAACACCAACGTGGGTATGGGTTCCAGGTGCTATTGCAAAGCCTTGATCTGTAATGAGTGGTTCTGTGCCATAGTCGTAAAGAAGGACTTGAAAGCCTGTGGAGTATCTGGCCGTTGAATCGATGAAGCTCTCATATTGCTCGACATTGAGCCCGAGCTCCAATCCTTGCTCTTTACCTTAGAAAAGAGAAGGTGATTAGGATTAACAGGGAATTGGGATATCTTCAAGAGGTAGAGTACTTTAATTTGCGCGACAGCGTTTGAGTTCGCACACGGACCTCACTCGGCGGTGTGAAGCTAGCCCACACAGAATCACGAATCATACTTTCACCACATGAACATTTATGAACGGGGCGGTGGGGTAGATAACCGTTATAGCAAACACTAAGAGCAAATGGAAATTCATATACGACTGGCTAATCGAATCCACCCTAAAATGGTTTTCTAAGTTGGAACTTATATTTTGGCTCAATTGATCTGGCTATTGAATTGATTCGATACACGTAATCCCCAAAATCTTAAAGGGGGTTTGTCATGGCAAATACTGGTTATCGTAATCTACGATTTCTTTTGGACAACTACACGTTGGTGGCGCTGCAAGAAGACGCCTATAACCTGGCAAGTAGGCCAATTTACTACGAATATTGCATTTATACACGATTTCATCTGAGAACTCTATGTGTATTCTACGTTATATTTGACAAGATAAACGATGCTCTTGCCACAACGCCGATGGCCAGGTGATGGAAGTACGTAGACGATCTGACTATAGCCGAGAGTCGCAAGAAGGATGATGAAAGCGCAATCGCAACAGCAATAACTGATTTCCAATTGTGGTGTGACGACACTCAACTACGACTAAATCCAGCAAAGTGCAAAGTGATGCAAGTGTCATTTGCACGAGCGGCCATCCCCTATCCACGCATTGAGCTGTGTAACAATGTTCTTGAAGAAGTCAAGGAGTTGAAATTGCTTGGGGTTATTATCCAGGCCAACCTCCGGTGGAATAGTCATGTGAACGAAATCATCAAGAAAGCGTCGAGGAAATTCTATTTGATTAGATCTCTGAAGCGCTTTAATGCTCCAAGGAAAGATTTGTTGACAGTATATACCTCGTACATACGACCTACAATGGAGTATTGCGTACCTCTGTGGCACTCTGGTATCACCGTGCAGCAAAGCAATAACATAGAGATGATCCAGAAAAGGGCTCTTCGCTCTGTGACCAATATGTGAGCTACAGAAATGCCCTCCAAAAGACTGAGCTCCCAATAAACAAAACACTAAAAAGTAACCTCTTTTGGGAGTGTATTTTAAGTGATTTTAAAGTAAGGTGCCCTTTGAACTAAATTTAAACGTTATCGACACGTGCTTTCATTTAAAAAAAAAGTACTCCTGTTCACGTTTTCATCTAACCTAAAAACCCCCAATTTATCACGCGACTGGAGTAACGTGATTCCACTTACCTCTGTAAATCACATGTTTATGACCAAATAACCACTTGACCAAGCAACGGGTTTTTGGTCCGTTAACCGATGGTGGTGATAAATAAGTAATTATTCGGTCTTGTAAGCACCTTAATCGATTGGTTTCACAGGTTATCCAAGGTTGATGGTAATAATCACGTTACTTACACCGGCTAATCGTCTTATTGTTCTGTCCGTGAATCTCTGGTTATATTTAATTAGTAATTCTGAGATGTTTTACACACCTCTTTAAATGGTTTCAAAGTTACCATAACTTTCTTGGTTATGATCACGTAGCTAAAACTGATTACTAATCTAAGCTGTGTATCCGTGATATTTAGGTGTGAAAAATTAGTAATTATTAGGTGTCTTAAAACACCTATTTAAATGGTAGTCAAAGTTGCCAGCAGTTCCGCGGTGATGATCTCGTGACTCAAACGAAACGGATTATTAATCTAAGCTGGGCATAAGTGACTTTAGGTGTGAAAAATTAGTAATTGTTAGGTGTCTTAAAACACCTTTTTAAATGGTTTCAAAGTTACCATAACTTTATTGGTGATGATCACGTAGCTAAAACTGATTACTAATCTAAGCTGTGAATTCGTGATATTTAGGTGTGAAAAATTAGTAATTATTAGGTGTCTTAAAACACCTATGTAATTGGTAGTCAAAGTTGCCAGCAGTTCCGCGGTGATGATCTCGTGACTCAAACGGATTATTAATCTAAGCTGGGTATTCCGTGATTTCCGGGTGTGAAAAATGAGTTATTCTTGGGTGTCTTGATGGTTTCACAGTTATCATTTAAGTTCCGTGGTGATAATCCCGTGTCTGTTGGCATATTTCTATTTTCACCAGTTGATAACTGACTGTTGGCATCTTTTTATTGCACCAGTTGATAACCGGTCTGTGTGCATATTTCCAGTTGCACCAGTTGATGACTGCTGGCTGACTGTTGGCATGTTTCCAGTTGAACCAGCTGACACAAATTAATTTGCATATTGAATATGGGGTGCGTGCAAATCTATGTTTTTTAAACAGTTTATCTGAATTTACAGCATATTTTTTAATTACTGATGATTTAGTTATATGCAATTCATTTCGAAAATACTACAAATATAAATTACCAGTTATTAGGACATTTCGCTACTTCGTATAAATTACATTTAATTAAACATGAATAAGGAAAACATTAACTAGAACTAAAATAATTTCAATTAAATACAAGTATATGAAAAATTTTCGATTAATTAAATTATGTAAGTCTACTTACTACCAATGCCTTTACATTGGAAATACAGACGTACCAGTATTGAAGTGTTGTTGCCGTTCAACTGGTTGGAAGTTTTACCAAATGGTTCTAATGGCTCAGCTAGACCAGTTGAATTCTAACTGGTCTGGACCAACTGGATCATTTAGCCCATTTCAATTTCCGAGGTTACCAGTTGGCATTAACTGGTTCATCAACTGGACCAGTTGCAACTAGCTTTCTCCTCTGGGATGTTTGCAACCACCCCCGACCCCCCCCCCCCCCCACCCCCTCTAATCCCAAACTGCTTCCGGCGCGCCTGGACATAATTATGGAAGATCCAAAACACGATGTTCAGAAACGGGATGAGAACGTCATTATTTTGGTTTATTTATTGTGTAACATTTGCGTAATTATTGGGTTGAACGCGGGTTACAGTAATATATTTCCTCTTCGACGTAATATTCACGTGAATTTCACGCAGGTATTTTGACTAAAACTATCACTAACGCTTCACGTGTTTCTGTGACGCGATAATTTCGTTTATGAAGATGTAATTTCATAACCAAAAAAAACACGGGAGTATTAGGTTTCCAAACCATGGTCTCCAAGGTAGGGATAATCACGTTATTATAATGGTGATATTGCAGTGACAATTGCGTGATTTAGTGTACGTGTGTTTTAAGTGACCTAGTGCAATAAACGTATTAACACATTTACGTAAATGTCCGGTGTTTGAAGAACGTAACTCTCCTCAAGTCGATACCTTGATATTGACGTGATTTTCACGTGATTTTGTTTATTGGGCTTGCAACACTGAGCGAAAGAAGGGACAAACTATCCTTAAAATCTGCAGAATCGCTTCAAAGAAACTTCAAAGACTGGTTGCCTGAGGCACAAAACTAACGTCTCCGACGTAGCAATAGACTGAGAGAGTTCAAATGCAGAACGGAAAGGTTCAGAAACAGTGCTCTGCCTTTTCTTGTTAGGCTGATAAATCGTCATTCCGAGTGAAACATTATTTGATGAATGACTTAATTATGATTATTGATTACACTCAAATTTAAATAGTTATTACAATGAAATGAATCTCAAAAGAAATGGACAGTATAAATAGTATGCAGGTTGCTTGTTTTTTAATTCCTACTAGAACGCTTTAATCTTTACATGGTAATCTAATCCTAATGTCCTCCGCCTATTTCGGGACTTTCTATTCACTAGCCTCGAGTCTTTTTAATTCACTGTACGTTTAGCACGACTGATATCTTTGATCATACTTAATTTCACAATTGTACTATGTTTGAATTTGACCACCTGGAGAAGTTTCATAACTACAATACTACAATACTTGATGTTTCCTGTCAAACGTTTAGTTTAATAATTTGTATACATGTTTTATATATTGGTGGCTAGTACAAGCCATGAGGATCTGTACATTTTAAAGCTAATTAATAGAAGGCTCATTACACGTGTTTTTAACCTCATCTTTCTTGATAATTCTTCTTACTTACCTTTCCTTTCTTTTCCTTTCATTCTTCTCTCACCTTTTGTTGATTCTTGCTCCTTGCTCCTATTCCTCATTCACCCCTTCTTTCTTTCCATACTCATTAAATTTTGATATAGAGTTTTAATATGATATTTTTTTATATATTTATGTCATAGTCCTAAGACTATTGTACTTTTAACTTGTAAATACATTTACTTTTAAATTGTATTCCAATGGCAATTCAGTTGTAAGACTGCGACGATGGAATTTGTTCAATAAAACCTTTCTATATTCTATATATTTCTATATACGTAAACGAATGGACTTGATTAACGGTCAGCGCGCGCTAGCGTTAGCAAAACAAACCGAAGTTCTCCTTACGCTTCGGTTTCGCGTATGTTGCACCATACCTTCCATGGTTGCACGCACGTGAATACTGTGGTCGCCTTGTCCGTAGTCGTAATTATACCCGATTAGCCCCGAGTCAGGCCACGGGAAAGATACAGTCTCGTCATGCTACACCCCCTTTAAGTTTAATATTTCCCATAGTTTAGAGGGCCGTGTCCAGGAAGGACTAAAGGTAGTTTTTAACATGTTAGAGCTCATTCGTTATACTGCTATATTTATGCAGCATGTCAAAAGTGTCAAATCCAACAATTTGAAACGGTGTACGCTATCGCCTGTCATATTAAGTGGTAATCTAATTAACACTTATGTAATGGGACTTACCAGGGCGGTTGACTGTTAACGGTGGATCCCCACTGTCTGCATCATTGAAGACAAAACATAATCCCCAGTCAGTTATCTTAAGGGTAAAGTTAGTATGGTCCAGTGTCTCAGAACTCCTCCAACGGCCACTTCGAGAAACCATATAGAATCCACAAATTTGTTACGTTATACAAACTTGTAAAAAAAACTCCTTAAAAAGTTGGCTCGTAGCCGAGTGGTTTTAAACCATTTCTTTTCCAGCAACCACAATCACAACTTTCACACTTGCAAAAGTTACAAATTTCATCATCCCTTAATTATCAGACTCCCATCACTACATTTTTTTAAAGTATTGTTTGTTTTCCACTGTATGCATGGATCTGCCCAAGCAGGCGCGTACACAGGGGGGGGGGGGGGGGGGGGGGGGGGGGGGGGGGGGGGGGGGGGACCAAATGTCAAATTTTCAAATTTCGAGACCCAAAAAAAAAAAAAAAAAATGGGTCCTCTTACTCCCCCCCCCCCCCCCCCGCTTATTCAGCGGCTGGCTGAGTCGTTGCGAAATTTTCGGCCCGATTTATAAATTTTAAAAGCCCCCCCCCCCCCCTTGAAAAAATCCTGCGTACGCGCCTGTGCCCAAGAATACACTGTTAAAACATTTGTTAACACCTTGAAATAATCCTGGATCCTTAGATCATCAAATTCTCAATCCTATATTTTCGCATGCTGGTTATTACCTATGGAATCAGTTGCCGCAAAAAACTCGTAGTATTTCAAGTGTAGATTGTTTTAAAATTGGTTTCAAAGAGATCTAGTTATTTTATTTTTTTACTTATCTTACCATTTAGTTTTTTACGTTTCTAATATTTGTTTGGGCCTTGAGCACGTTGTTCATGCAGAATCGGCGCATTATTAATACTCAGTCTGTATTAATATTATTTTATTATTATTATTATGATTATTATTATTATTATTATTATTATTATTATTATTATTATTATTATTATTATTATTATTATTATTATTATTATAGTAATTGATATTATTATCATCATTATTATTATCATTATCATTATAGTCATTATTATTGTTATTATAATTATTATTATCATTATCAATGTTACTATCATTATAATTGATACTGCTATGATTATCACTATGAAAAGGAGACTTACTTAATAATTGATTGCTCAGCTCGATGGCCGTATTCAATGAAAAGATCGCTCATCGTCACCGAGTCAAGGAAAGAGGCATACGTGCTGGAAGCATTTAGTATAAATGAGCTGTCGAACATTATCCCATTGAGGAATGCTTCTAACTCAGTCCCAGCTACCATGGAATGCCTGCAGTTGATGTATCAAACAAAACAACAACAAAAGAAAAAAACAATGATGGTTAATGGTAATTGGATGATAAAGTATAGCAGGGCACTCGGGTTAACTTGGTGGTAATTACTTGCTTGAATCATACACTGCCACGCGCCTATGTCTAGAGGAAATTTAAAACATGAACTCAAGGGCCCAAATTCACAAACCTTGGTTTGAAACGAATCGAAACGGGTCATAATACGACGCACATAAGCATAGGTTTGTGGACAAACCTCCTTTGTGAATTCGGACCACAAAGTAGGATTAGGATTGAAGGAAGTAATATAATATTCAAATTACTCTGCGTATTTTGATTTCATTTTCCAATGTGCGCTACGTACAAGTAAAAATTTCCTAAAGCATGGTGAGGATTCTAATAGGCATCGCCTCGTGGGCACAATTGAGCCAGGGTAATGATGATTTTCACACGAAAATCAATTGACCATTTTCTAAATATTGCGATTAAGCCAATCGAATGAGCAAAGGTATTGACAGATTATACGGAAACACATAATTTGATTACATGTTTTGAAAAATTAATGTATTTAGAAATTATATTTTGACATTGTAAATACGCTTGGCTGACCGACTAAATGGTATGTGACGGCTGCAAGATTATTCGAATTTCAAAACTCTTGGGGGATCCCCCCCCCCACCCCCAGCCGCCCATCTTACGCATAATGTTGATAAGGGGGCAATGTTACCTGTATGCGTTGTAGTTGCAAAATGCCACAGTCGGGAAAGTAAGAACATCGGTGTAGTTGGTATAAATATCCACACTTGTAGGATAAGTGGCAAGATACTGCGCCCTATTGGTGACATGATAGAGGAGTAAACAAAATGCCACCAGGATGAGAAGGAGCCAGAATAATCTAGAGAGAAAATTGAAGAATCAATAATAGTTATTCTCAGGTTTGTATCTTATATTCATATCAGTCCTGAAGGTTTTTAACTATATCCAGAATTCCGATTCTTATGAGTCACTAGCAGGGTGGGATGAAAGAGTTTACTTCGGCCACGATTTCCTCTTTTCACTGTATGATTATCGGAAGCATCAGAATATGTTAATATAGTATCTACAACTACTACTACTACTACTACTACTACTACTACTACTACTACTTATACTACTACTACTTCTACTATTCAATTCAATTCAAGTCAGAATGGTTTTTATTAGAGCACAAACATGGTTCATACAAATACAATTGGACATGAAGGACAGCAATGGCTGGATAGGCACAATAGATAACACTTCTAAAGATATATTATGCATGTACAAAACTAGCAATATAAAACATAGGACTTAGATTCTGTTACTAAAAACCATAAACACATTGCACAAGTTATCAAAAATACACACAATAATGAGCTGTTATTTTCCACAAATTTCCTATTATGTTATTAAAGTCAATACAAGCATGGTAAAAGGATTAAAATTAAAAAGGTATATTTAAAACAGCCGACTTAATAATAGGGGGAGGAGACAATTATTCAGTATATCTGCAATAACGATAAAAGTATACAATCAAAATCAAGTTTCTTTTCAACGATTGTTAAATGGCAGTGGGCTATTTTTAAACCTTTTTGTTTAGAATTGAAATTGCTGATATTAAGTGGGAATACGGCGAAGAGAAAAATTAGTGCGTTTTTTCTGAGGCTACCAGGTCTGACAAATAGAGTGATTTAAAGGGAATTTTCGACAAAGTGGGGGGGGGGGGTGTGATATCTACAGAATTTCTGTGATGACACTGTAGTGACTGTACCTTCGCCATTTGACTTCAGACGAGTTAAAGGCATATTTCATCCCCCCGATGCCGATGGCGTTCGGAACTGACTTGTAGAACACTGCCCACCACGAGACTCTGTCCCGGTACGACGCCGTATTCATCGCGGGCACACTGTCGGCCTCCTGCTGGACCCAGTCGCCGCTCACAGTATTTGGTCCATGTTTGTGTGGGTAGGTCCTGTTTCCGTTTTCCATCTTATGTTTCCAGTCTTTAATTTGTTCTCTTTGGATCCAAGATTGCGCCACAGTGTGCGATTTACGCGTCGCCCTTATCCTAGTATCCTTCCGGGGGAAAAGAAATAAGGCAAACGATTTTTTTTTTCTTTCAAAATATCAAGCGAAGAAGATATACGAGTCGGGAGATTCCTTTATTGTTCTTTTTTTCTTTGCTTGAAACGAGAGCAACGATTCTATCAATAGCCGTCCCAAGCGAAGCAAAATGGTAACATTTATCCCACGATACCATTGTTCGACAATCACCTTGTGGCGTGGTCTGATCGGGATCACCTCCGTGGTCTGATTTAAGACCATAAATGCAAATATACTTACGTGACTAAGTGGACATCTAAAGTAACTGATATATTCTTTAATTATTACCGCTCTCACTCGTGTAGGCATACTAATGTCTCTCAAATCTCTCTCTCTCTCTCTCTCTCTCTCTCTCTCTTATTCTCTTTTTCTCTCTTTTTCTTTCTTTTTCTCCTTTTCTCATTTTATCGTTCTTTACATTCTTGTATCATTTTCTTCTGTCATTTTCCCACTTTCGTTCGCTTCTCTTTCTTCTAAGTCCTTTCTTTTCATTGTCAGGCTTATTAGTACTTCCCTTTCTCTCCACCTCTCTCTGTCCCCAAACTTTCCTTTTTCACTTTCTCCCCCACCCCTGATTTTCTCTCTTAACATTTGTTTCCATCTGTATTTTACTTATTAAGATTTTAGTTGTCTCTCTCTTTCTCCTCTTTCTTCCATCGTTTCTCTTTACATTAATCTTTCTCTGTCTTTTAAAAAAAAAATTCTCACTCAGGTGCGGTGTTGTCTAGCTGTAACACAGCGGGCTGCTCAGACGGACGGAAAGAAGAAAAACAAATATCTAAAGCCCATTTATTCTTGCTATTCATTCCTTTTATTGCTACATCCCTCCGGGCAAATATCGGTGCACGGGTTTCAAAAGTGGATAGAGCTTAAAACTGAATCGCAACAAATTGTCCTTGTGGGAAGCCAGTGAATATGCAAATTGTGCACTACCTCTGACGTAAATTGCATTTTGACTAGATTGTTATTACGTAATTTCACTTGAAGGTACTAAAGTGTGAGTCAAAAAAAGTTTACACCTAGAAAGTTGCTAATCATTTAAACAAAAATCATCTATGAACAGTTAGTATCTTATGAAAGAGTGTTTTATCCCGAATCTCTCTCTCTCTCTCCCTCCCTCTGTCCGTCTGTATGTCTCTTTCTCTCTCTCTCTCTCTCTCTCTCGTCTTTCCATTTTCCTCTCGTCGCTAATTTCCTTTCACTTCTTCTATCACTCTTGCCCCCCCCCCCACAAACACATGCACACACCCACAAAGACAATCCTTCTTGTTTCCTCTGTATTAACTCTCTCTCTCTCCCTCCCTCTCTCTCTCTGATCGGGTTAATTGAAACAAGTAATTCTTAATTGAATGCGAGACGCAAAACTGAAATTACACTTGATTTACGATTTCTAACATGTCTAATTACTTGTAAGTGATATTACATAATTACAACGGTTCGGCACTTAAGAGCCGGTCTTAAAGGGAAAGTCCACCTTGAAATTAAGTTGGTTTTAATAGAAGCAGACAACTGAGAGAAAAAAAATTGTTGAAAGTTTGAGCAATATCCGATAAAAAACAAGGGAACACAAATTGGGAACAACGTGTGGTATTTTGTGAGCTCCTCTCCAATCTTTATAGAAAATGTCATAAAGTTTCATTTTCTTTGTTATTGAAGACGGAATAGATTTGGTTCATGTATTAAAAGCGGGTCTTATAGAAACATATTTTCCGAAAGATTATATAAACTGTCAATATATAATTAAACATTTCTCAACGAAAACTATACATTTGGAGTTTTCTTAGTACATGGCACCTTTAACAAATAATTGCTTCCTTATTTTTAATCGTTTTTTTTTTTAAAATATTAAACATTAAATGAACTATTTCTTTCATTTTCTGCTTCTATTAAAACCTATTTAATATCAGGGAGGACTTTCCCTTTAATTATCATGAAGTGAAAAGGTTGCAGCTAAATGCATGCCATTGTATTCTGCGTACTTTTTCAATGAATCAAGCAGAGACCTAATTGACATATTAATAATGCTTTTGTAGTGAGCTACCTAATTGCCTGAAAATTGAAATACAAAGGCTGGGGAAGTATTCAGTTCTTTCTTCCATCGAATCAATGGTACCATTTATTTCTTAGCGGCGGTATTAGTTTTTTGATGACCAAGCTTCCGCTGTTGGCAGTGTAATAGTTCTTTAATAAAATTATAAATATAAGTTGCCCCTCCCCCCACCCCACAACAAAATGGGGATCTGAAGACGTTCGCTCTCATTGAGAAAGCAAGAGAAAAGGGGGGATGATAGATCGAAAATACATCGTTTATTCGGTAGGATAATTACCGAAAATCATCTCTCGCTCTCTCTCTTTCTTTCTCTTTTTCTCTCTCCCTTTTTATCTCTCTCTCTCTCTCTCTCTTTCTTTCTCTTTTTCTCTCTCCCTCTTTATCTCTCTCTCTCTCCCTCCCTCTCTTTCTTTTGTAAACTCTGCTTCTGTTTGCAGTTTTGTAATTTATTGACGATAGACATTCCTATATTTATCACAATGTTGCGATTGGTAATGAAAAACAAACGAAAAAAAAGAAGAAGGAAATTACAAAAAGGACATTTCTTTCACAATTCTGAGTTACGAACGGAATAATATATTTTCAATCATATAACTATAATTTGTTACAATTCATAATAATGTACGCGAAAGACATACTCAGTTTTATTTATCAAAATAGCTTTCTTTCACACGGCACAAGACATGTGCTCCTTTCGAGTTGATCATAGTGTTGTTAAACATATACGTATTCTCTTCAGCATGAACATGAGATAGATGGAAGAGTAATGCGTTTTCCGAAATCATAGTAAGTTTGAACATTCCGATTAAATGAATGAGGAAGTCTTACAAGAAACACAACGAGGACATTTGAGGATGGCCCGATTATACATGTGTTGATCTTAGCGTGAAACATACATGCATATTATTTACTCCAAAACAACTGTAAAAAACCCTTTACAGGAGAATTCAAGATATTACCCACTTAATCGCTGTTGCAAAATATATTGATTTGATTCACTTTAAAGCAAAAAATAGGAACGCCACAAGATATGATCAAATTATAACCAATATATTCATAACTTATAATGATGTCCGCACTTAAACAACAATTACTACGAGTAAACTTGTATATTGCATGTGATATTATTGAGCTATGCATTTCCGTATGGTGTTATTATTTTGTTTTCAGAAACTAATCAATGGGTATTGAGTTGTGCATCTCGAAAATTTGTGCTCTTTTGAAAACTTAAAATCATCAGTTAAAAAAAACATCTTAATATCAAAGAATCTTAACAACATTTTCCAAAAAGAGCGGTCAATGTATACTTTTTTTTTTTTTTCTTTAATAGAATAAGGTAAATTAGTCTTTCAAAAACTATTTTCAGTCTGGTAAACAACTAAATAAAAGATGTTTTCGTTTACTGTGCAAAAAATACATCTACCACACAAATCAACTTGAACACAAATATTGTAGGTAATACATGTATAAACATAACTGCATGATGTCAATTTATAAATGACGCAGTGATTTTTTTCTAGAATTATTTTCACTCAGCTTTAGAAAATATGATACAAAATAGATCTCTATATAGAATAATTTTCAGGATTACTTTGTTATTATCGCCTAATTCAATGACATACCATATGATTAAAACAGTTTTTATATACCTCACTTAAGAAATCCAGCCATCTGATTGGTCGTGATTTAAGCAATTCCCGTAAAGAAACGAAAAATGCCAAAACCAGTTAATAGTCCAAGACTGAGATCCCTCAACATTCCGGTTACCATGCAAATAGTTTAATTTTGCTGCGATACCCATTGGTTTACGTGTTAAAATTGTCTTTGTGCGAGCGGACACTATACAGTGCTTTTTGTCTGCGATTCCCAAATGATTGAAACTTTCAGTCACTTTTCAAGTTCAGATTAACAGACAGTGTCTTAGATTCTCCGTGGTGTTTTAACCAATCTGTACTCAATAAAAGGATAAGGTAATAATTCTTGGTAGATTTTTGTTCAATTCGGCATATAAAAGACATATCGACTGCTTTAATACTCGAGGTCTGGCTGCTTTATATGCTCTCGGGAACTAGCAGATCCTGACATGACCTCTCGGCGCGCCTCAGGGTAATGGCAGGATCTGCGCAAGTTCCCTTAAGCATATAAAACAGCCAGGCCTCTCAAAGCAGTCGATATCTCTATACTATTAAATTTGCATGGTCAAAGTAACAGCTGATTGCAGCAGGGTTTGTTTCGGTGATCAACTGCTGCATGACTAACACTCTAACCCAACTGTTTGAAACGTGTGTTAGTGTACAATTAATACACAGCAGTGAGGACATTAGTATTAGTAAGAATTACCCACACAAGGTACCTTTGAAACCGTCTTACACGTCCGAGGCGATAGTCGAGGGTGTTTTGACTGTTTTGAAGGTACCGAGTGTGGGTAATTTTAGTAATGCCCGAACAAAATGACGGGTTTTTATTCTTGTCATAAGATTGTGTTTTATTTGTTTTATAAAATGACCGGTCATTATTGAAATTACGTGTTAGACAAAATAAATGCCTGGTCATGTGTACGCTCTCAACCAATCATTTAATTAGGATTCACGTCATCATCTTATAATAATTATACATGCCCAGAGCCATCTATACACGGCTCTGTACATGCCTTGTATGATACGCCCTCGTCGGTAAAACAAAAAAAGACCATGGTTAGAGTGCCTCCGTTGGATGATATCATGCAGAGGCTACGGCAGCTTCTGATGTGGCTAAAGTAATGGCAATCATTAGGAACGATTTGTTAAATATAAATTTTAATTCTCATCTCGTTCTTTTGCTTTCGAAGGAACAATATACAATCAAGGTTTAAAGATAAGAAAATCTTTCAAGGTGAAATTCAACACAATTTGATTTTTCAGTTTATTTTGGAGGCGATGTCCTTGAGTAGACGTACGTTGCATGACCAAAGAGATCGATGATCTCAAACAGGGTAAGAATACTCCCGCCAAGCCATAGACCAAGAGATCCTCCGACATCACCTGTTGAGTTAAAAATAATAATAAATCAATGAATGAATATAAACAATCAAACAAAAAAACAAATTAGACTTTCTGCCAACCGAAATGTAACGTTACTAACCGTTTCTCTGGTTGGTGTACGCCAAATGATCCAGCGAGAATTACTCCGCGTCAATTTTGCCAATAAACTGACGGGATTCTAAATGTCAACACTGGACCAAACACTATACCTAACTAAACCTAACCTTAAATACTCAGAATTACATCTTTGAAGAGAGTGTCATATCATTAATCGTGTACAAACATCTAAATCATAGATATCGCTAGTTATTTAAAAAAGAACGGTTATAAAGCGCGTTAAGAAAACGATACAGTTCTAAAACTCTTGAATGATAGATAATTCCTTCTTAGCCGACGATGATGAAATAGATTAACAGTGACATTTGAAGGAATTATTTCGTCATCAAATTAACTAGTTATTGAGCCTCTAATGGGTGAGCGATCTTAAAATATACTTATTAATCCGTGAACATACATAATTATGTCTGCAATGATATGTGTGCCCCATTTGATGCCATATTCTATTCATAAAATCAGGGGGACTGCTATTCATTAAATCATTTAATCCATGTAATTTCCTAACTTTAACCATACATAAAATAAACATGACTTACAAAGTAAACTGAAGAAGGTATAGTCCCGTTGTTGAGTTTTGGTGACCACATTCATCTCTTTAAAGTAAAAGTTCAGACGACATATATTTTCTCTGTAAATAGTAAATGAATATAACAATTTGAATAAACATAGAGATGGAAATGAAAATCGTTATTATCCGGTACTACAGAATATCGATAGGAATATTATTTCAAGCAGTTTTGAAAAGAACAAAGGAAATTTATCTGAATGAGTGAACGACTTATTTTAATATTGAGAGATGGAGAGAGATGTGATATCGATAAATGAAAGTCAGATCAGATTAACATCAGCTATATTTTTTGAAGGGCTCGGAGCACAATGTCGTAGGACTGATATTACGGGGTGGGGCGGGGGCGGAGGGGGGGGGTTGAGAACCGGAAAATATTTGGTGAAAAAATTATCCAGAAAAGGGTTGGTCTTGTATAATTCATGTCATCTTTTACGTTTCTTTTTCTACTCCCCTTTAGCTCCTCTTCCCCTTTATTCTCCCCCTCCCTCTCTTTCTCTCCCTCTCTCTTTCTCTTTATCAAGTATTTCGCAAGTAGACTGGGGCACGTTCCCCCTGTGCCCCCTATGGCTTCACCATTGGCTAAAGGTGAGTAGGATTAATCGAAATCCCTGAAATTCCTTGGCGGTCTTACCTGAAGTACTCGGCTGTTTCATTATAAATGGAGGCCAGTGGCGCTGCATAGAACGTTGCGGGGTATGCTGCTTGAGACAACGTGGTTACATAGTTTCGGGTCGCACACGGCGGAGTGCAATCACAAGTAACGTTATTAGCGAATTCTCCTGCAATAATCAAGTAAGCATTTAATAATTCAAGCATTAATAATTGAGTGATGAAAGGGTACTTGTCCTATAAAGTCGGGTTGACTGGTAAGAGAAAGTAAAATAAGCGCAGCAGATTTGTGAATAAAGAATGAGAAAATTATAAACCGTCTCATTAAAAGTGGGAAGAACTTTCCATTCGGTTACGAATTTTGACGACATCTGCTGAACACGAAGAGAAATAGAAGATTTTCGAAACCTTAATACTTGACAATGACTAAGATTTTAAGATTTGACATTTAAAGGGGAAAAGCCGTTGACCGTCACATTTTTATCATTTAATCGTATCGAAATTCTTTTACGGGGTAAAATAGATTTTTACTAAATTGATATGTTACTTTTTGTACTACATCTTATCAGAGATATTAAATAAAACAAGTAATTGCAATGATAGCCATGCAAATTAATATCTAAAGATATTTTTCCTTCACATAATCGCTACTTACTTAAAGGGATAGTTCATTTCTGTTGCAGAGGACGCTACACAAAATAATCTTTTTGTGAGATAATGAAAAACTGACTGCCAAATTTGAAAGAACATACAATTTAAATGACAAAATCATCTTAGTTCGATCAAAATCGGTTCAGAGACGATTTCTTATACTTGTGTACCACCACAAATTTGAACCAGCCGTTGAAAGCCGTTGAAAAAACAAAATAGCGCCTTTTAGTTTTACGTTGTATTTCAGCCAATGCCGATGTTGGCTTTTTCGTGTTGGTTATATTACGCACCATCAGCCGGCCCATGTATTGTTATTATTAATTAATTAACGGTCACCGTATAATCTTGAAAGTGGAGCTGAATTGGTATGGTCGTATTGGCTAAATTTCACACATTTTCGGGTCTAAAATTACCTTCTTTGCAATTTTAGGTCCTAAAAGGGCAGATAAGAATAAGAGTAATAACCATGCACCTTGAAGGCATTTGCGATCTGAAAACAGATCTCAACTATCCCTTTAATGTTGCACCTTTTGAATTGGAGTCATTTGCATCATACGCAAATAGTGAGCAGAAATTTGAGAAATACTACATATGATTTCTTGGTTAATAAAGAGAACCGCGTCCCTAACTTTGTAGAGCTTAACATGGAGAACTTGGCAAAACGAATGAATTATAGATATTTACCCAATGCTGGGGAAACACAAGTATAAAATTCCCATGCACTGCATTCTGGTCCATCACCTGTAAAATAATTTAGAGTATAATATTTCTAATAAAGCTTTTCTCATTTTCATTCTAAGGTAAAAGGTAAACGAGCAAAATCCACTTGAACGTTTGCCTTTACATTTATATCTCCATCTTAATCAATTATCCATCTACTAGGTTAGTTTTATCTGGATTGATTTTAAAGAAATGAATGGATAAAAGATCACCCAACTGATTTTAAAACCTGATTCCAATTTTTTATTTTCTTTCTCATCCCGCCCTTCGTGTAAACGCCCCCACAAGAGAGTCATTTTTTTTCTTTGTGGCTACCATACGTTGTGACTGAGATGATTGGCTGATTTAGAAAGTGTCCCTTTTAGGTTTTAGACCTTAAAAAGAAGGCACTTTAAAATTCTGATACTCTTCTGTAGAATCCTGAAGCTTTATTGTGTACTCACACGTAAACCTACATAGATCATTTGATTTGGAATATTAACAGAAATATACATTATCGATTGTAATTAAAATTAATTATTTCTTTTGAATCTATGTATCATTACCAGGCAAATTCATAACTTTGCAGCCGCATTGAGATGCCACGAAGCTACCAGCACATTCAAGCTTGCACTCCAAAGTCCCATAGTAGTCAAAGTAATTCAGGGTTTTGTTCTCACAATCACCATACGGAGGCGGCAAAAATACATTCTGCAAAGGAACAGATGAAGCAAATAAACAATGATATTAAGTATATTTTAAATAAAATCAAGATCATCACCAGTAGCGGTTCTTGAGGGGGCTGGAAGGAAATTCAATCTCTCACCCCCCCCCCCAAAAAAAAAAAAAAAAAAATCGCAGCTAAACACAAGTAGAAAATGGATGAAAGAACTCCCAAGACCCAACTGGTTTCAATAGGGAAATTGGAACAACTGGTTTCAATTGAAACCAGTTGAAACCAATTGCCAACTGGTTCCAATTAAAACCAGTTGAAACCAATTGCCAACTGGTTCAAGTTGCCTAATTGGTTTCAACTGGAACCAGTTGTTCCAATTTCCCTATTGAAACCAGTTGGCTTGAACTGGTTTCAACTGGTTTCAATTGGTTTCAATTGGATCCAATTGAAACTTACAGTTGGCATAAACTTAATTAGTTATAAGTTAATTAGCTCTTGCACTAATTATCGCTCATGTCAACACAGAAACATTGTTATATGTGTCAACATTAAGTACAATGTAAAGGGCATTATAATATGCAGACCATATAATATACTTAACAAGGAAGGCATTGCCATTATATATGTTTGTATTTGATGTATTTTGTACATGGTTAGTGTTTTACTAATCAACTTTTAATCTGTGTAATTACAAAAATATGTTACTAATGAACATGCTTATCATTGCTAATTAATCTTTATATTTATCTAAAACAAATGCATTACTTGCAAATGAAAATTAATTGATAAGTACATTGTAAATCAAAATAAATTACATAAAACATTGATCTGCACACAAGCATATAATATGCAAATTAACTGGTTTCAATTGGATCCAGTTGGGTAACTGGAAATATTTCCAATTGGAACCGATTGGGTAACTGGAAATGAATTCTAACTGGAACCAGTTGGGTAACTGGAAATTACTTCTAACTGGAAATGAATGCTAACTGGAACCAATTGGGTAACTGGAAATGAATTCTAACTGGAACCAGTTGGGTAACTGGAAATGACTTCTAACTGGAAATGAATACTAACTGGAACCAGTTGGGTAACTGGAAATGAATTCTAACTGGAATCAGTTGGGTAACTGGAAATAAATTCTAACTGGAACCAGTTGGGTAACTGGAAATGACTTCTAACTGGAAATGAATGCTAACTGGAACCAGTTGGGTAACTGGAAATGACTTCTAACTGGAAATGAATGCTAACTGGAACCAGTTGGGTAACTGGAAATGAATTCTAACTGGAACCAGTTGGGTAACTGGAAATGAATGCTAACTGGAACCAGTTGGGTAACTGGAAATAAATTCTAACTGGAACCAGTTGGGTAACTGGAAATGACTTCTAACTGGAAATGAATGCTAACTGGAACCAGTTGGGTAACTGGAAATGAATTCTAACTGGAACCAGTTGGGTAACTGGAAATGAATTCTAACTGGAACCAGTTGGGTAACTGGAAATGAATGCTAACTGGAACCAGTTGGGTAACTGGAAATGACTTCTAACTGGAAATGATTGAATGCTAACTGGAACCAGTTGGGTAACTGGAAATGAATTCTAACTGGAACCAATTGAGTAACAGGAAAATTGTCTTACTGTTTCCAGTTGAACTTCTAACTGGAACCAATTGATTAACTGGAAAATTTACCTTACTGGTTCCAGTTGCACTTCTTATCGGTTTGAACTGGAAATGAGTACCCATAACAATATTTTCCAGTTCGGCAATTGGTTTCAACTGGAAATTTTCTATTCCAATTGAAACCAATTGAAACCAATTGAAACCAGTTGAAACCAATTGAAACCAGTTGGAGATTTCAACTGGTTTCAATTGGATTTTGGTCCTGGGTAAGAAGCGGCCATTTTACTACATTGTGGAGTAATTTGTAAAGCTTTTACCTTTACCAATACTTCGTGGATTAAATCGGATTGGATCTCGGTGCGGCATCTGATGCCGTCTTAAATCTTGCTTACCTCCTCCAGATCTAGTCCTACCAGTGTTGAGGTCCCGGGGGCTACGGAAAACCCTATATCATCGATGAATGGTTGGGTTCCACGGGGGTATATCGCCACATGTAATCCCGCTGCAAGGTAAGTCCATGGGTCATAGAAATATTCGTCTTGATGGACGTTGACTGCTATTACCAATCCAGCCGTTGCTCTGCCTGAGACACAAACACAAGAATGGGGGTATTCCAATTATCATGTAGGAAAATAAAATCAATGTATCGGACTGCTCAGTGTGTTACTTTTCACATTATTTTGGTTCTCGACCGACTAAATATTAATTAAGATTGTTTTATATAGGCATCGCCATATTTTGAGACTGTGATGTCATATTTTACCATATAACAAAACAAAATCGATCCTGACGCCCCCCCCCAATAAAATATATATATATATATATATATATATATATATTATATATATATATATATATTAAAAATAAGGCATAACCCAACAACAACAACAACAACAACATCAACGCAACAACTGTGTAACATTTGATAGTCTCACTGACGAATTTGTTTTTAAAAAGACCATTAAATGACAAATTAATCTATGGGTCCGTTAGTTTATACATTAATTAAACAATCAATGAAGCAAGCAAATACTAAATATTTCAATCCGATATCAGGAAATCAATCCATCAATTCATCCAGCAAGCATTAAATCCAATTATCAAAAACACGATCGACCAATCAGTACATGGTGATTTTATACTTCCATGTCCATCAAGCTTCTTGTCCGATCGATAAATATATTAGTCATGCAGGAAAATTATTATCAATCAAATTATCAATCAACCAATCAATCGACCAATAAATTAATTTATTAATCAATCAATCAAGCAATCAATCGATCGATCAATCAACCATTCCATGAATCAATCAATAAATCAACCATACAATCCATCAATCAATGACTATATCAATCAATCATTCAATATATCGATAAATAGATAAATCAACCAACCAACCAATCAATCAATCAATCAATCAAATCATTCAATGAATAAATCAACCAATCCATCAATCAATCAAACAACTAATCAATCTATCAATCAGTCAACCAATCAAATAATCAACCAACCATTCAATCCATCAATCAGTCAATCAATAACTAAATCAATCAATCCATCCATCAATCAATCATTCCATCAATCAATCAATCAATCAGCTAATTAATCAATCAATCAATCAAATCAATCAATCAATAAATCAGCCAATCAATCAATCGATCAAATCAATCAATCAATAAATCAACCATTCAATCAATCAATCAATCAAATCAATCAACCAACCTACCAATCAATCAACCAACCAACCAGTCCATCAATCAATCAATCAATCCATCAATCAGCCAATTAATCAAATAATCAGTACCTGAAGATTCTAGTACGAGACCATCCAAACCATTATCAGCATCGTTGAAGATAAAACATGGGCCCCAGTCGGTCATTTTTAGAGAGAAGTATTTCGTAGCCGGATATATTGGGAGCCTATTCCAGTATAGCCTGAAATAATAATAAAGCACACAAAATAAGTAATCATATAGATTATAATTTGGCAGTTGCGAGTTCATGGCGAGGTCCGAAAAGGCTTAAAGTAATGTTACCAATAAAGTTCTCGTATTGCTATGTCATATATATTTTCTGTATTTTTTTTAGCGATGATAGTAAAGGACAGAGCAAGAAAAATGATTTATATGTATACCGTCCTGAATATTGTCAATATCGTATTGCCCGAAAGGCTAGTCGAGATTCTATCCGTTTTTTATATATTTGTTATTCTTCAATCATCTATGTCCTCCGCCCTTACACATCCACAGAGATCACGCGACCCTCGAATATAGACCCGTCGTTAACGGTAAGAATGAAAGGCAAGGACTGTCTCAATGAGCGCCTCGCATGGTGTAAAGATACGCCCCCCCCCCCACTCAGTGTTATTTAGGGTACGCATATGCGTGTTCCCAGCGACCCGCCCTTTTCAGCAAAAGTCCGGTGTGTAAAGTCAATACGGGTAGACCTTTTTCTTTTGTTACGAGCCGGAGAGTTTGGGAACACGCATGGTATCCCTCCGTTCACGGAGTGGGGGGGGGGGGGGTGTAAAGAAAACCAATGTGCTGTCAGAAAAAAAATATATCATGGGATTCCCCCCCCCCCCTCTCTCTAATGACGAACGCCCCTGCTTGCATTTCAGTTAAGACCAAGTTACTCACTTAAGGATGGAATCTTCCAATAGATGTGTATAGTTGAAGAGCACATCATCGAAGATGCTGGAGGAGAGTGTGTCGAAGTATTGCGAATAGTTTAAGGTAGTTGGATTCAAGTAGCCATCTTTCAAAAAAGCGCCAAAATCGGTTCCATTCACAGCAGATGCCCTGAAAAGAAAAGAAAAAATATAAACATGTACAAAAAATGTAATCATAATGTTTGACATTCTCTCTTACTCTCCTCTCCAGCTTTATCTTGATATATCTGTCTGTCTGCCTGCCTGTCGCCCCTTCTCTCTCTCTCTCTCTCTCTGTGTCCTTCATAATTGTCCTTCATTGTTATTCTCTATTTGCATAACATCTGTACTAAAAAAATGAGAAAATGAAAGGTTTTGATAGTGACAGGTGGTAAAACCAAGAAGGGTGTCAGCATCTTTTTTTTTCGTCGTCGTGGAGTGTGTGCATGTGTGTGTTTGGGTTTTCTTAAGGCATATCTATCATCTTGGACAGCTGTTTAACGCCATCATCCGAAAGACACAATTTGGTTTCGAACCCGGGTCCGTACGAGTCAGTTTGTAGGCGAAGACAGGGACATGACCTTAGCGCGGGCATTAAAGTAGATATTCATTGATTTAAAAAACTAACTTTATTTCATTATTGCAAAGTTGAAACTTTGATTCGACAAGGTTATCAAAATTCAATGCTTGGAAACATTCGAAGTAATGATTATTATAAATTATAAAACGCTTAAATACAGCCCCGGCATAGCACCTGAAGAACTCTCCGAACGCTGCAGAGATGTGTGAGATCACAGTATGGACACGACTTGCACAAGCAGACGATGTCGCATGACATCTCACACATTTTCAGTGCCTGTGTTTTCATCTTATCTCGAGTTTTTTCTCTTACTTCACTACCGTCAGGCTAAATTTATAATATATTGCCTCACTCTAAACCCCGCGCATGGTTTTATTTTGATGACAAATGCAGCGATACAAAAAGGAATCTGTCGCTTGTAAACAATTTAAGACGCCATTGAATATTCAGCTGCACACACCGCGGTATGTTCGGCGTTTCAAGAGGGAACAAATGCCGTCCTTAATATCATTCCGGGTGTTTTCAATTCGAAAGTCTGGTTTCTTTGATTGTTAATTAACCCCTATCCTGTGTGTTTACAAGCAAAAGATTTTAGTTATCGGAATCGGGTCATATCCCTTTTGAATGGTTTTACATGCCATCACATTTATATACACTAAACTCATTATAATTTGACAACTAAAAGCTTTGCAATTATGTTCATTCTCTATGGAATGTCGTCTGCTTGGGCAGTATTGGTCCATATAGTGACGTCATTAAAACATCGTTATTTTTCCGGCGAATCTCTCGTATATCCCAGCTGCTATGCAGGTGGTTGTATTTGTATTTTTATAAATCACCCGATATGTATTTGACCTAAAACTTGTACGATGGCCATATGTTAGCTTACCAGTTTCTAGTCATACATTAGTTGACATATTTGTGATTTTCTTTGAATTTCACCTTTAACGCTAGACCAACCATCACCTCTACATACCATATCACATCTCCCTTTTCATCCTTTCCGAATCAGTTCCCCCTCTCTTTGCATCCCTTCAATTACTTAATAGGGGCACGTGCCCCATGCCGCCGCCCCCTCCTCTTTTGAGCTCCGCCAAGGGGTCTATAAAATACAAGCCGTGCTTTTTTTAATAGACTCCTCCACTATTTCACCACTGTGCCAATCTTAAACGATTTATTTGAATAATTGTATAATCATTTGTCGTATCTTTGGTTAATATTATGTTATTGAATTGCATATTCATTTGATGATGTTATATTATGTGGAAAAATAAAGAAATCTTGAAACCTTGAATGGGTTTACCTAAATCTGTTGTAGCTACAGATGGCGATGGTGGGAAAGGCTATGGTGGATACTTCGTTGATGCTTACGTCCAAACTCTTCGGATGGGATGCAAAATGGATTGACCTGTCTACGACCTGGTAGCAACATGTACTCATGCCTCCCAGCACCAATAATGTCCACAGTAGTCTGAAGACAAACAAATTGAGGAAATAAATTAAGATGAATTAAAACATTGAAGAAAAAAAACTAATTTTTTAAATGCAGGAAAACAAAATGAAATTAGGTAAGTTTTGATCAATGTTTAACTTTTTATATTTGTATTGGTTCATGTTTATATAAACACCATTCCACGTATTTTCTATTATTATATTAGAAACTCGTAGAATGGTAGATCTTTAAAATCAACTTTGAATTTGGAGAAAAAAGTTTTAAAGTCTTTGTCAAAAAATGTATAAACACAATTTGCAGATTTAGGAGGCCCGCGCACGGAAAGATTTAAAATGTTTAATTCACTATTAACGTTACCTTGTATACCGTGTTAGAGCTACCTTTTCTCGTTCATGAAAAATAAATGCATTGCATATGTAAATGATATTCGTCATAATTTGTTAGATAATGTCATTGGGAAAGGTGAAAAGTGTATCATTATCTCTTTGCAAATAATTTATACAATAAGTTACCTCCGCCATCTTACTTCGGCTGAGTTGAAGGCATATTTCAACCCAGCCAGACCCACAGCGTCGGGAACAGATTTGTAGATGACCGCTAGCCACGAAACTCTGTCTCGGTACGTCGGGTACTGAAAAGCGGTGGTAACCGCGCTGTTAGTTACCGTTTCTGAAACGGTAGTGACCGCGGTCTTTCGCGGTACCTCGTCCGCTTCGTCCGCGCTCTTGACTGCAATTCGTCGTACCGAACCGCGAGATGCATTCTCTGTTTCCAATTCATCCAGATTCCTTTTGGCAATATGAAAATGAATGAATAATTAAATAATAACACTGAATAAATAAATAAATTAATTAATTAATCAAAAGACCAATTAATCATTGAATCAATACATAGATAAATAGAAAAATAAATAGAATGAATAAATACATAGATAAATAAAGAAATACATTACGTATTTAATCAATAAATAAATACATAATGTTTCGCAATAAATGGAAGGTGTACGGGAAACATTCAACGTAAGGGTGAAAGGTTATCAAAGGTCCAATAAATTGACGTCATGGAGATTATTGATTATTCATGCACTCAAACGTTCAAAATGGAGTAAGAATTGAACCACTATATCATCTCTCGACGATTTCACCAATGTGTTTTTTTTTACTTTCTTGCTTTAATTAATACTAGCTAATTAACAGAGTGGACTTTTCATTTAACATGTCATTATAATCATGTAGTTGAGGAAATGAAGAATAAGATTATATATTTTGGAATCTGTGATTTCCATAATGATTGTAGTTAAGTTTAGTTTAATTTGTATTATTATGTTAGTCATCCATGCTGTAATAATATATCACTTCAATTTGACTTTAATAGCAGAGAACACTCGAATTTTTCTAATAGTTCAACAAAAGTATAGCTTCTCAAACAAGCATAAAATATAATTTGATAGGGTATAATGATTAAGATTTCTTAAACGCGCTTTCAAACACATATACCTATACTCATGACGATGCAGTAATCAGCTATACAACCATAACGTCATAGTATAAATAATTAAAAGCTTTGGGAATAAAACTTACAAGATGAATGGAAAAGGGAGAACTACATTATTGTTGAAAAGTATGTAAACGCAATATTTGAGAAATATAAATACTTTGAGTAATACGGAATTATACTTAATGGTTAGAAATTACGGCCGTTTTACATGGCAACTGTATTCAGAAAATGACGCAGTTCAGCATTAGAAAACACTCTTCACGCACAATGTATGTGATAAAAATTGTACGTACATTGTTATGGCGTCTTTGATTGGTACTTCTTTGAACAGCAGGCAGCAATCCTTAGCTTCGACGCAAACAGAATAAAACCACATCAACTATCAAGGAGAAATCATGGACATCATTGCCACCTCTGTCGATGGTAGATTCCCTTCTTATTGATAATGAGGTGTGGAATTATTGATGTGATTCCTCCGATGATAAACCACTCATTTCAAAAGAGACATGTCATGACCAACAAGACAGTGTAGATCTTGATAACAATGAAGAGAGAGAGAGAGAGCAGATCGCGCAGGTTGTTGAAAGTGTTGTTTGCACAACGCTTTATCGAACAGTGAAGTGATCTGACCATGGAGATATCTCTTCTTATATCTCCATGATCTGACCGAAGACCCATTGGGCATTAGACCTTCCGAGCCGTCGGATTATGAAAGGGAGGTCCAACCCATCTACTCTAAAAAAAGAAAGCAGAAAAATTGTAAATGTTAAATTGTTTTGTAATGCATCTCGTGAACAAACAGACAGGTAGACAAATCAATACATGTACAGGCCGGTCGAGAAGAAAAAGAGGGTGAGAGAGAGAGAGAGAGAGAGAGAGAGAGAGAGAGAGACTGAGAGAGAGAGAGAGGGTGCTAGCTGGAGGGGGAGGGGGGTGAAAAATGGACAAACAGGTTAATTTTTTGATGGAGATATGAAGCGAATAAGAGGGCGCTAGCTAGGGGCGGGGGGGGGGGTGACAAAGGGACAAAAAGGTTTATTTTTTATGGAGATATGAATCCAATAAGACAATTTTGTGAAGTATTAAAAAAAAGTATGTGTCTGTGCGACAAAAATAGAGAGAGAGAGAGAAAGAGAGGAAGAGGAAAAGAGCAGGGGTAGAGTGAAGGGGAGGATGGGATATCGAGGAAGTAACACAAAACCGGCTTGGTGTCTGTGCAGCTCTTGTGAGGTTAAAGGTGAGGAAAGAAGAGGCGAAATAGAACTTTAGCGGGATAACATTTAGTGACGACACAATCTTTTTGTTCCATAATCCACTCGCTCTTTTCATCGAACAGTTTTACCCAATACAGGGAACATGGGAAAGTGCGGCGTGGACGCAACGGATCAACAAACACTTCTTCATGAATGAATAAGGCTTCCTCGGCATGTTTACTCTTTCCCTTTTACGCTATAGGCGAACATAATTAATATTCATTGAATCGTCTCAAATCTAACCAATACAAATCGATTTCCATCCGTCGTAGAATATCTTCATGGTAGACATTATTAGGCAAGACGTTGATTGTCTCTTTCCGGCCATTACGGTATGGTAGCACTCAGAGCGAACGATATAATTGATACGTGTTGTCCCCGGATGATAACTGTTTTGTCAATTCGGGTGCGAATTATCGATCAGTCCGAACTGGTTCCAGAATAAAATAATTAGCGTGAACGCGGGGAGTGAATATCGGATCTTCAAAGGCCCATTGTATTCCTGTCAGAAGAGCACGATGTGATTACGTAACAGGCTCATGCAGGCAGTGTTCATACTGTTCTTACAAAAACCATGCCCCACTAATAACATTACAACAGTCTAATAATAATAATAATAATAATAATAATGTTAAAGCAGCGTTCACAAGTGTCATTATCAAGTACCACGGCGCCATTTGGACGATTTTCTAAATATGTCTTCCTGCAAAGTAACTTAATTGCTGTCCAGTTCAGAAAGTTAAAAAAAGTATACGTCAATTAATAAGGAAATATTATATTATATCGCGCCATCAACGGCAGTAATTTTGTAATACTGTACCGAAATCGAGTGAAAATATAAAGCTATCAGGAATACATCATTAATGCATTTTTCGAGTTCGAGGGGGGAGGGGGGGGGGGGGTGGCGGGCTCTATGCCGGACTTTAAGGTACCCTGATATCCCAGAAAGTGAATACCACATTTAAATGTACGATATTTTCACAATTTCATTAAACAAAGTTGGATTCTTGTTATTGATTTGTTCTGGAATATATGGGGGAAAGATGACAAATCTAACAAAGTCATCAGATTTTTGGTGAGGGAAAATGTTATATAAAAGGGTATAATGTTACTGATATTGGTGATTTTTAAGTCAAAATTATGAATGTCAGGATTCACAAGTTTTGATATCAAGTCCGACGGCGGTATTTAGAGGTATTTCTAAATATGTCCTCGTAGCTTCAAAGTAATTTGCTGTCAAGTTCAGAATGTTTATTTTTCGACATCGCGCCATCAACGGCAGTAATTTTGTAATACCGAAATCAAGTGAAAAAATAAAAATGTCGAGAGAAATGACATCATCTCTGCTGATTTTTAGGGGGAGGGGGATAGGGCTCTAGTCAGGACTGTATAGTGCCTTTATAAACGTCACAGTAATCCAAACACCTTTTAAAAGTAAGATATTTTCACATTTAATCATTATTTTTAAGATTGGATTTATATATTGATTCGTTTTAGAATTAATGAAGTAAAGAAAAACGTAACAAAGTGATCAGAGTTTTGATGAGGACAAATGTTATTGACTGTTAATTACATTTTTTTAAAATCAAAATTATAAACTCCATTCGCCATCCCCCCTCCCACACACACACAAACACATACACACTTACATACGCACACAAACCCCGGGATAATGTCAAAAATAATTTGTTTTTATCATTGCTTTTATTCTGTTCCTGAATTAATTAATTTAACTTTTATCCCCACGGTCAAAATGATCCAATGATGGAAGTATGGAAGTATAAAATCATTGCACTTTCCTCATCTCATCCTCATCACCATGCACATTATCATCCCTCTGGCTCTGAATAAAGGATCCAATTTAAAACCCCACTGTCCTACTTGTAGCTACTTGCTCCCTTTATATAGAAAACTTCCACAATCGGTGCCTGTTGGTCCCCCATGATCCTCTTTTTCTTATGTTAGTTGAGAGCTGAGTGAATGAGATAGCCACCTGTCAGTGACCTCTCTGTGTGGTCTAATCCCTTCTGGCCCAGTAGTATTGACGGTCTTTAAAACGTTTTCCATGGCATTGATTCTAGCAACGTTTGCATAATTCGTAAGTGTATAGTTCCCTTTGGCCTAGATAAGCAGTGACTGATTATTTTACCCCACTCCCGCTCCAAGACTCTTACTCTTTGCTGCCTTCATGGCATCCTTCAATTACGAACGTTTCCATCTGCTTAGGTTGCCATGGGAACGGTGTCCTACCCTGTGTTTCGCTTCCCAAAGATGACTTCTTGCTCCTGCATCTCAAAGTTGATACGTACTGTAGGGAACATGACATGGATATCCTGTCACCCCCGGCAACATGAACTTTCTTTCACTTGGCATTGGTTATTCGCTTGATCTGTTGAACGCCAGAATGGTATTTACTTCATGTAAATGTATGGACGTTAATGCCTTTTTGGCTTTCAACAGACTGCGGGTTCGATACAAGAGGAAAAAAGTCCTTTGATAAACCTTTCAACGAACTAAAAGTTATTCTAGAAATGAGTCAACTGTCAAACTATCTTTTCAACGAACTAAAAGTTATTCTAGAAATGATTCAACTGTCAAACTATCAACTTTTTGGTTTGTTAAACTTCCTTGCAACCCCCCCCCCCTTTTACAGCCACGCGAGAGATGACATGATGCTATTTCTACCCCCCCCCCCCTCTCTCTCTCTCTCCCTCTCTCTCTCTCTCCCTCTCTCTCTCTCCCTCTCTCTCTCTCTCTCTCTCTCTCTCTTTCTCTCTCTCACTGGTTACACCTTTCCCCTCTCCTCCTTTAGTCTTGTTCTCTATCTTCTATTAATCTTTCTTTTCTATTTTGTCTTATATCTCATCCCTCCTCTCATCTTGTCACCGATTACCACGCCCATCCCTCCCCAAAATTCGTTATGTCCGTCTATGTCTTTTTAGCTCTTTAACCACCCCTTCTCTCTCTCTCTCTCTCTCTCTCTCTCTCTATCTTCTCTCTCTCTCTCTCACTCTATTTCTCTCTCTCTCTCTCTCACTCTATTTCTCGCTCTCTCTCTCTCTCTCTCTCTCTCTCTCTCTCTCTCTTTCTCTCTTTCTCTCTCTACCCTTTTCTTGACGTATCTATTTCCGACCCGTGTAAACCTCAATCAATTAGTGGTTAGCTCGATCTATGTGTTCTATTTTCTCCACATTGTTCATTGCAGCTAATGTTATTTTTAACAATAATGGAAGATGTAAGAGATAAAGTGATAGTTTTATTCGACCATGTGAATATAAAAATAGCGCGAGAAAGGAAGTTACCTGAATAGGAGGAAATATAATGCATTTCCTCCCTATCGCAATGTTCCTGTTTACTGTTCCTTTCACAAACGTCACTCATTCACATTTTTGACGTACAGTGCTCCAACAGATTGTAAACTACTCAACTAAATTTAGATGGATTTTGACTAATGAAGTCAACAACCGAATAGATATACGGACATTGCAACACTTGTGCCCTAAAAAGACCTGTTATACCTTGTACAAACTAGTATTCGTGCTCCCCTGCAAAATGTTTACACCTCTTTATGTCAGAGATTTTTTAGATAATAATAGGCCTCTGGAAATCATTATCACGATTCCGTTGTTGTTGTTGTTGTTGTTGTTGTTATCATTTTCATAATTATCATTAATAATATTACAGTTAGTATTAATATTAATTTTAACATTATTTTTTATTAATAACAATTACTATTAACTTTAATATTTATGTTATTATTATTATCATCATTATCGTTATTATTATTATTAATAATATCAATATTAGTAGTAGTAGTAATAGTAGTAGTAGTAGTAGCCTAGTAGTAGTTGTTGTAGCGGGAACTAGTAGTTGTAGTGGTAGTGTAGGTAAAATGTTGTATAATTATGTATAGGCCATCCCCCTCTTTCAAAAGTACGAGCGAGGGGGGGGGGTAATTTAAAGCCCCTCCCCTCTAGGCCCTTTACGCCCGTGTATCATGTAACCTAAATAATGTTTTGTTGTTGAAATACGCAAATGTTTGAAGTTTGTATACTTTCATCCCCATCGTGATCATAAAATGTCGAAGTTCCGATCTTATCTGTCATTTGGGAAAGTTCAAGTCTGAAACTCTTTCGACGATCCGTTGAAATTCAAACCAGCGGAGTCGATCTTGGCAAGGTGCGCTTGAGAATCATTGTGCCCGCAGCTGGTAAGAATCTTGCTTTATTCATTCCCAGGCATTTTAATTTGGTAATTGACTTCATTCTGTCAACGATCTTTTCCGATATCAATTATTTATACACATGAGACTGATCTCCAAATAAATACTTGATTATCCTGAACGGCCGGGGGAGAGTATAAGTGTCCCCGAAGCCTTTAGTTCACGCAACCCCTAAATGTTTCTCAAATGAAAAAGAAATATTTCTGTGAGCTTAAATCGTTTTCTCAGATTGCGTTCGTAGGAAATAAAAGTGGGCCAAACTACCTTCAAATCGCTATCGAGTGGTCATGTAATATATGGTGGCGTGAATTGTCTATTCCTTTCACTAAGAATCAACTTCTGTCCTAATGCAGTTACTGAGACTATTCCAAGGTTTTTTTCTTCATGAAAAAGCATACAATAGTTTCCAGTGATGTCCAACGATTTGTAAGTAGGCGATGCGCAGCAGTGCGCTTAGAGGTAAGTGCGCTTACACTGTATTTGGGCATAATATGACTTGCGTAGCTTAGAACTCTTAAGTACTAGTTACCTATTAAAATGTATATACCTCTCTTTAGAAATCTAGCCATCTGATTGGTCGAAATCGCAGTCGTGAGTTTAGCCACGCCTTCCAGTCAATCGTCTTTTGAAAAGTGCCCTCATACCCGCCTACCGGTAAATAGTCTTTTTTAAGATGCCCGTTGCCCCGGGTAACAGGCCGAATAAATCAATTGTGCTCAGATCCCCATTGGTTTACGTGTTTAAACTTTCTTTGTGCGAGCGCGGACACCATACAGTTGCTTTTGTCTGCGATTCCTAAATGATTGAAACTTTCAGTCATTTTTCCAGCAAAGATAAACAGACAGTTTCTCAGATTTTCCGTGATGTTTTAACTAATCTTTACTCAATAAAAGAATAAGGTTAGAATTCTTGGTAAATTTCTGTTTCAATTCGGCATATAAAAGACATATCGACTGCTTTAATATTCGGGGTCTGGGTGTTTTATAGGTTCTCGGGAACTTGCACATCTTGGCCCACCCAGGCGCGCCTGTTTGTCATGGCAAGATGTGCGCACGTTCACTTGAGCCTATAAAACAGCCAGGCCTCTCAAAGCAGTCGATATCTCTATACGATTTATCAGCGATAATGCCACGAAAAGAATTCTTGAAAATAATTAGTTTTTACATCAAATAACATGCATCTTTACGAGTTTCGATGTATAAATACAAATAATGCACGTATCTATTCGATCTTGTCGAGTCTGTGATCATGGATAGGTCCATGCTGTTATGCACTTTTGTACAGCCTCAACGCGAGCGCGGGTAGATCGTAAAATGAACTCCTTCGCACGCATCATTTGTATAATATTAGGGACTTTTAGATTTGCGTGGACTGATACGTGTAACGTCCATTCAAGGCAGTACATTAAAAGGACGTCGATCGTAGCAATCCACGTTGTCGTTGTGCAAATCTAAAAGTCCCTAATATCCTTCAGCTTGATTCATCGGAAGTAATTGTTGTTGCGTTGTGTTTTTTTTTTTTTTTTTGGGGGGGGGGGGGGGGGGGGAGCAAAGTATCTCTGAAACAAGGTTGACCCTTTAAATTAGCATTTCGTCATTTTTGGCATAGATGGTGTAACAGATCTTAGGCAAAAAAAGATAACGTCTTACTTTTCTGAAAGGAAAGTTTCCGCAACTTCCGACAAATTGGGTTACTAAAAAACATGCTCCAATATGGATATGCGATCAGGAATATATGGTGTTATGATACCTATTTCGATAAGAGGTGCATCAAAAAGGTAAATTATTGTCATATTTCGTAGCGATAGCATTGGGACTGCCGTTTCCTTATGACAAGTAACCCGTGCTAAAGCAGAGATCTATCACCGATAACCTCAACCATTGGGCGGGAATATATCGACCTAATTTTGGCAATATCCCGAGAAAAAATTAGTAACAGGCCTACTGACATGACTGAAGCGGCCTACGCTTTCATGGCCCATGTCGAGAGGTTCTCCTTATTTTCTCGTTAAAGAAATAAACAAATCATTATCAGCATAAACCAGATGCAAAGTTGCAATTTACAACCCCGTCAGACACTTACCACCGAAATTGTTACTGAAGGTTTCATTGAAATAACTTCTAATACTTATAAAATATATATATAACAAGTAAAATTATGATATAGTTTAAAAGTGCATGTTGGTAAATTATATGTAGTTTAAATTTGTTGCCACCCAAATATTCTGCCATATCATCATTTCCACACCCATTTTCTTCTCTTTTTTCTTTCTTTTGTTTGGAGGGGGGGGGGTACTGTCTTGGTCATTGATGTTAGTGGTGCCCTCCCCCTCCATCTCTCTCTCTCTCTCTCTCTCTCTCTCTCTCTCTTCTATCCCTCTCTCTCCCTTACGCAAACTTTGTGAATTTCAACATGTATCACTTGAAGAGCTTATTAAATAAACTTTCCAAAATTCATATGATTGTGAAACAAAATCCTGGATTTAGCTTATGCTGCAAGGATAATTATAAACATTAAGGTCAGTCAGGAACCCCATGACTTTTACAAACCAATCGCCTGTCTGATTATCAAGATATTTATGATTGGAATTAAAAAATTGAAAACTGTTTACCAAACGGTTTTCATAACACTACAGTATATTGGGGAAAACGAGTATGGTAAAACCGGTCACACAAAGATTTTTACTTTTTTGAGGCATTTCTTAATCATTTTGAAGTGCGATTTTTTTAGGGCTTCAATATTACACCATATCACAGACACTGATAACACGTAGGGTCGTGCATCTTAGATTTAACATTGTTAAACGATGCCTTTAATACAGAAAAAATGTTTTCCATCGATGTTACAAACGATTAAAACATGATTGATATATTCATATATCAGTAGTAAACTAAAATGAATAACAATACCGTAATTTCCTCTGTGCAAAAAAGGAAGAGAGAATGAGAGGGTAGGAGGGAGAGAGAGAGAGAGAGAGCGAGTGAGACAATGACAGAGAGAAAGAGAGATAAGATGCAGAAAGAGAGAGAGAGAGAGGGAGAAGGGGTAGAAACGAATTAGGAGCTGCAATAATAGGCTTACACATGTCATTCATCTCGAATTCAAATATTCAAATTTTGTTCAAAAGTAAATCCAACATTAGGTCATTGCAATACCGATAAACACGTAATCGCACGCTGTATGTACTTTGGAAAGTCAGACTATAGGCCTATAATAAAGTTGGAATAAATCTAATGTCACAATCATACCATTTAAAGGGGTAAGAAAAAAACGTATTCCAACTTGATGGGCAACAGTGTAGAATTTATGAAATGATTACATTCGAAAAAGAACCTGGGTTTGACTGCTATATTGATGAGCTAAAAGGAAAATAATAAATTATTTGAAAAAGGAATATCAATAAAAGATGTGTAAAGGAAAATTCCTATAAGTATAAAAAATGGTTTGTAAAATTGTCAGACAACACATTAATTTGGGGTCACTAAGTACAAATGTAGAAATTTAAAACATGCATAAACCCTCCACAGAAATGCTTATTAACAAATTGCTGTCAATCTTACGCTCTCTATCCATGCTCATTATAAATCTACTAAAGTAGCTTTGAGTAGTCATATACTTTTCACAAATATGAAATGAAGTCCACATATCAAATTTGAACATCAGAATTAATAAAAAAAAAAAAGGTTTTCGGCAAACATTTAAAAACACACGAAGAATATAATATAGTAATATTCTTTTATTGATGCATTTAATGTAAAATATCACACAATATAGATCAAATTATTGTAACAATTATTTCTATCAGATAGTGTATATAATTTTGATGTGCAAAGATAACATTTCTTGATATAAATAAATAATTTGATTATGTTTTAGATAACAACAACATCGATTGAAATTTAAACTATACCAAATCAAATGATAATAATCCGGTAATAAGACACATTTTCATTTAAACTCAGCCTTTTCGAACGCTTTTGCAGGTTTAGTTTGTTTGGTAAATAACCTATAAAGTACACTAATTGCGCATTTGTGTTGGCGCTTTAATTCAATTTAAATTTAAATTTATATTATTTCCACAGATTCATAAAAGACAATATAAATTACAATCAATTATGAAAGCATTACAACAAAAGAAGAACCTGCAGAGGGATGATCAAAAACCACAGAGGTTATCGGGGATCACCCCCCCCCTGCTTAAAATTACAATATCAAAATACATTTTTTTTTTTAATTAAACAATAAACACATACAAAAACATATATAAATATTTCATGCAAATCTGTGTGTGGGTGAGTAGTAGTGGGTTGGTGGTACCAATAAATACAATATATAGAGGAAATGAATGATATACAGGAAAGAAGGGGAAAAAATAGGGAGAAAAAAATAGTAAGAAACACCGTACAAACTAAATCTTAAGAGTTGGATACAAAATCAAATATTGTTTCAACTTTGACTTGAAAGATAAAGTGATGAGCAACTGACAATATCATTGGGAAGTAAATTCCATAGTGATTGTCCACTAAAATAAATGTTCCTTTGAAGAAAAGTTGTTTTAACAGAGGGCAAATGAAACTTATTTGAACTTTTTGTTTCATAAGAGTGAATGCCAGCATTTACATCGAACATTTCATTAAAAATACATGGCAGCTGATTTTTCTTGAAAAGAAACATAAATTGAGCAAGTTGTATATAATACAGAGATTTCACATTCAAAATATTCAAGCGTTTATACAAGGGTGCAGTATGTGCAAGATATGGAGAGTTTGTTACTGCACGTTCGCCATGAAAATAAAGAGTCGTCATGATATTTCACGGTTTATGATAATAAACTTAACCTTTTTATTCAGTTGCATAAATAAATAACGCGTTTTCAGTCATTATACAACTTTGCATGAACCGTCTCAGAACACTCAGATTTTTGTTGAATTAAGGAATGAAAGACTTCTTGAACAAGAATAACCTGTCGCCGTTGAATGTGATGAGAATGCCTGCTGGGGTCACAGCGCATCTTTGGGTCGAGGTGTTTCTTTTGCTGTCGGACATAGGGTACTCCAGGATCTTCCTGAAGACCCCACCGCTTGTGGCACAGACTTGGTCTACAGCGTACATCATCTTCTCTGAATCCTTGTGGACGACGTAAATGGCGTCTGTCAAGGAGTCAACGCTGAACACGGCACAGCCCCATTCATAATCTTGAATGAAGTTCTTAACCTCGCCCGATCTGTCGATTACAGCCAAGCCTCCATACCCAGATTTCACAACGATGTCTCCAGATGAGAGGCATCGAAATCCTTCTGTGCTCTTATCTTTAACTGGTACGGTATGGACAATACTTTCTTGGAAACCTCTTGTTAGGTCAGAAGGACTTATGATGTGTATGTCTGAAGCCATGAAATCTGACGCTAGGATCATTCCTGTAGAGTCGACGTCAACAAAGACTCGTTTTGTATTAAGTACGAGCTCCTGGGTCTGTGATCCGTCTGGTGCGTTGATTGGTTGCCAGTCGGCATCATACAAGCCTATGCAATCGCTGAATGCACCTTTCCTGACTTTCCCACAAAGAGTCGTCTTGTCATCAATGGACACGCATGATACGATTGTATCTACTGTACCCTTAGCAATCTTATCAGTTGTTTTGGTTTTTAAGTTTGTAAGGTACAGGTCTCCTGTTTGTTTATCCCGTATGGATACAGCTCCTTCTCCGACACAGCCGACGAGACCAGGCAATTCAACACTCTGTGGAACATCGATAGTGTCTACCAATGTCCACCCTCCGCGGAAGCCATCAATTCGGTTCTTGGCTCCAACTTTAGCTCTTGGTCTCTTAAAGAACTTTACTTCGAGAGCAGTGGTGGCAACACGCTGCAATGATGTCGTCTCTGTATCGGTCTGCAGTACATCATTTGCTGCTCTAAGCAAGCCTTTTGTTCGGACGCATAGTTCTTGGTCACTCATGAGGACATGTTCAATTCCTTCTAGCGATTCATTTAGCTTTTCCAAGACATATTTTGATTTCTCTATTATTCCTCCCATTTCCTTTGCCACTGCTCCTCTGATTTCATTCAATTCACCTAACAAGATATTAAACTTTTTGTCGACCTCCTGCTCTCGAAATTCAAGCTCTTCCATGCTATGTTTCAACTGCTCATCCCGCTCTTTGTGTATTTCCCGTATCTTGCGTTCTGCCGCTTCAGTTATTGCAAGATTCTTCTCCTTCGCCTTGTTCTTTTCCGCTTCCTTTTCGACGTCAACGTGAGCTCGAATTTGTGTTTCAACAGTATCAAAATGGTCATGAATATCATTAGATGTTACTAGATTGGTTTTCATGTGCTTTTGCAAGACTGGTACTCTGCTCTTTATAGATGGTAGAATGTCATCCAGTTTCTCTCTGTTCTCTGTTACGACGTCATCCACATCTTTCAGATCGCATGGTTTCTGGTGTGCTACTGTGGCACAGGATTGGCAGATTACCTCGTTGTGCTGCACGCAGAAGAACTTGATAGGTTCACAATGCTTTCTGCACGTCCATGCTGCATCGCTCTGTTGCGTTGGGCCAGTAGCTTTCTCGGAGGCACACCCTTGGCAGAGCCTTCGCCTTTCTGACACGGAGTAAACAAGCTTGCTTCTCCGATTGCATCCGTCTTCTTCGCATGTGTCATCTCGGCAGAATCCAGAAGCCATTTTTTCTATTTTGTCAGCAGTCAGGCAAGCCGAAAGAGGATGGGATCGAGGCTTTGAACGTCTTCTGGGTGTGAAGGTGTGGGGTTCCTTAAGTTCCTACATTTGGAGAGATAAAAAGAAAAAATAATTACATATTAGGCTTACTGTAATGAAGCTTTGACATCAGTTACGGGATCAAGTAAAGTTAGCATGCTTGTCGAGTTGACCTATCCTATTACCAGGCTGATAATGATCATGAATCTTAAGTATGTTATGATCTTGAGTATAAAATGATCAGGGCAGAACATTCATGAAGCGTGTTCATATGTTTGGGAAAGGAATGTTTACTTCCATTTGCGGTTTTGTTCTTCTTCATAACCTAGCAGAACAGAATTGCCCTCTTGAGGTGTCGTGGTCGAGTGGATATGTCACCGGACTGTGGATCACAGGGTCCGCGGTTCAAGTCCCGCCGAGGCAATAATGTCCTTTGATCTACATTTGCCACTCTCCACCCAGGTGTTAACTGGGTACCGGTAGGATGCGAAAGCTAATGTGCTTAGATTAGCAAGTGTGCGCTTGTAAAAATGACGCCTGGTTAGAATGCTCCACAGGGAGTGGAGAATGTGCATACATTGTTTGCGGGTAAGCCTGAATCCGATAACCGGGGTAATAACATATATCTGTAAAGCACTTTGAGAGGGCATGTGGTCCTGAAAAGCGCTATATAAGAACGAGCTATTATTATTATTATTAAAATCTCTGCACACATGTCTTTTCACTCTTCAAAGTCCTCTGTCTGTTGAATCCTTTATTTCGTACTTCTAATTATAATGATGCAGATATCTTTTCATATGGGCTTTAAAATAAAAAAGGGACTGTGCATTGTTTTATATTTTGGGGTAAATTGTTCCAATAGCCGGGTCCATGACGTATTATAATTATCATAGATCTATGGGCTATTAAAAGGTTGGGATTATTAAGGTGAATGTCAGATGAATGACGGGTGGGCTACGAATGAATATCGGTATTGTATGTGAATACGGCATGAAATGGTTTAGGAAGTATATTGATTGAAAATGTATGCATAAATATTGCTGATTGGAAGGTGTGAATATAATTAATGTTAGGGTTTTAAAATTCATGAAATGTAGAATCTGTGTTTGCAAAATAGAAATGCGCATAAGCGCATACATGCAATGATTTCTTTTGAAGAAAACAAAATACATCAATTATTGTCGTTACACTTCTATTTCCCCACGCAGTTTTATATATAAGGGAGTATGAATGAATTATATACGTGATTAGTGTCCTTTTTGTAAGAAAATATTTCAATTGGTATAATATACATGTACCTATAACTCTATAGACAAGAGTACAAATATTAGTTATATTTTACTGAAAGAACACTGATTGCCCATGCTGCTAGAGATAGACGATAACCGAATATGACCTGCGGAAATGCAGTTCCTGACTGGCAGACCATCAAATATAAAAGTGCTTGACAATGTCTATCATGTAAGATCCTTTCTAAGCATCACAAAGAAAAGACAACTTCAGTTTCGGTTTAGTTCGTTTATTCATTTCCCAGAATATTATAATTTATATTACTGAGTATAATGTTATCTAAATATGTCACAGCAGACAGCAATACATACGATATAAAGACAAACGATTACAAAAAATATGTGTGAAATAATGTAAAATTGGAGGGGTAAAAAGGTTTGGAATGTAAATTTAACGGTACTCAAAATACGAGGTCAGTTTGATTTGTTTTGAAATATTGAATTGTTGTTTTATATATGCGTATGACTTGTGGTAGAGTTTTCCATATGTTTTGCAAAGTATTTCTTACAGATATTTTAGAGATGGAACTTTTCACTTTCCATAAATGAAACATATTGCAAAGTCGAGTATTATGAGAATAAATTGAGTTATTGACCGAGAGTATGGATGATATTCTTTTGGAAGTATATTTTGAAAATAATTGAAAAACCAATTAGTGCAGTATGTAATTTCAATTAATAAAAAAACATTTAGGGGATTTAAACTAAGAAATAAAGGAGCAGAATGGGCATACTAATCACTACCTGTACAAATATGTAGAGCCTTCTTTTTTAATTTGAAGAGGGTATTCATTTTTCCATGACACGAATTTCCCCAAATAATAATACAATATGTAAAATAAGGTATTATAAGTGAATTGTACAAAGTAAATACGATGGGAAATGGTACATAAAATTTCAATTTTATATAAAACACCAATACATTTTGATACTTTGTTTATAACATTATGGATGTGGGAATTCCAACGAAAGTTGTTATCTACGGTATCATTAACAACATCTAAATTTGATATAGTTGTAGTATCAATACTTAGAATTACCTTATCTAGTACAATAGACACATTTTTACTTTCTTTGAGAAATATACAAAAGTTTGTTTTAGAAAGATTTACTATCAATTTATTAGCTTTGCCCAAGTTGAAACCTTGTCTAATTCTTTGTTGACCTCATGCTCAACATTATTTATATCAGGTTGTGAAAATATAAGAGTTGAGTCATCTGCATACATAATATACTGCATGATATGAGGCGATTGAGTTTAGCCATTAATATATATCAACAAAGTAATGGGCCGAGTATAGATCCATGGGGAACTCCGTGTGTTATTTTTGCAAAATCAGAAACATAAGTCGATTGCATAATTTCTTTTTTTCAACCTACACCATAAAAGTTCAATTTGAACAAGAGAACTGATTGACCTACTATATCAAATGCTTTTAATAAATCCATAAATATACCAATGCAAAAGTTATTGTTTTCCATAACTAATGTCACTTTATCCTGCAAATCAATCAAAGTATGGGTTGCGGAATGATTACGATTATTTTGTATTCCTTAGCGATTTACACACTTCAATCAATTCATTTTGTGATATAGGTTTAAAGGGGCATGTTCCCCATATTCCAGAGGGCGCTCAAAATACGTGCGCGCTGGCGGACGGCGCTAAAGCTACCTATTGACATCAACATAATACGGCTCTTACGCAGATGGCATGTTCCGATAACTACACTGGAGGGAACGTGCCCCTTTAACAAATAATGAAGCAGAAGTTAGATAGATAGATAGTTTATTGGTTTCCACAATATCTCATTTTACAAAGAGTGTAACAACATAATTGAAAATGATTATTCTATACATGTACATACAATGCCGGTACACACTATTCAGAATATTGTCCATTAAGTTTAACTTAAGAGATAAAGTGGCGGAGCCTATGGAAAAGCAGAGCTTGTTGTGGATAGACTCCTTAAAACTAAAAATGACATAATTAACTAAAGTAAATTTTATAAAATACAAATACACGCTAAAAGAGGGAAAGGGGATTACAGGGATACATGAACTGATACTCACAATTAACTACAAAAGACAAGGAAAAGGGAAAGGAATATATCTGCAGCTTATTGAAACAATATTAAAATATAGTTTGTTCTCGATATGAGTATATAATAAACACACATTGGAACAAGTCGGTAATCTGTATGAGAAATAGTATTGACTTGAGCCAGGTGATTATTTGCATCAAACCCACAACACGAGGAAATAAATTACGAATAAAATTCATCTGCATTACATTTTCAACCATTTTACTACCATTCATAGTAAATTTGGTTTCTTTTTTTTTGTCCCTTGTACTAATAGTTGTCAGGGCTCACAATGCAACAGGCTCCGCTTATCTTCGAGCCCTGGCCAGTTCTGTCTAAAATCAGTCTATACTTCTTCGTGTAAATCTTATTATATACTGATTTGATTATGTATTCACAACTGAATAAATATGAAATGAATTTTAATAAAATAATGACTCTATATAACAAAGCGAAACTCACCTAAGTATCCCCGACAGCAACAACGAATATTTAAGAGTAGGCCTATACAAAGTAGCAATGTCTCTGTACAAGCAATGCAAACATAATGTTTGGCACTTTGTCAGCAGTGCAGGCGACTAAAACAGTGATTTTGTACAATATTGTACAGTACATCGTTCAGCGGAAATGTTTCTTTTATGCTGTTTATAGCACGTACGTTATACGTTATACTAGCAGGGAATGGGTAATGGGTATTCCCAAAGACGGCATTTCCGGTGGACTCTGGGTATTTCCAAGAATTATTGCCTAAACCGTCGTAATTAAACTCACATGGAAATCTGCAAATCACCAATTAATTATGCAATATTATAATGAGGGATAATTATTAAACATGTCATATCATCTATTCCAGCCGCAACGGAAAATGGGTGCGCCGATTCTAGAGTGCATGGTGCGACCAAATGAATTATTAAATTCCAAGTAGCTGTTGATCAGATGCAGTCTTTTGTTTCAGACACTGAACCTTTGCCGTATCCGGACACCTATCCCCTGGACATCCACCCCCCGGATATCCACCCCCAGTTAAATACCCCCATGGACACCTACCCCCTAGGACAACTGTCCTAGGACAAATACACCTGGACAACTACCTCCCAGACAACTACCCCAAAGGAAAACTACCCCCTAGGACAACTACCCCCGGACGACTACCCCCAGACAACTACCTCCTAGGACAACTCCCCCCGAACAACTACCACCACCCGAACAACTATCCCCCGGGCAACTACCCCCTAGTTTAGTTGTCCGGGGGTAGGTGTCCTAGAGGATGGTTGTCGAAGGGGGTAGTTGTCCGGGGAAAGTTGTCCTAGGGGGTAGTTGCCCAGGGGGTAGTTGTCCTAGGGTGTAGGTTGTCCTAGGGGTAGTTGTCCGGGGGTAGTTGTCCCGGGGATAGTCGTCCTGTAGGGTGGTTGCCCTAGGGGGTAGTTGTCCTAACGGTAGTTGTCTGGGGTGGTTATCCGGGGGATGGATGTCCCGGGGTTGGTGTCCTAGAACCAGCGTTGGCACATCAAAGTTTGGAATCGGCACGGACATTGCTATCCAACGAGTGTTACCTCGCATAAAAGCTATCGTATAATTATATTTGTCTACTCATCTTCCGTATTTTTATCATCTTTTATTTTCGGCGATTTTATACCACCAATATATCACTTCTAGTATCTTGCTTGCCATGAAACCACTTTTTTTTAATCAGTGGGGTTTTAGGGTCGGGAGGAAGAGAGAGAGAGAGGGGGTTGGGTGGGGTAGAAATGAATTAGGAGCTGCAATAATAAGCTTAAACACTTTTTTTTTCAAAATATTTATTGAAAACAAATCTCATTCATAATAATAATGGTACATGATAATAATAATAATAGTAATAATAACATGTTCGTATAGACATAGAATATGTATTATAAAAATATAGTGTAATTATTGTTAACTCATCAGCAATAAGCAAAAAATTAACAAAATATCTGCCATTTCTTATTATGAAAATCGAGACGATTTTTCTTGAAAGCAATTATACGTTCCATATTTTCTAAATGTTTGAGAGCTCGTTGAAAAGAAGGAAATAGTGAAATAACGTTTTGCATTTTACAAGTGAATATAAAATATTTTGCAAAAATAATAACTGTATTGACGAAATGAAAAAAAGAAGATTATAAGAGTACCAAAAAATATATAGATTATGCGGAAAGAACTGAATAATATAACATAAATAAACCAGATAGAAAATTCATTTAGCGTTGGATTTGATCACAAGACATAAATGAACCATCAATGCGCAAAATATCCCTAACATATATCATATCGGAATTTAAACGTATATTAATATTGAGAGGTTTTCCGCCTACCATGGTAGTATATGAGAATTAAGGCAAAGGGGTTGGGAAATAATTTCTTTGAATTTAACTGGGTTTTAGTACGTGTAGTGACTCCATGTAATCAATATATCATTCCAGAAAGGATCTGCGTATTTATTGAACATTAAATGATCAGAACGGAGATTGCCGCTACAAAAAAATATCTCCTTCCATACGTCTCAGAGAATGTGCAAAAAACATTTTTCATTAACTTTTGTTTTCTTCATCAAAGTATCTCCTTAACCAAGTAACTTTCATAGCACGGTTAAAAGATAATAAATGAGGCATTTTAAGGCCTCCTTCTTTATATTCATTGTAAAGCAAAGAGCGTCTAATTTTGTCCTTCTTATTACTCCATACACATTTAAAGAGTACTCTCTGAAGTTCTGAAAAGAATGATAAAGGGGGATCAGGAAGAATACAAAGTAAATAAATCAATTTTGGTATAACTAGAGATTTGATAATGGTCACTTTTCCATACAACGTTAAAGACCTACGATTCCATATATTCAACGTTGTTTTAATTTCCTCAAATTTTTATTTGAAATTAAGATAATGAAAACTCAAATTACCATTCAAAGGAATTTTGATACCTAAGTATGTAAAATAATCTGAAGGCCAAATAAATAGAATGTCTTGACACATACGTATAGAAACTTTACAATTTCCTAGTCTAATCATATTACATTTTTCAAAATTAATTTTCAAACCAGAAGCTTCTTTGAAATCATTTAAGACTTTAACGCATCTACGAATATTCGATTCATCAGGTTCAGGAAAAATATCCGTGTCATCTGCATATTGACTAGTCTTCACCTCCTCATTTAATACTTTAAACCCACGAATATCTTTATTTTGTCTCACGAAACATCCAAGTACTTCAACTGCAATAATAAACAGATATGGAGACAAAGGACATCCCTGTCTCACACCACGCTTTATCTCAAAAGAATCTGACGCGAATCCATTATTAATAACTCGTCCTTGTATATTCTGTATACAGTAATTTCACCTAATTAATAAAATATTGATCAAATCCAAATACATGAAGAGCGTCGTGCATAAAATCCCAGTCAATCATATCAAAAGCTTTTTCAAAGTCAATACTCAAAGCTAAACTGTCAATATTTTCTATTATACAAAGACTTTGTATATCAATAAATAATCGTATGTTCTCTCCAATAAAACGTCCTTTAATAAAAACCATATTGGTCATTACTAATCAAAAGCCCTAAAACTTTTTCATTCGTAATGAGAGAATTTTTGATAAAATCTTATAATCACTGTTAAGAAGTGATATTGGTCGCCAAACGTTCAAGCTTTAACATTTCATCCATACCGAATTCAAATATTGTAACTTTTTTAAAGTAAGTAAATAAAACATGACATCATTGCAAAACCGATAAACACATAACCATAACAATTGGCCAAGTAGCACACTGTTAGTACGTCCGAACACTCTGGATTAAGGCCTTGTGGAAAAGGACAATTAGTTTATTGTTTACACTTATAATCACGAGAAAAAAGAAATCGGCAAACACTTAAAAGAGATGTTCTTGAAGGATATAATATAGTTATATTCAATTATTGATGCATTTAACGTAAAATATCACACAATATAGATAACATTACTGTAACAATCATTTCTATCAGATAGTGTATATAATTTGAATAAAAAAAGATAATATATTTCTTGATATAAGTAAATATTTTGAGTATGTTTTACAAAATAACAAAATTGCTTGAAATTAAATTATACCACATTAATGATAATAATCCGGTAATAAGACACACTTTCACTTTTTTGCATGTTAAGTTTGTTCGGGTAGTATCCTGTAAATACACTAATTGCACATTTTTGTCGGTGCTTTAGGGTTCGCCATGATAATAAAGAGTCGGTTTCACGGTTTATGATGAACTTTACCTTTTTATTCAGTTGCATGAATAAATAACGCGTTTTCAGTCATTATACATGTCACATACAACTTTGTACGAACCTTCTCAGAACACTAAGATTTTGGTTGAATTACGGAATGAAACATTTAGACACAGAGTAATCGATGACTAGAGCTCTCTGTCTGAATTTGTAGTTGAGGCTCCCACCATAGATGCCTTCAAATTCAGGCTTGATCGTTGCTGGAAGGAACAGTTCTTGTATCTCAATAATCGTAATAATTTTGTTCTACTTTTCGGACATGTGCAGTCAAAGTGTTCCCTTTGCCCCTCTGCGTCCCTGACTTGTATATAATGAGAACAACTAAGCCTTAGTACAAGAATATTTTGTTTTCTTTGCCTCATCAGAGAATATAGTACAAGAAGATAGGACACGAAGATAGACCTTGAAGCTCGACTGGTGTCTCAGCATTCTTCCAGTATTTGCGGTAATGGTAAAGGTAAAGACTTCTTAAACAAGAATAGCCTGTCGCCGTTGAATGTGATGAGAATGCCAGATGGGGTCACAGCGCATCTGTGAGTCGGGATGTTTCTTCTTCTGTCATACAAGCCTATGCAATCACTGAAGGCACCTTTACTGGCTTTTCCACAAAGAGTCGTCTTGTCATCAAGGGACACGCATGATACGATTGTATCTACTGTACCCTTAACAATCTTGTCAGTTGTTTTGGTTTTCAAATTTGTAAGGTAACGGTCCCCTGTTCGTTTATTCCGTAGAGCCACAGCTCCTTCTCCGACACAGCCGATGAGACCAGGTAATTCAACACTCTGTGGGATATCGATAGTGTCTACCAATGTCCACCCTCCGAGGTTCTTGGGTCCAGCTCTTGGTCTCTTAAAGAACTTTACATCGCGAGCAGTGGTGGCGACACGCTGCAATGAATTCGTCTCTGTATCGGTCTGCAGTACATCATTTGCTGCTCTAAGCAAGCCTTTCGTTCGGACGCATAGTTCTTGGTCACTCATGAGGACATGTTCAATTCCTTCTAGCGATTCATTTAGCTTTTCCAAAACATATTTTGATTCCTCTATTATTCCTCCCATTTCCTTTACCACTGCCCCTCTGATTTCATTCAATTCACCTAACGAGATATTATACTTTTTGTCGACCTCCTGCTCTCGAACTTCAAGCTCCTCCATGTTGTGTTTTAACTGCTCATCCCGCTCTTTGTGTATTTCTCGTATCTTGCGTTCTGCCGCTTCAGTTATGACAAGATTCTGCTCCTTCGCTCTATTATTTTCCGCTGCCTTTTCGTCGTCAATGTGAGCTCGAATTTGTGTTTCAACAGTATCAAAATGGTCATTAATATCTCTGGATGTTTCTAGATTGGTTTTCATATGCTTTTGCAAGACTGGTACTCTGCCCTTTACAGATGGTAGAA